TAATAAAACAGTTTTTTTGTCCTCGACATGGAACATGCTGGGATCTGTAAGTTTGTAACGATAAAAATTTTTTTTATTGAAAAAGTTTAGTGCTGTCTGGTGTTTTATTAATCTGCAGAACATTTATTCATCCTTATATATATATATATATATATATATATATATATATATTGCATACACGGTTTAAAATCAAATATACAGGGGATTGGGATGACATTAAATAGCTTAATACAGTGGCAACTGGAAAAAACAATAAATTTATTATCGTGTTTGCTCTTTGCTTAAATTTAAGAGATTGTTTACATACAGTGAGAACCAGAAAACTTTGAAATTTAAAGACGTCTTTAATAGACTTAAGTTATGACTTTTAATAGTTGTTCATGTAAAACTAAAAGATTTATCTTAAAAATAATTATTGATTGCAAAATTTAACCCATCTGTAAAATTCTAATTAAAATGTATTGTGTCAGATTCTCCGACTATAGTTTAAGATCAGATTTCAGAAAACAGGAAAATAACGCCCATAATAATTTTACTGCTTTCCGTTTTCGGAAACTATTAATTTAGAGATAATTGACTTTGTCTGTAAGTCTTGTAAGTATTTATGCTAAGATCTGTGTAATTTTTGGCCTAATTTATAATAAGTTATATACAGTGAGAACCAGAAAATATGAAGACCACTTTTAGACTCAAGTTATGACTTTAAATAGTCCAATATGAGCATGAGTAAAGCAATTGTGCAGTATACAATATACAGACCCATGTTTCACTCAATTAGTGATTTAATAATTTACTAGTAAAACTATTTGCTTCGTAACAACATCAAATACACTATAATTATTGCTTTAATGTCGTCTTCTAATTGGGCGGTTTTCTGATTCTTCTTCTATATATAAATTTGGCTTGTCTGTTTGTCTGGGTGTCTGTCTGTTTGTTTGTATCAAATAAACGTCAAAACGGCTGAACCGATCGGACCCAAAGTTTTTGTGGGACATCACGTGCCCAGAGGGAAAGTTTATGAATGATCAAAATTTTAAATATTTGTCTCCATCAAAATTCGATCTTCATTAAATTTTTGAAAATTTTAAAAATCCACGAAATTTTTTGTAAAAATCCGCGAATTATTTTTGTTTTGTTTTACGATGTATACAAAGAGAACATGTTCACAATTAATTTAGAAGATGGGCGCGAAGCGCCCTATAAGGCTAGTACTTTATACTATAACAGATAGGTGATGAACCAAACTTTAAAGGATTCTTAAGAGACTCAGCTGTATCGATAAAGTAAATGTACATTTTGCATCCTTTGTACCAACATAAAATTTCCTACTTAAATATTCTTATGGATTAAATCCTCGTTTATAAACTTATAACACTGATCACTGGATTAGGTTCAAACTCCGTTAGGTTAGGAGATGGATAAGTTCTATCAGGACGGATTGGAAAGATGAGAAGTTTGTGTGTACAAGGTTGGAGAAAAACTGAGATTAAGATCCTCGGTGTATAGTGTAGAGAGGGGTGTAGGTTCGGACTCCAACTATTTATATTCTCCGATGTATAGAAAACTGTTTTATTTCCTACATATCCTGGGAGTCCTCAGGGCACTTTCTCCGCAGATAAACCAAATTCAAGACAAAATATGATCAATTCATATTTAACGAAATAGGGGGAATCTTTTTTGTTTGAATTGAGAGGAGAAAACTTGGTATTATTGCTTTCAGAGGCCGAATTTGAGCATCGTCTCAAATTCGGCACTGCTCAAAACATGGTTGGTTCCACTTTAAATTGTATTCATAGATTCAAGATTTGAGCCGACGCTCAATTGGAACTGGGTTTTGGCGGTTCAATGAATTTTTAAAGATTTTCTTACAAATTATTTTGTGGTTTAAAATTAAACATTTAAAATTTGTTATTAGCTAACATACATAAATAACGATTCCCATGGGGTACAGTATAGCTTTTGGTTTGAATTTTAACCACATCGACTGAACTCCGTATTGCATAGGATAAACTTTGCAATTAAAGGATTTAAGTTTAATTGCAGGGATTTTACAGGAACTTAACAAAGAGATAATTAAAATCTAATTCTAAGAAAGGACTAGCTGTGTCCGCGACTGCAAAATAAATCAGTTTGCTTTTTTTAAAAGTATAGATAATATTTTTTAATAACATAGTTCATAAATTAAAACAAAAATTTTCAAATTTCCTTATTGAAATGTTTAAATTACGAGAAAAAAGTCTTTGAGAGAACGCACATCAGATAAAAACTCATCCTTAAATGAAAAAAACAGTAACTTCCACCACATAAGAACTGAGCACTTACATTAGACTTTAATTTTCTAATCCTTATATCTTTGCAACCAGATTTTCTAAACCTTTGATATTTGAAATTATAAATTCTACAAGATCAAATACCAAACCGACAGGTTGCATAAATATAGGGATTAGAAAAATAGAGTTTAAACGAAGCATTAATTTATTTTGATCTATTCGGTTCAGACGTTTAGACGTTTATTCGGAACAGACAGAACGATGATTAATTGTTTTTATTCAGTGAATATATTTATAGATAGATTGATGTATGACATGTAAGATTTACGTCCAGAGCTCAAAGACAGTTATCCAGTTATCTTTTGCTGCAGTAGGAAATATAATCCTTTCTTACACCGCAGTCCTTAAAAGACATTGCTCTCCTTTCTGCGCATGCGCTTAATATTCCTGCTGCAGGGTTTCCATGAAAACAAGATTGTTAATTTAACAATAAGTAGAAAATATAATCCTTAAGCGATAGAAGTGGAATTGTTGTGACACTAATTTTTAAAATTGGCATATTCTTAAACAAGTGAACAGTTTCTTTACTTGTTTAGTAGATTATCAGACTTTTAGGTCGGTTCGTTATTTTTATTACTGATTTATTTCACTATTTTTTGTAAACATTGACTTTAAAATTTGTTAACATATTTTCTGGGCAAAATTTAAGGTCCTTGAGGTTTTGGATACAAACAGAGTTTTGTTAGCTGGGAAAAATCTAAAGTGACCCAGATCTAGAAATTGCTTTCTTTTAAATAGGCGTATTAGTCAAAACTTTTGGTGCTATAAACAAGTTCGAAATTAAAGCTTCTGCATGCACTTCAGCCAATACTCTGTCTGTTTTAAATTTTTCCGGAGACCCAATGAAAACTATAGGTGTTCTATGTAAAAAACATATAATAATTTTTGCATATTTTTCTCTGGAATCCCGTGTTTTATCTGAAGGTTTACACTTTTGACAAATATCTACATGATGCAAAAATGAGAAAGAAATATGATAAGACACGAATCTTTATCTCGGTAAATGCAAAAGTAAGACAAAAAAGAAAACTAGAAAGTCTTTGAAAATATGAGAAAAATAACAGAAAATGGGATAAAACCGTTCAAAATTCTAAAAATAGCTCGCATCGTTTTCGTCGATATCTCCATATATTTTAGAAGCTAAGGTTAAGGCCATGCATATGTTTATTTAGTTCATCGTTAACAGGAACCTCCAAACCTTTCAATGTTTGCTTTTAAGAACTTAGGAGGTGTTTCCTTTATGAAAAGAGCTTAAGGGGTGGAACTAGTGTATAGAATATATCTAACCTTCAACACTTGATCTTGAAACCCAATGTGGGCAATTTAAAATTTGAGGATCAATGCAATTGATCTCTGAGCTAAAGTTTTCTCTGCAGGATATGACCAGCACAATTATCTAGGGGAAATCAAATTAATCCTCAGGTTTGCATAAGAAGAAGTTCAATGCTGGAAAGTTGTATTACTTACGACTTTTGAAAAAAAAATGTTAGAAGAAATTTTAACTAAAAAACTTAAACAAAGATAATTTATTCATTGTCACAGACGCAATTTATGTAATTGCACATTCACTATAAGGGATTAGAAAATATCTGTCTTGGGCCTTTTAAAGAAGAAATGGATTGAAGTTTAAATTCAAAGCAGCTAGATATAACATATAATATATAATTTTATTTGATCTATACAATAATAAAATCTAATCTTGTTTTATAATAATCTATACTGGATGTGTTGCTAGAAATCCCCATGGAGTAAAGTTTTCATCCTCTCTGTCTGCACCTCGATACACCTTGATTTTAACCTTAAACATCAAACAAAATTTAGACAACTATTCGAACAAATATGGCGAACTATATCTAACGGGCTCACAAAATCTTTGTAATTATCAATTTCCGAATTAAAGCTACTTTACTCAGAACAAAAATGCGCAAAGAACGGGACAACTTTTAAAGTAGGAAATTAAAAAATGTCAATAAAAGTCTTGACGATTATTTCTACGAATCCAAAATAAATAATGTTGTGTGACAACTTAGAGCTTTGTTTTGTATAATCGTTAAGATTTTTTTTTTGACCGGCAACAAAAAATGAAGATTTCCTAAACTTTAAAAGTTGTTCTGTTCTTACCGTAAAAACGTTTTTTTTCCCCTGGGAATCTTGGTTTTTCTGGAAAGATCATAATTTCCGCAGACAGACAGAAGAAAAGCACAATTTCACCTTGCCAACACTGTCCGCAGTTGTATCTGATACTCGTTCATTTCCGTTTCTCATAAACCCTTTCTTTCTTTTCCGTCGTCTTCGCCCTGGCAGTCGTTTTCTTTCTTCCGTTTCTCTCTGTTTATTATGATTATGGTTTAAAAAGCTTGATGAAATGGAAGATAGGAANAATCAACGTTCTTTAGAAGTTAAAATGAACATAACCGAAAAAGACGTGTGGAATTTTGGTAATTTCTAAAAAGTTTGTATATTTCTAAATGTATAAGAAACTGAAAAGTAGAAAAACACGTTTAATGTACTTGAAAGCATTTTAAAATTTCCAAAAATACCATAAAAAGTCACCGGTCTAGGACAACTTTTGTAATAAAAAAACGATTTAAAAAGAACTTTCTTTGAATCTCCTGTTAGCCCAAAGAGTATTTAAAGTATTTAATTAAGAGTGTCGTATGAAAAAAATAATCATTCCTTTGGTTGTAAGGTAAGCGGTGTTATGTCAAAATTTGCCTCTCTTGCTTTAACAAATTCATTTTCCATTTCGTGAACACGGCCTTCTTCTAGATCTTTGTTAAACTCTTCTACATTTCTTTGGTCGTCATGAACTCCATCGTTGATGTTATCTTTATTTGGAATATATTTCCTTGGCCAGATACTCCGATCATCAGAATTAACTTGATTCAACTCATGTTCTCCATAAACTTGTTGTTCAGGAGAATCATTGTAGATTTGTTCATTTTGATCAGTCATGGAATCGTTCTCTCTCCTAACAACATCATCAATCTTGATAAATTATTTCAAGAATGTTGAAAATTAGGGCATGGCCTTGTTTAAATTTAATTTTTTTTTATTCCTTCAATGTTTAGAGTCCTTGACACAAACTCTATATCTTTGCAACCCAATGTTGTAGACCTTTAACACTTCAAAATATTATGCTAGATCATATAGTTCAAGTTTGAAATATCAAAAGTTTACACCAACAGGTTGTAAATATATCTGTGGCCGAATTTAAAGAATTTGAGCGGCGGTTTAAATTTAAGCCACGGTTTAAATATGGTTGGTTCCACTTAAAATTGTATCAAATGTTTCAATATTTACACCGGCGCTTAATTTAAACCGGGTTTTGGCGGATTTAAACCACGGCTCAAATTCTTTAAATTCCATCTCTGGATTACTAAATTTGAGTTTGTGACGAAATTTTAAGCAACCTCCTGTTCCAGGAGTGGCATCAACCATGATTAACCCAAAACTTAATTACGCATATGTATAACACTGTGCATTATACAGTGGTAATTGCGTTTATATAAATACAATGAAGACGACTTTTTTGATTAAGTTTTGATTTCTAACAAGCCTTTTCCAAATTACAACATAGATAGAGAATCTGTTAATTGACATGTGTCCATGTTTATGTTGATTTATGCTTGGCAGAAATTAAAATTGAATTCGAATATCGTCTTTATTGTATTGATAAATACGACGACGATTGTAGTTAACATGAAATTTTACCTGTATAAATATTCTCGAAATTCAGCTCGACCTTCTTCGTTCCTTACTCGGTGTCGTGCTCTCATATTAGGTGTTTTGGAAAAATGTCTATTTGATGGAAGTACATTTTTATTTTCTAGTCTTTTAGGTTGAACACGTTTAGTTTGTTGAGTAGGTTCAATATCATCGACTCCTACATCAAATGAGTTCCAATCTTGAAAACTTTTTAACTCTCGTGTTCCAGTTCGAGTTTCAATGTTCGATGCTGGGTTTTCAAGATCTTCTTGAGTTCCCAGAACAGCTTTTTCAGTTCCAAGATAGGTTTCAGTTGTTCCAATATCAGTTTCTTGGGTTCCCAGAGCAGCTTTTTTAGCTGCAAGGTTAGATTCAGTTGTTCCAGTATCAATTTCTTTGGTTCCAATATCCGCTCTACTCTGCATATAATTATGAACAACCTTGGCATCAAAATTCGTGCCTGTAAACTCTGCTTTTCCAACGTTTACATTAGGAATTTTGGGATTCGAAAATCCTTTGTTAGAAACGGTGACTGGAATCTCAAAATTAGAATTATAGTTTGGTCTTGCAGTTCCATAGTTTGGGGGATGACTAGGAATTTGATTATTGGGTCTCCGATACCTTATGTTTTGTCTTCGAGTCCCATAGTTGGGGCCACGACTATTATAGTTTGGGCCAGGATTCCTAGAATTGGGACCAAGAGTATGATAGTTTGGTCCGGGTACTCCATAGTTTGGTCTAGGAATTAAGTTGTTGGGTCTAGAAAGGAATTGAGTCTTTGCCACAAACTTCGTTTTCTAATCCATACAGTTTTACAACCCAATGTGGTAGACCTTTGATATTTCAAACTCAGAATTCTTTTAGACCAAATAATCTTAGTTTGAAATATCAAAGGTTTACACCATCAAGTCGCAAAAATTCAGTGATAAGAAAATTTTAATTTGTGGCAAAGACTCAATTCCTTTGATTGATGAGCTTAGGAGTTTCAAATTTATTCCCAGAAGTTTTATATTTGGCTCCGGGAATGTGAGGTTTTGGACTGTTAAAGTTGGCTCCAGGATTGGCATGAATAGGAATATCAAAGATGGCTCCAGGTGTTTCATAATTTGGTCTAGGAATTGGAATCCAATCGTTAGTATCAAGCTCAAACTTTGGCTTCATCTTTTCATTCCTGAAAAGTGATTTGTTATATTTTTTGAAATAATTTTGTATTTTATCTTTTTCTCTGAAAAATATTTAAAACAAGACGTGGACTTATTGTCCGCTTGATTTAAAGAAAATTGAATATTCAATTTTAATTTATGTTCTTTGTCATGAATACTTTGAATTCTGTATGATAGTAAAATTTTAAAATATCAAAGGTTTAAACAAGAGGGTTCGAAAATTTTAGTTTAAGTTTATATCCTTTCTCAACATTTAAGTGGTCTTCATTTATGTGAACAATTACGCCCACACAATTTAAACTTGTTAAATTTGAAATTTGAAATTTGTGTGGGAGTAAAGATAAAATTTTCAAATTTCTAATATTTAAAATATATAGATCTAAAAGACCAAAATTCTTTGATAAGTTAAAAATCAACTTTAAAATTAACATTTAGCCTTTTAGTCTTTATATTTTTACTTCTTCTTATCAAGTATTTGTTAGACTTTCTTTACATCAGAGAAATAAATATTCTAATCCCTATTTCTTTTCAACCTGATGGTTTAAACCTTTGCATTTTAACAAAGATAATTTGATCTAACATAACTCATAGTTTAAAATATGAAAATATGAAAGGTCTACAACATAGGGCTGCAAGGAGGGATTATAAAATCAGAGTTTGCGGCAAAAACTCAATTCCCTTCACGGTTTGATCTTTTAAAATGATTATTTTCAACAAAAAAATGTAATCGACATTTATTCTCGGCAAAATATTTTCGTTTCGACCGACATGAATCTCTAAAATGTTTTATCTAAGAGTTGCTGCTACCTGTAATAATCATTGGTTTCGTATATATTCAAGTTTTCTTCCGCGTAATTTCTGTCTTCTAAGTTATCACTTCCAACTTCTTCCTTGTTATTCCCACTTTCCCACTTGTTTGTCTCACTTTCCATTTTTTTATTCCCACTTTCCAACTTGTTATTCCCACTTTCCAACTTGCTAGTCTTACTTTCCAGTTTGTTATTCCCACTTTCCAAATTGTTATCCCCAATTTCCAACTTGTTATTCCCACTTTTCAGCTTTTTATTCCCATTGTCCATCAAATGACTGACAATGTTAACCTTATAATTCCCACTTCTACGATTGTTATTTAAACCTTCCAGATTTTTTTCTTTCAAGTGATGAATTTTCTTCTTTTCGCTGTCAATGATATCATTTTTCTCTTCTTTATAGTTATACACCGCGTTACTGCTAAAGTTCAAGTAAAACAATTTATTATTGCATATTTTATTCATCAAATCTCTAGAGTTCTCTCCGGGGAACCAATAAAACCAAGGAATAGGAGCATTCTTCTTTATTTTTGATGCTGTTATAAAGCAAATAAGACCAAGGAACAGGAGCATTCTTCTTTGTTTTTGATGCTGTTATAAAGCAAATAAAACCAAGGAACAGGAGCATTCTTCTGTGTATTCGATGCTGTTAAAAATAAATAGTTTTACCAGTAGATTAAATATAAATCAAATAAGTCTGTGTAAACATTTCACAATAATTGTGTTTCATGTTCATTGGTCTATTTAAAATCATAACCTGAGTCGAGAAATAGCTTCATATTCCATCGTTTTATGGGTACCACTGTAGCATTATCTAAACCTCTAATTTTCTCCAAGTTAACACAAATTTTACTAACGCTTGAGGTGGGTTATAGAGAAAGACCGGCTAAACATGGTAGTTGAGCTGAAAGTGAAGTATTGGAGAGAAAACTTTAGGATTCATTTGATACCAGTGAGACATTTTAACGTTGTACAATTTTTAAAAAAGAGCGTAAAGTTGTTTATTAGTATTGTTTCAAAATATAATGACGTTTTCTTTCTATGTTTTTACCTTAAATATTGTAAAATATTCATGTTGACATCACTTTCTTTATCTTTCCTACAAAATGAATATTCAAGCATTATTTGTATTTCACAAAACTTTTATTGTGAACTCTTATCAACAAAATAAGAGTTTTTTTATGCTTTGATTTTTTAATTTGTGATTCAATCACAAATTGTCTTATCAAGTTTTATTAGAATTAGATATGAATGTTCCCAATTTGGAAAACTGATTATTTTGTTTTGTGGTTTCTGAAATGTGTCTGTTATATTTTGGCTTACATCGCTTACATGTCATGAATATGTTTACATGTCATGTCATGTCATGAATATGTTTACATGTCATGTTTATGTTTACTCCGACAGCCACAATATGTTTTTGATGTATTCCGACGTGAAAAAGTTTTATTTTGCCCGACAATGTAAATGGAATTCTTTACTCTGACTTGAAAAAGGTTTGGATTACTCCGACGTCAAATGAAATGGGTTGGAAATACTCAGACCGTGAAATGGTTTGGATTACTTCGACCTCAAATGAAATGGTTTGGATTTATTACGACTGAGATATAGTTTGCGTTTACTCCGAACTCATATGAAAAGGTTTGGATTTACTCCAACCGTGAAATGGTTTGGATTTACTCCGAGTTTAAATATTGAATTGGTTTGGATTACTCCGACCTTAAATGAAAAGGCTTGGATTTACTCCGAGTTTAAATATTGAATTGGTTTGGATTACTCCGACCTTAAATGAAATGGTTTGGATTTACTCCGACATCAAAATTTGAAATGGTTTAGATTTACTCCGACAGTGAAAAAGTTTGCGTTTTCTCCGACCTCATATGAAATGGTTTGGATTTACTCCAACCATGAAATGGTTTATCTTTACTCAGACTGTGAATAGGTTTGAATTCAGTTTTTGACTCTACAATGGGATGAGTTTACTCCGTCCGTGAACTGACTTGAGTTCAATTTATTCTGATCGTAAAATGATGTTGAATAACTTTACTCCTTAAATGGGTTGGGTAAGGGTTTACTCACTAGGTTAAAAGTTTCACATAAATTTTACTCCGACCATGAAATGGTTTCGGTTTACTCCGACCATGAAATGGTTTCGGTTTACTCCGACCATGAAATGGTTTCGGTTTACTCCGACCATGAAATAGTTTAATAAGTTGACACCTACAGTGTTTATTCCGACAGCGTAATGGTTTGGGTTTACTGTGACCATGAAATGATGAGGATTTACTCAAACCGTAAAAATATTTACTCCGACGATGAAATTGTTTGGGGTTGCTTTGTTTACTAAACTATATAGTTTCACTAAGTTACAGTGGCATATTTGGGGTTTACCCCGAACATAAAATGGATTGGGTTTACTCCGACCATGAAATAGTTTTGGTTTAGTCAGATCATAAAATAAATTAATTAAGCTAACCTAACACCTACAGTGGACTATTCTGAATTTACTCGGACCATACAATGGATTGGGATTACTGAAGCCATGACATTGTTTGGATTTAAACCTACCTTGACAAAGTTTGTATACTGTGACCATGAACTAGTGAAATGAGTTGGGTTTACTCCGACCAAGAAATGATTTGGTTCTCTCCGACCTTGAAATAGTTTGGGTTTACTCCTACAATGAACTAGTTTGGGTTTACTCCGACCTTGAACTAGTTTGGGTTTACTCCGACCATGACATAGTTTGGGTTTACTCCTACAATGAACTAGTTTGGGTTTACTCCTACCATGAAATAGTTTGGGTTTACTCCGACCTTGAACTAGTTTGGGTTTACTCTGACCATGAAATAGTTTGGGTTTACTCCGACCTTGAAATTGTTCGGGTTTACTCCGACCATGAAATAGTTTGGATTTACTCCGACCATGAAATAGTTTGGATTTACTCCGACCTTGAAATAGTCTGGGTTTACTCCAAATATGAATTAGTTTGGGTTTACTCCGACCATGAAATAGTTTGGGTTTACTCCGACCATAAAATAGTTTGGGTTTACTCCTAACATGAAATAGTTTTGGTTCACTTCGACCATGAACTAGTCTGGGTTTACTCCAAATATTAACTAGTTTAGGTTTACTCCGACCATGAAATAGTTTGGGTTTTCTCCGACCATAAAATAGTTTGGGTTTACTCTGACCATAAAAATAGTTTGAGTATACTCAGACCATAAATAGTTTGGTTTTACTCCGACCAAGACATGATTTAGATTATTCCGACCTTGAAATAGTTTGGGTTTACTCCGACCATGAAATGATTTAGTATACTCCGACCATGACATAGTTTGTGTTTACTCCGACCAAGAAATGATCTGGTTCACCCCAACCGTATGAAATAGTTATGTTTACTCCGACCAAGAAATGATCTGGTTCACCCCAACCGTATGAAATAGTTTAGGTTTACTCCGACCAAGAAATGATCTGGTTCACCCCAACCATGAAATAGTTTAGGTTTACTCCGACCATGAACTAGTCTGGGTTTCCACCTTCAATGAAGTTTGGTTAACTCTGATCATGAAATGGGTCCTACCGTAAAATGGTTTGGGTTTATCCCGAACGTAAAATGATTATGAAATCCATAGTTTTGGGTTGCTCCGACTGCTGAATGTTCTAGCATGGTTTATGTTTACTCCCATCGTAAAGTCAAGAAAGAACTTTGTATTCAAAGTGATAAATGTAAACTTTAGCATTTAAATATCTCTAAAACATAAACTTTATACAACTTGGTTTGTAAAACATTTTACATTTTCTTTCTCTAATAAAGTTTATAAAAAAAATCAGTATTATCAAATTATAATTTTTGAAATAGATACAAACCTGATGAGTCGATAATGAAAACGTTTTGTCAATCTTTGACAAATTTTACATTTATCTTAATGTTGAATTTGTAAATAGTTGCTTTTTTTGTATTTAGTCTGAGTACAAACAAAATATTTACAACAAGAACTAATAAACATTTTTTTAGAAAAATTATGTTCAGTGTATCTTTTATTCAGAGAATGATGGCTCCAGGTACAACAGCCAGCATTATCTTTGCAGCGTTGAAATCAAAGAGAATAGAATATATATTAGAGGGGAATTTAGCCAATCCCACTTTATGAATTTTGTCAGTCCCTTTCAGTCTGAAAGGGAGTTCAAAGTGTACAAATTATGTAAATGTTCACAAATTATATGCAGTAGAGTACATTAATACAGTATGTTCCCTAGACTATACCATTTCAATTTCGAATTTTTTAAAGCTGTTAAATAAACTTTATAAAATGAATTAGGTGAATGAAAAACATCATTTGATTTATAGTTTTAACGGAAAATCATCGTTTGTAAAGTGAACGGCATAGAGTCTATGTGAAATGATCATTGGTCAATTTTGAAACCAACCTATTTCTTAATTTGGTTTTCTTTCAATATTAATTTTAAATTTTCTATAAAATGATGTTCCACGGCCCAAAAGGTTATATAGCACAAATATGTGAAGTACACCTGCAATATGGAGACTACAACAAAATGGCCGTTTTACTCTTTTTTTTAGTAAATTCCACTCTAATATATATTCTATTCTCTTTGGTTGAAAATCGTTATATCCAAGATACAAAAGTATACGTGAACTTTTAAGGTAACACCAAGGGCTAAGCCTGGCGACATCGAAAAGTCAACTCAGTCTCAGTTAGTTTTTCAATAATTTGTGTAGCTGTATTTACGTACTTGCGTGGAATATAAATTAAATAAGAAGATCAAACTGGATGTCCCAAAAAACTTATTCTTACTTCCAATATCCACCTTTTTGGTATGACGTGAAAATCTTTTATAGAAGGAAAGATAAAGAAAGGTGTGAGGGGAAGTAAATGAGAATTTCAAGAAAATAAAATAAATTATGATATCTCGTGTTTTATCCCGATGTTTTACCTGTATATAGTTGGAGTTGTATCATTATAGTTTTCATAATCATACATCACATAATCAACAACAAACTCATTCGGGTCTAAATAAAACAATATATATTATAAAGTATATAAACCTGTAGAAAATTTGACAACGTCATCATAAAAAATTAAAGCCGTACACAACAAAAAGAATGGAAAAATGTTTATAGCTGAATCGGAGGAAGATTTTTTTAAAAATACTTTGCATACCAACCAGACAGAGAAATATATATTACTTTATCAGCGGTCCTGTATTCAGAACTGCTTATTAGCCTTTCAGGGGGTATGCAGATAATGTAGCATAGTAAAATAAAGTTAAGAAGTGGACAGAGTGGTCAGAAAAGAATATCTATCTGTACAGGGTGTAGATAAGTCGGATTCGGATAAGGATAAATATCTATCTGTACAGGGTGTAGATAAGTCGGATTCGGACAAGGATAAATATCTATCTGTAGAGGGTGTAGATAAGTCGGATTCGGATAAGGATAAATATCTATCTGTACAGGGTGTAGATAAGTCGGATTCGGACAAGGATAAATATCTATCTGTAGAGGGTGTAGATAATTCGGACAAGGATAAATATCTACCTGTAGAGGGTGTAGATAATTCGGACAAGGATGAATATCTACCTGTAGAGGGTGTAGATAATGCGGACAAGGATGAATATCTACCTGTAGAGGGTGTAGATAATTCGGACAAGGATGAATATCTAATTGTAGAGGGTGTAGATATTTCGGATACGGATGAATATCTACCTGTAGAGGGTGTAGATAATTCGGATAAGGATGAATATCTACCTGTAGAGGGTGTAGATAATTCTGATAAAGATGAATATCTACCTGTTGAAGGTGTAGATAATTCGGATAAAGATGAATATCTACAAGGATACAGGGAAGAACTCACGCTGCTCTTCGGAACATCTTTAGTCACGGACGTTTATGTATACATCGTTCAGAATTTGAAGGAGGGGGGGGGGAGTATTAATCGACTTTATTTGTATCAGGTAAAAATATCCTATCCTGTAAAAAGAAAGGCTTTTGTTTGTTTCAATATAGTCACAGCTGCTTTCTTTAAGACTTTTAACGCGAAGAATAGTGGCTTGATTTTTACAAATTGAAAATTTCTGCATTAGTATCTTATTTATCACAAGTTCAATGAATAAATACATAAACTGCACCTTCAGATAATATTAGATTTTGAAAGGATGGATCAGATCTACTCATCATGGACGGGTTTACTCCATCAGGAAATCTCAAGTATGGTTGAATATCATAAATATATTTAACAGTAGGTTTAATACTGTTGTCAATATATCTGAGAGAAGGGTTGTCTAGAACAACTCTGGAGCTAGGAACGTCTTCGTATCTGATCCATGTCGGTTCCTCGTTAAAAATATTTTCCGAGATGCCATCTTCCGTTGAAATTGAAGAAAAGATGTTCTGTAGCTCGGATGGTTTTTCATTCGTGCCCATTTCGCTCGGCAAACTAAAATTTAGACATTTAAAAAAATCCAGATTTAGATTAAGTATTCGTATAGCTCTCTACATTCCGGTGTCTTTGAAAAAGTTTTTTTTTGTCTACTAAACGTAATATTTTACACCTTTCTGTTTAAATCATTAAACTTTCTATTGTTTTGAAATATTTTATCGTCGTAAAACTATCATAATTTTCAGGCGATAATTCCTAAAAGTTTAAATTGCACCCCGCGACCGACGGGTTTCCCGACGCTCTTGCACCCTCGTACGTAAAGCGATCCGACTGGAACAGCAGAGAGCCTGCCTAAACGCGCATTTTCACAAGGATAGATACATTGTGCAGACAAACTTTGAATAAAATATGAAGCTTAAAGATATCCAATAAATATCTCATACGATAAAGAAATGAGTCTTTAATGTATACAAACTCTGAATTTCTAATCTCTATATCTTTTCCATCCGATGCCGTAGAACTTAGTTTGAAATATCAAAGGCTTGCAACATCAGGCTGCCAAGATAAAGAGATTAGAAAATTTGAGTTCTAGGCAAAATTCATTTCCTTCGATACATGAGTGGCTGGCTGATCTTTGTAATAAAAATAAAAAATAATATATGTTCCCTCTTGCCGGTTAAACGGCTGGACCGAATAGAGTGACATTTTTTTGTAGGCACTCATGGGTAGCCTTGGGGTGACAAAGGCTAAAAAAATCGATTAAAAAAAGCTTCAATTTTTTTCGTCAAATTTTTTTTCCACGCGCAACGCTGGGCAATTAAGCTGGTTTCAAATAAAATTCTTGCAAAAATCTATACATATTTACATTCCTTTCGTGTTAAGCATAAGCTTTAAAAATCTATAGTATACACTATCACATGTAAAATTCTTTGTAGTTTTCCATTATAATTATATTATTTGTCACTTTTGCGCCCTAAAAGTGTGCCCAAAACGTGGGTCCTTAATGTGCGTCTCCTCAATGAGTGTCTTTAAAGTACGTCCTCTTTTTGTTACAGTATGTTAGTATTTTGTTAAATATTGCCAGCTAATATAATGATTGACACATTTTAGTTTTTAGAAATATTGTTAAAGTTAATAACCTGTTTTCATGACTAGAAGAAGGCAGTAAGGTTGATTTTAAACTTTGAATTGTTTCCAAATCTTGTATTTCTGGCTGAATCATGGGATCATAAACCTTGTCATTCTCAACAATAGATCCATTGATACTAATACCCTAGACAGAAGAAATCATTAAAAATAAAAAAAATTATGAGTTAAAAGAGGAAAAATACAAGAAATAAAACTAATTTTTTGGAGTGTTATAAAGGGGAATGCAGTTGCACACATTTTCAGACAAATGGTGGGGGGGGGGCGCTTCGTGTTAATAGATTTCTCTCTGTTTTTTTTGCATGCAGGCCTGAATTGTGATCTATTTTTTTAATCAAAAACCAAAAGAGGAGAAAAATAAGTTTTACCCTAATTTTTTCCCGCATTTTTCGGACATTTTTTCAAAAGCTTTGTGTAAGGTCCATGTGGGGTGTCGAAAGTCATCAACATTGGGTCGGGAAACTCAATTCTCGGCTCTATATAATGCATTTCCCCCTGTCCTAATACCATTCCCCCCCTCTTTCCCGCATTTCCCCCCTCTAAAAAGTCGATGAAGCCATCTGAGTTCTGACTTTATTACAAAAGATTTCTCTCTGATTTTTTGCATGCAGGCCAAAATTGAGATCTAGTTTATTTAATAAAATACCAAAAAAGGGGGAAATAAATTGTCCCCCTCATTTTCCCCGCATTTATAGGTCATTTATCAAAAACTTTGTGTTAGGTCCATATAGGGTGTCAAAAGTTATCTACTTTAGGGCGGGAAACTCAATACTGATTTTTGACATGCAAGCCTAATTTGGAATCTAGTTTTTGAAAAACAAACTGGGAAAAAAAATCCCCCCCTTATTTTTCCCGCAAACTGGATTGATCAAAATATTTTGTAGCAAATAACTCTTATTATGGACTATAATATTAATAATTTTTAAAAGTTTACAAATGTTTATATTATAATCTCAATGATTTAAGCAACAGAACTGCAAATCCGCCCAACCTTTCTGAGGAAATCTATTTAATTACAAATCCACTGAGAATCTGACCAAGGAATACAAGAAGAAAAAGGTAAAATTACAACTTGTGAGCAACAAATACAGGTAAATCGTACAAAGAACTAGAGTGCAATGAAATATTGTCAATAAAATGCCTTCTGGGAATTACAAGTTCTCTTCATAATCATATCCAGGACTTTTATAATATTAACAACTTATATAACTACTAACATATCCAGGACTTTATATATAATATTAAAAACTTATAACTAGTCTACTAACATATCCAGTTCTACTAGGAAAATAAATGATTGAAGTCTATAAATTAAGTTGATATAATTACATCAAACATTATAAATAGTCCAAAATAAGAGTTATTTGCAACAAAATAGTTTGAGCAATCCAGTTGTTATCAGAATATTTGGCGAGATAACTAAGCGCTGTAGTATTTACAACAAAGGGAAATGTTTTTGAAAAAATGCGGTAATAATAAAAGGGGAATTTTTTTCCCCAAGTTTGGTTTCCAAAAACTAGTAATAAAGTCAGAAGGCTTAATCGACATTTTAGAGGAAGAAAATGCGGGAAGGGGGGGGGAATGTTATTAGGACAAGAGGAAATGCATTTTAGAGTCCAGAATAGAGTTTCCCGACCCATTTTGATTTTTTGATTAAAAAAATCACAATTCATGCCTGCATGCAAAAAATCAGAGATAAATCTTTAAAAACGAAGTCAGAAGCCCCCCCCCCCTCCGCCTTTGTATGGAAATGTGGACTTTCCTCTTTTTTAAAAAGAAAAACAGTTACTTATAGGGGATTGAAAATAAAAACAAAAACAAGTAGTATCCTATTAATTATTAAATTCCGCAGGATTTATAAATATTTTTAAATTTATTTAATTATGTACATCAAGGTGACAAATCCAGAATATCAAGGAAAACAGAAATACATTTTTCTCCTAAAGGAATGAGTCTTTGCAAGCACACTCTGATTTCCTAATCCCTATTTCTTAATTAATATTAATACTGTTGGATTAAATAACTTCAGTAAAAATATCAAAAATTCAAACATCAGGTTGCAAAATGTAGGAATTTAAAAATTTGAGTTTGTAGCAAAAACTCAGTTCCTTTCACCATTGTTTTCAAAAACTTTACAAAGGAAATGAGTCTTTGCAACAAAATCATATTTTCTAATTTGTATATCTACTTAAATGAATGGTGTAGACCTTAGATATTTCAAACTATGAATTCTGTTAGATCAAATAGTCTAAGTTTGAAATATCAAAGGATTTCCCTATTAGGTTGAAAAGATATAGAGGTTTGAAAATTTTAGTTTGTGGTAAAGACTCAATTCCTTTAAAGAAAACAGTTGATAATGATAATAATTTGTTTAAAAAAATAATTCTTTTACCGATATTATTGTGAAGCAGCAAATATATTCTCGTCCAATAAACATTTTTCACTCATTAAATATTGATCATTGATCACAACTGACTGATTATATTTGACCTATTAGTGAATAACATGATCCAGAAAATTGATCAGATGTATTGTCAGAGATTCTGATTGATCGAATAAATTTGATTATTGATTAATTGATCAGGGTGGTTGAATGTGAACAATGTGAATAGTTGAATGAAACTAATCAAGTTCAATTCTAAACCAATTTCCCAAAAATGTCGACTCATTCGGGGGAAAATTGAAAATAGGTGATTCTGGATAGAGAGATAGATAGATAGATTGAAAAGTACTTAACCACTGATTCATTTAACTTTACAATTAAAGAAATAAAGGACATTTATATCCAGGGTTATTCATTAAACATTAGATTGGTCAGGGGACATTTATATCCAGGGTTATTCATTAAACATTAGATTGGTCAGGGGATTACAAGGATAGATCTATACTAGACAATAGATTACAAGGATAGATCTATTCTTGACAATAGATTTCAAGGATAGATCTATACTAGACAATAGATTACAACGATATATATACACTAGACAGTAGATTACAAGGATAGATCTATTCTAGACAATAGATTACAAGGATAGATATACACTAGACAATAGATTACAAGGATAGATCTATTCTAGATAATAGACTACAAGAATAAATCTACACTAGACATTAGATTAAAAGGATAGATCTATTATACACAGTAGATTGCAAGAATATATCTATACTAGACAATTAACATAGGCAGATTTTCCAGGAATAAATCTGACGTCATCAGCTTTAAATTCACACAGTACGCTAGGTCTGCAACATTAATCAAAATTTATAACGAAATGGTCTTTAATATTCGTTGACAACATATAAATTCTGATATTCACAAACCATTCCCTTATTTAATTTCAATGAAATCATAACAAGGTGTTTGTAATATTTCAAATTAAGAAATGTTCAAATCTTAAGATTAGTATCTATTCTTAACCAGTGTTTTTTTTCCATCACAACAAACAACCTTGTAATTCAAATTTTTAATGTCAAAATATTGCTCATTTATTAAAAAACAAACAAGTTCTCTAGTTTCATATTGTGAATAGTTTATACTTAACATGTTTAATTTGTCATGTAATCTGATAATAATATTTATATATTTATACAAAGAAACGTATGGTCAAAAGGTAAATATATAGTGATGTTTCTAGAAAATTATGTTGTTAATAAAAAGTTAATAATATTAAAATTTAAGTATAGAATTTACGATACAAGGTTGTTTAAACAGGAGGAGACTTTAATTACGACCTAATCTCTTTAAACCATATGACTGATTGTAGGTTGACTTGAAATACTTGTACTTTAATAAATGATCTTTCAAAGGGACTGTAAGCGTAATTTCAAGTGACCCTTCAATGCCAAGATGCTTGGCAATGCCCGATTTACAATTGGTACCTTTTAAAGCTTTGTCTGATCAAGTATGAACTAGATATTCATGTTTTTGTATCTTCAAACTGTTTTTTTTTTTCATTTGTTTCTCCGTGAAAGTGACTTAAGCGAGTTTCTTTCTTATTAGAAGTAATTGGGAAACTCATATTAAGGGTTTAAAAGTACCGTTGTAAATCGGGCATTGGCCTCCATGCATGGAGGCCGGAGGGGCACTTAAAATTACGCTTACAGTCCCTTTTGAGTATAAAGAAACAAATACATTGCTGCAGTGAATCATGAATTTAAAAAAATAATTTTAAAAATTTGTTCAGTCGTTTCTGAAGTCTCATCTTTGTGGGTTAATCCTGCAACATACAAAAATCAAGAAAAATAATAACTTGGGTTAATTATAGCTTATTTATGTAAAAAGCAGACCACATTTTAGTAAATCCTATATTTCATATTATTTCATTAAATTATACATAAAATCACAATTTTATAAAAATCAAGTTTTTAGCCAAATAAGTTGTGCAGTAAAGTTGAGAACAAAAGACTAAAATGTGAAGATAATCATGCTGAGTGCTGGGGACCCCCTCCTACATGTTTTTGTATGTAAGTAACCAATATTATATATAACGTTCTCAACGTGCTTACTTAAAAGTGCTTTCTTATTATTAGGTTCTCAATATAGCGTGTCGTCAATGTCCTTATTTTAAATGCATCCTTTTTTGAGACACGTAATTTTGTCAGCTAATACAGGGTGTCCCAATAAACGTGGGAGTTCAGTGAAGAATTCAATATCGTCTTTTTAAATAATTCTTTGATTTAGTATAGTGATACCTACACCTACTGAGAAAGCTGTAATCTGTAAGAGTTTCGTCTGCTATGTTCACATTTAGTTTGTTTATGTTTGACTTAGTAAAACAAGAAAATTACAGTATACAAACAGAGTAAACTTGTCCGTCTTCACTCTTCATCTTGTGGAGACATTATAGACACATCTTTGCAGTCTTTTACCCTTTACAAAAAATAAATTCAAGCAGACATAACATAATTATGGCTTTTGAAATTATGTATTAAAATACTAATACATAACAAAGACGATATCGAATTCGTCACTGAATTCCCATGTTTTTTGGGACACCCTGTATGTTAGAGAGTTCCTTATTTATATGGTCTTTTTTCTCCCCTTCTTTGGTCATAAAACACGTTTAATTAGATTTGATGATTTTAATAGCAGAAATATTAATTTTCTTAAATTCAGCTATGAAGGAACATATCCAGATTGCACCTCTCCTTCAAGTAGAGGTAAGCATATCAAACCAAATTTTTTGAATAGTGAGAAGTAGTTGAACTTAGTGTACTAATTTAAACTACTTCAATTAAAATAAGAGAAGTAGTTAACAACGTAGTTCTGGAAGTAAAGTTACGTCGCTATTCATTCAGGTTTTCTTTTACAGTGTGGCGGTTATGAAAGTCGTCTTCTACCAGAGAATCATCCGCAGCCAAATTTTTTTTTTTAATATTAAAACCGTAAAAAATCCAACTTCAAATGTTGACTTCATTGATGTTAAAAATTATATTTCATTTTGGAATAAACCTTTTCAGTTTTTACTATTAATTATTCTAGATAAATAACAACTATTGGCAATAATCATCGTTTATTAAAAGAAACTCTCGACCTAATTTTAAGTGACTTCCCATTTAAAGACTTGCAATTCCGATTTTATCCTTTTTATCGTTAAAAGTGTTAAGTTCTGACGATTTCATTCTTAGCCTCTGATGCAAAAATTCGCAAGTAACTTTTATGAACTTTAATTATAGTCGTTTAAAACCTTAATAATGGAATTGTAATTTTGCAACTATAATTTTAACAACAGTTAATCGTCAACTATGTTTGATCGTTAACGATGGTTAAATGGGGGTATTTAATATACAGGGTTACTAACACTCACAAAGGATGAGACTTTAATAGTGATCTGATTCTCATGATTTATTACGACTTTAGAAGATTTACTTAATTATTTTCCAAAGAAAGAATTAAGTTAAAGGTTACAGGGAACTAAGTTGCAAGGAAAATTTCATCAGTCGTCTTGAGAGTCTCATCCTTAGAAGGTACCCCTGTATTTTAGATAATGAGCCTGGGACCTGGGGAGAATGGACAAAATGTTCTAAATCTTGTGATGGTGGAGTACAAACTAGACGGAGAGAATGTGACTCCGGTCAGCCTTGTTCTGGAACCAACAATAAAAATAGGCAAAGGAAAAAATGTAACCAAGAGAAATGTGGTAAGAATTGAATTTGAATATCAAATACGAAGATTAACAACGGCACCCTTATAAGCTTTGTATGATAAAGAAAGAATTATAATTCGATTTTTTTGTTTTTTAATTCGTGGGTCAACCTTCATTATCATTCCTTTGCTTCTAAATCGTTTATATTGGATCTAATTTTATTGCATTATAACATACCAGCTTGGATACACTGCTTTTTCTGGAGTTTTCCCAGTAAAAGTCAACCTACTCAACATAGAATTTAAAAACCAAACAGAAGAGAACATTCCCGTGGTTCTCAAGAGTTCCCCAATTTGAGGAAAACAATTCGTTCAGAGGTTTTTGAGTTATGATCGGACATCCAAACAAATAAACTGAAAACAGATATTACTGCTGACCAACCAACTAGCTAACATATATATATATGTGTGAAAAGCTTTATTTTAGATATATAGATGTATGCCATTTATGTTATTATAATTATAAAGGGCCTCTCATTTAACAATAGCTATGGTTAGAGTAGTCCATTGCGAAATTAAATTATTGTGTAACTATAATTATTTACATACATCCTGTTATTGATACATTCATCTAAACAGCAAGCATTTAATTCCATATTTTAGCTGGAAGTTGGACAGAATGGGAGAGTTGGGGAAAATGCTCCAAAGAATGTGGAACTGGATTTCAAATGCGAGGAAGGACATGCAGCTCTGAGGGAAAATGTGATGAGCTGGATGGGGGGAGAGAAAAGAGAGAATGCAACACCCAGGATTGTGGTAAGGCTTGAATTGGGTTAAAGGCAATTTTTACAGTTGAACTACTTGTGAGATTCTTATAAGATTCTTGGCTAAACGTCAAACAAAATATTAATCAAAATTTATTAGAATATTTTCTCCTATTTATATCCAATAATTATTAAATCAAACTCCAGCATTTCAATGTCACAAAAAGAAATTACCACAAACTTTGATGTTCTCGTTACATTATATCTTTGTTATCCCATGTTGTTGACCTTAGATGTTTCAAATTATGTATTCTGTTATATCAAATAAACTAAGTTTGAAATTTCCCAGGGTTTCACCATCAGGTTGCTCAGATATAGTGATTCGAACATTTGAGTTGGTGGAAAAAACTTAGTTCCTTTCCTGAGGAAAGATAAAAGGGTTTTCTTTAACTTGTATAGTTATAAACTCTAGAAATCCTGGATAACCACTACAGCTACGTCACGGAATAAACTAAACCCGTTGGTTAGTTATTCTACGGGTTAAAAAATAGCATTTTACTGAAAAGTTGCCGCCTCAGAAATGAAAAAAAGTAATTTCCTTTACTTTGCGTCAAATCTCTTGCTCTGATATGAATTTTAAATGAAACCCCGCGCCGCGAGAAAAATTGTGAATAAGAAATAGGTCCGAGAATGAATTTAAGAAATTATCGTAAATCATGGACTAAAATTGTCAGTTGATAAATAGTATAAATACAATTTATAAATATTAGGCCTAGGGGAGTGTTATGTGCTTTTCATTGGGGCTTAGGGGGGCCTATAGGTGGGCATGTCTAGGGGGTTTACAAGGGTTTCAGGCCCCTGTATACCCACTTGTATTGTATAGAAGATGTAAACGAGCCAGAACCTTGCGGAGGTAAGCCCTGTCCTCCTCCCTGTGAACCAGGGGTGTGCCTAGAGCTTGCCAACTATTCGGGGGATCCAGGAAGGTAAACGAGACGACTTGAAGGTCGTTCTTTATACTTAATAGCTTTCAAGGAAAAAAACAAAGCTTTTCAGTAGACACAACCTAACCTAACCTAACCTAACCTAACCTAACCTAACACAACATCATGAAAAGCTAATAAAACGTGAATTTTTTCTTTGATCAATACTTTGTATTTCGATCTCAACTTTCAAGTTTAGTTATATGTACAACACTGATTTCTAATATTTTTTAGAGCGGGATATTATGATTAAATTTAAGGAAATTGCATTTTAAAACATCTCATTCTCTTCACAAAGTGTCGTTATTCATCTAAAAAAAAATGGTTTCCTCCATACTTAAAAATTATAAAATTCAACACTTTTTTGAGAACAAAATTCGGGTTATTTTATGGGTTTAATTTTACCGCCTGTTCAAATCTTGCATCTTGCAATTGACAGAAATTGTAAATAAGATTTTTAAAAAAATTCTAAAAGAGAATTTTTATTGCATTTAGGTTTGATAGACCCCTTCAGGAGATTCCAACAGTGGAAGCGTGTAGGCAAGAATGTGATAAAGAACCTAGGTGCTGTCATTTTACCCACTATGGACCTAATCATCCAAGTATGTTAATTTAGAAAAAATACAAAAATAGTTTTTTTAGTGCAACTGAATCACATACTTAGTTTATGTATTATAATCAAGACATAATGCATAATTTTTCTTTTCCAGATTATACCAGCATTTGTAAATTTTATTATACCATAAGATGAAAATATAGTACAATTTGATACAACTTATAATTACATTGTTTCTTCCTCATTCTCTTCAATTTCTTTATAGAGGACTTTTTTTCAGTGATTACAAAACGCTGCAGTTTTCTTATATAATCTAATACCGTATACGTACTGAAATGTATAGACAGTTAAAAGATTTAAAAACATCAGAGCTGTCTTGCAGTACGAATGCACGAGTTTAAAGTTCTGTAAATTATGAATTTTGGGATAATTTGAATTGAATTCCAAGTCATTTTACATCCCAAAAATGGCTTGTATTAAAACTCAGAGGAACTTGATGGTTTTATCTAGAAAATGCTGCAGAGATTATATGGATTTTAAAGGTTTAAATGTTTAATCTATAGCTTAAAATTAAGGTTTAATTTAAGTTACGAGCGTTATTTAAGCTGAAACTAAACATTTAAACCGTAGCTTTTCGTTCCGGTGTTTTGGACTCAGTTCTTCTAAGTTTTTGTATATGTTTAAAAATTAACTGACTAATTTTTTTTCTAGACAGAGTACCGGGCCGTGGTGCATTTACTTGTTGGCTTAAGACTTTAAAAAGTAGAAGAATTGTTAGAAATAAACCCTGGCTTACAAGAGGACCAACTTACTCGGGATCAAAAATCTGTAGATAATTAAAGTTTGATCAAATATATTGTACAAAGGTAGTTTCAAGTTAATAGTAAAAATGGAATTAAAATATTTTCTTAATGTGATTAGAAATCTAGCAAGAATCAAGCAATTTATTTACTTTAATGCATTCTAATTTATTTACAAGCGTAAAATCAGAAGTAGATGAGTCTCGAGGTGGCAAAGTTGTAACAGTAATTCTGCACAAATTTGACCTTTTCCGCATGTCTAGAATAGATTTGGGTGTCATTTGTTTTCTTTTCATTAATTAATTTTAATCCATGTTCTCTCCTACAAACAAGTTCTTTGCTCTGATCTTGAAGAGGATTGTTTACATCGAGGTTTTAGGAAGAATTTAATTATATTCTTTAATTCTCCAGGTAACCTTTTTTCTTCTATTTTCTGCTCTCGACAATTTGATCGTTGGCCTAGATTGAATTCCTGAAATTATTCTATCTCTTCGTCAATTTTATGAAGATAAAAAAGAAAAGAGTAAAAATATAGAATAATCTGGTTTAGGGTGTTATAAAACTTTACATAAAGAAATAATGCGAATTTCTAAATATTCTTTTGCAAATTTCTTACAAATATTACAAATGATAACTCGTTTCAGAACTTTTGTGATAACTCGTTTCATCTACGCCGCGAACGGTTGTGATGTCAAATTTCTCAAAACTTATAGATTGCTTTGCTTTCTTTCTATCTTAAATTGGCAATGAATGTTCTCAGAAAAATATTTATCCCTAAGTTGTGTTCGGTTGCTTTGTTTTAACGCACTCCTGACCCTTTAGTAAAAGTAAATTCAATGTAAAGTCTAACCAAGCCAACCTTGTTGAAATTCAAATGTACTACGGCTGCCCGTGTTTTGAATTCAACAATCTTTTAATTTACAGTTTTATTTTTATAATTGGTTATTTAAAACGCAACCGCTTAAGAAAAAGTAAAAACCAAATGATAAAAAATATTCGTGTTTAATTGGTCAAATTGTGGTCGAAAGTCACAGGTTGCTGGACCAAGAACTAAACTGATAGATGGTCAACATAAAAAGAGATATCTTCCTTAAATATGAGTTCAGGTATCTCGATCTCCACCTCTTCTAGTATACGCTGTTCAGTCATCCTGTTAAACACAATTTTTTAAATCTTATTTTTTTTAAAGAAAAAAGGAATGTCACCTTTCACACAGTATCTTTACTGTTTTTTCAACACCCTTTTCTTGCCGTCGTCCTCTTCAAAAGAAAAAAAACACAAATTTTAGAATTATATAAAAAAGAAAAATCATGCAAGTTTAGAGATGCATTTTTAACAACACAAACAAAAAGAAATTCTATTTTGGCCCAGTCCAAGGGGAAGGAAGTGGTATTTAAAAGGTCCGCATGAAGTTCCCTTCCCTATGGAACACTATGTTGCATCTAGTAATTTTTTGCTAGGAAAATGTGACTGCCTGTTTTTTCTACGTAGTTTAAACTGTAAAGTGCGGAAACGATGGAAACGTGCCAAATTCACATAATATTTTGAAAATTTAATCTACATTGAATCTGTACCTATGTGAAGAAACTATTGAGGTCAGAGAAGACAGAGATGAGAAATGACCGGACAGTCTCAAATTTTTATCTTGTAATCTCAGAGATTTCCTAAAGAAACTCAGTTTTTAATTGACACAAACTTAAATCTTCTAGTCCTTATATCTTTGTAACCCAATGCCGTAGACCTTTGATATTTCAAACGATGAATTTAGTTAGATACAATAATAAATGAAATATCAAAGATTTGCAACATCAGGTTGTCAAGAAATAAGGGTTATAAAATTAGAGTTTTCGGCAAAAACTCAGTTCCTTTCAATAATGTTATTTAAAAGAATATTTGGTTTAAACTTAAAGCTAAAAAACCCGTTGAGATCAAATAATAATTAATAAACAAATTAATACTTAAAACGCATTAAGAGCTTAAAACAAAAGGGCTAAATTGTCATGGGAGATGGGAAATGGGAAATGGGCATATAGAATTTTGAGGGACACAAAGACTCTTAAAACAAAGATATATTTGCTACTAATATCTCATTATATATTGTGCGGACTCCGTGATTAAAGCCATTATTGATAAAGATATTAACATTATACATCTATGATGACCCCAGGCGTGATTGATATGCGTATCGTTAGGGGGAGTGCTGATGGGTAAGATTGCCTAGGGCCAGGAACAACCCCAGAAATGTTCTTTAAATGAAATAAATAAATGTAGGCTAATGATGAAAAAGTTTNGAAGCGCTATGGTTCCCATGATCATCTCCTCTGGTTCCCACTGTCGAACTATAACTATATAACTGTATAACTTACTTTGGTTTGAGAACTTGTTCTGAGTCTGAGACATGAAGACAAGGAAAACTACGGGATCGAAGACCGTTCATATCCTCTTCAACAACCTTAAAGGAACTGTAAGCGTAATCGCAAGTGATACCTTCATGAAAATATGACAAGGAAGGGTACCCTAGAAAACTTTATCTTCACTGAGAAATAGATATATAATATTGCTTTGTTTTATAATCCAATTTATCCTACTGATATGTATCTAAAATGTCTAGCTGTCCAATATGGAGTACCTGAATTGAATCCAGCTCATAGTTGCTCGCTCTCATCCATTTATTAGTATTCTCCTTGGTTGATCTCCCTGCAAGCCCACCATATAATCCTTGGTTCCTGGACTCAGACGTATCTTGCAAGTTTTTCAAACACCCTTTTCTTTCAATTTGAGTGTACATAACTCCAGAATCTGTATATGACACATTTATCCCTCTGGATGTTTTAACCCTTGAATATTGTTTGGCTGAAGTTCCTGTTACAGGTCTCAATGATCCTCCATGATGTACTCCAAGATCAAATTCTCTTTCAAGATCTGCTTCAAGTGCAGATTGAGCAATATCATTAGCACCCAGGTTTTCCTTGTCCTCAAACTGATTTTATATAAGATCAATTCATGATTTTGTTTATTTTTAATCTTACCTCTTGAATTACAATGATTGGTAGAGATGAGGTTGAAGATATAGTAGATTGTGGTGTTGGGGTCGTTGATGAACATTTCATTGAAATCACTGAGGATTTATCTTCTGAATTTTCAGATGAACATATTTCAGATGATGAAATTGACTTGACGGAGGAGGCCATGGATACTCTGGATAAAGAAGATTTTTTTGTAGTGTAGGAATCCCTGTCCGAGTTTATATAGGGGATTGCTGTATAGATTGCGTTTTCGTCATCTTCAGATTTTTCAGATGTTTCTTCAATACGATCTTGAATATATGAAGCATGGATATCTGCCACGGATATTTTTCCTTTCAACTGAAAACAAAAATCACTAATAAGTCTAGTAAGTATATTAAATAGAAAAAAGTTTGATATTCACTGGGGTTTAGATATATTAGTTTAGCAATCATGATTAATTCATGTTTTTTAATATTATATCTATATAGAGCCATTTATTTCAGATTATAGACCCTAAATCTTTAAGAATGTGTTTACAACTTTTCATAAACTTTCATAATTCTGCCAGGCTCAAACTGAATTACCTGAACCTGCTTAGAACAAGTATATTCTTCATTATTGTTCTGTGTATGGGTTAGACAGGCCATGGCAGCAACCTTTTTAAAATTTAATTAATTTCTGTTTTTATCAAATATTAAATCCAAATAATTGGTTTCGATTTTTTAAAGCTTTTCTTTCAGAAATGTTTATAATTTTTTATTTACAAACGTTACCAATATAATACAAATTGTGTCTCGACATTTTTCACATAATTTTGACTTTCCTTTTCTTCGAGGCGGTGAAAAATTTTAAATATTTTAAGGAATTTAGTTTTATGTAAAAGGTTTTACTGGATTAGGTTTTAAATACTTGGATTAAAGGTTTACATTTGCATAATTTGCTACAGGACTGCAAAATAGAATGAAAACTTATTTTTCGATGTCAAGAAGGGGGGAAGAAATATAGCATAAACTCTTTTTTCTCAATGTGAAACTGAAAATAAGCAATAAATTCTATTAGGAATGAAGAAATTGTTTGTACGTCCATAGTTTTAAACAAATGGCTAATTTCTGATAACAATGGCGGATACAAAAACCAGATAGAAATATTATATTAGATAACATTTGCAAATTCAAACGAACAGATATAAATGGCAAATTATCTATTTATGTCATTGTGATGAGTATTATTAGAGGCGAAAAGTAAGAAAATGCATTTGCATGTATATGTAACTATGTATCTACATTGTACACTTGAAGGATTTCAAGCAAACTTTTTACCACGAAAAAAACATTAACTCCGCAGAATTATAAGAATTAATTAAACCGTTGAAAGCAAGAGTATAAACTATAATCCATACAATCAAATAGTGCTCGCTAAGTTATGTAACTTTTAAGATTTACACATTGGCTCACTTCTCACAAAAATCTATTGGTTCGGTTCCAATTACACTTTCTTGGATTTTCTTATTCCTATATCTTTGCAACCAAATTCAAATTAATTCAAATTATGGTTTATGTTTGATCATATATTCTAAGTTTAGAATATCCAAGATTTACACTGCCAGGTTGCAAAGATATAGGGATTAGCAAACTTGAGTTTGTGGCCAAAACTCAGTTCCCTTGATTCAGCTTAAATTTGTTTTTTGTCTTGACATTAAAAACTAAAAGTAGGATCGTTTAAATTTAAGAAAGTTCAAATCGAAAACAGTTCAAATTGATAACAAAGCAAATGATCTTTCATTATTAAATTCAAATTTTGAAAAAGAAAAGAGCATAATTTGACAATTAAATAAGTAAAAATATTGTATTATTATACTGACCTCAAAAGCAATGAGAACTGACTTCTGTGAAAACTTTGCCGAGGTCTCAACAAACATAACAGCATCCTCTGCAAAAATAAAAATAACAGCATCCTCTGCAACAATAAACATAACAGCATCCTCTGCAACAATAAACATAACAGCATCCTCTGCAACAATAATAACAGCATCCTCTGCAACAATAAACATAACAGCATCCTCTGCAACAATAAACATAACAGCATCCTCTGCAACAATACGATTCGACCAAAATACAGTTATACAGGTTATACATGAACTAAATGCTAAAATTATACTTTTCATAATAAAAGAATAACAAGTTTGAATGAATTTTTTTTGAGGATACTTTTACGGAGGTATGAGAGGAGAGTAAGGGTTGTTTACATTTTACTGTGACGTTTAGGACAGCTCAAAACCAAGTTTTTTATTGTTAAGAAACACACTGAATTTTTTTTCAGCAATTTTCATTTTTCGTATCTGAGTAATCTTTAAATAGTGTATTTAACCTGAGGTAACAGGCTTGCTAGCTGCTCCCTCCGAACGGTCAACCTACACAATAAATAAACTTCAGTAAATTGGACGTAAAATTGAAATCTTATGTTTTCAATCATAACTCCTCTTGTTGAAAAGCTTTTGGGAGGAACAAAAATGTTTTTATTTCTATTATGTAACAGAATAAATTGGGTTTTTCTCATATTTCTGATTAACAACAAAACTAGAGTAGTTACGAAGTCACTTAGACTTCACAGTGAGAAGTTAAGTTTAAAAGTTTAAGATAAAGACATAAATCAATCTAAAATATTTTTTTACTATATTTTGGTTCATTCACCTGACAAGCTGCAAGAATTATAAATGCTGCTCTGTTGTACTGTCGTAGTTTGTTTATTTTGGTTTGTAGCCCAGCGTTTTGGGCTGCAGTACGCCTAAATCATATACACTCTTATAGCAATTATTTTAAATATTTTTAGTTTTTCATACATGTCAGATTGTCAGCTATAGTAGATATTAATGTACTTCTGCCAGTGGATTACTAATTGTAGCAGAATATAAACATGTCTTCTAGTAGATATCTATCTGCAGCAGAACATATACACGTCTTCCAGTGGATATCTACCAGTAGCAAGATTATAAACTGGTCTGCTAGTGAATATCTACGGCAACCTGTAGCAGATTACTAACATGTCTGCTAATAATGGATATCTACCTGTAGCAGATTATAATTATGTCTGCTAGTGGATATATACCTGTAACAGATTATAAACTTGTCTGCTAGTGGATTTCTACCCATAGCAGATTATGAACACGACTGCTAATGGATGTCTATATCTGTAGCAGATTATAAACTCGTCTGCTAGTGAATATCTACCTGTAGAAGATTAAGTCTGCTAATGGATATCTACCTGAAGCAGATTATTAACACGTCTGCTATGTTGATATCTACCTGTAGAAGATTATAAACACGTCTGCGAGTGGATATCTACCTGTAGAAGATTATGAATAACTCTGCTAGTGGATATCTACCTGTAGCAGATTATAAACACGTCTGCAAGTGGATATCTACTAGAATTGTACTCCAGCCCTCCACTAGTATCTAGTATTCGATATCTAAAATAGAGGATAAGCACCTTTATTCTTTTCGTTATTATCATTTTTATTAGAGTCTGGTAAGAACTCATCATCATAATCATTATTATTATTATTATTAATTATGACTATAATCATTTTCATCATCAATAATACCGTATAAGACTACATCCAACTATGGCAGTTTTCTTGAACTCTCTTGTACCCCAGACCGTATACTCCTTAATTTTAGATCTAATTAAAATCAGCTTTAAAGCTGTCGTGATGCATTTTTATTTAACAGATCACGGTGAAATTAAATCACGTTAGACTGAAATCTTACACATTTAAAATAATAACTCTTTTTAAAAAAGAGCTATTAAGAGGACCAAAAAAATTGAATTTGCTTTCTCATACTTAGGTGTAAAATTAAAAGTAGAGGAGCTGCGAGATCATAAAGTCGCAACATTGTACCTTTATCTTATGTCAAGATTGAAGTGAAATATGTACGCTTAATTTAAACTAAGATGATACCATGAGATCCAGTTAAAAACGTGAATTAGTCTGTATCGATTACGTTTGCAAATCCACTGATTTTGATATTTAATCTAATTAAACGTATTTAACTCTAGAATTCACTGGATTAAGATGAACCACAATCTCACATTAAATATTACCAGTTTATGCGTAATATTTGAGAATACATTAAAACTAAATAGTTTAAGCAATAACTCTTTAATTATATAATCCTCTTGCTTCTTATTCCCTGAGAAATACTACGTAATTGTTTATGTTTGTTACAAGCTTAATCTCATCTAATACAGCCGCCCAGAGATAAACTGGTGAAATATTAAACATGGTTAAACATAGTTAAACATGACAATAAACCCAGAAATATAGAAATGGAACCTGCTTTTTGATGAATCAAGTTTTTGAGATTGGTTTACATACCGCACTGAAAAACCAGTTTATGATTGTTTATAAAAAATATACATGTAAGAACAAGTTGTTAAGAAATCGGTTTATAATTGTTTATAAACAATAGACCTGTGAGAACTAGTTGTTAAGAAACCGGTTTATGATTGTTTGTAAACAATACATCTATAAGAACTGGTTGTTTAGTAATTGGTTTATATTTGTTTTAAAAATATATCTATAAGAACTGGCTGTTGAGAAACTGGTTTATATTTGTTTTTAAAAATATATCTATAAGAACTGGCTGTTTAGTAACTGGTTTATATTTGTTTTTAAAAATATATCTATAAGAACTGGCTGTTGAGAAACTGGTTTATATTTGTTTTTAAAAATATATCTATAAGAACTGGCTGTTTAGTAACTGGTTTATATTTGTTTTTAAAAATATATCTATAAGACCTGGCTGTTGAGAAACCGGTTTATATTTTTTTTAAAAAATATATCTATAAGAACTGACTGTTTAGAAACCGGTTCATATTGTTTTTAAAAATATATCTATAAGAACTGGCTGTTTAGAAACTGGTTTATATTTGTTTTTAAAAATATACCCATAAGAACTGGCTGTTCAGAAACCGGTTCATATTTGTTTATAAACAATACTAGCTCGGGAACCCAGCGTTGCCCAGGGTAGTCATAGTTATTCCCATCGTTTACCAGCGCTTTTGTCGTAAATTACGATTTTAGCTGTTTTTCCCGATAAAAAACGACCCATTAAGATTAGAATCTGGAAACCAAGCTAAGCACGTTCCCGTGGTTCTCCCGAGTTTCCCAATCAAAATTCGAGGCCAATCGGTCCAGGGTTTCATGAGTTATGATCGGACAAACAAAGATTACAATTATATATAAAGATACCTATGAGATTCAGAACTGGTTGTTGAAAAACCAGTTTATATTTGTTTGTAAACAAAATACCTGTGAGAACTGGTTGTTGAGAAACCGGTTTATTAGTTGAGATTTCCCTACTCCAGGATCCCCAACAACAACAACACACACATCAACAACAGGCATTTTCCGCTGGCTTATCACTCTGTTCAAAGATTAAAATTTTTTTATTACGTCCTGAGCATGGGAACTCTGGTATTGTGGATGAAGAGGTCAATGCTTGATCTCCATCTTTTGTTAATCTGCAGATTAATATCCCGCATGTTAATCGTACCTTGAAGAGCATTGATCCTCAAAAAATTAAAAGTGCCCGTAGTGGATATCGAAATCTATCGATCTAGATAGTTAGTTTCCAACACGAAAGCTCCCAGCCTTCTCTAGTCTGTACACTACTAGATACGGGGTGTCCCACGAAACATGACAGTTGTTGAATAGTTTTGAATGTCTTCTTCCATATTCTGTATTAGATAATAAAGACTTTTCGCAGTTTAATTCGTTAAAAAATCTTTTACTAAAATATATTTTACTTTGAAAAAAAACTTTAAAAAATATGGAAGAAGACATTTTATACTATTCACCAACTTTCATGTTTCGTGGGACACCCTGTAGCTCACGATGCTAAAAAATGTTTCTTGATTGTTTGATTTTTGGTCGTAAACGGTAAACAACAAAAAACTTTTTTGTGGTTTGTTAATCATTGATAACACAAAAATAATAAGGAATCTTTTTAATTTCTAGAATAAATAGAACGAACTTTGTTGCAAGGTTGAATGGTAACATTTTTAAACAACGAAATCTATCAATTTTCGCATCCAACCTTACAGTTAAACCATTTTGTTATAAATTGAGCCTGAATATTTAAAGAATTTTAGATTGAATAGTTACTTGAAATGGACTGCGATTGTTGTTATTTGGCATTTAATGTTTTAGAAATTTTATTGTTTCAATTTGAATTTGAATAAATTTTCCTCTTTACAGTGATGTATTAAAACTTACATGGTTTCCCCAGCTTACCTTTTTACCATTACATCACACTTTTTTCATCATTTTCTTCCTGAAATATTAAATTAATTTTTTTAAATTTTTAAATTAATTTGAATTTGTTTTGAAGCCAACAGAACAGATTATGAAATAATAAGTAGAATAAAACGATCATAAAATTTTTAATTTTATGCTTTGAATTGCTTAAAATATAAATTTTATTCTTCCTTTATTAATTTTTTTAATGTTAACCTAAGGGTAACCTAAAATAATAAATTTATATTTTTCAAATTTTGACTAGAGCTTGTCATTTTCATGGCACACACCTCTCGTTACATAGTTAAAAAACTGACAAATTGTTAAGGCCGATTAAAAAATTACCTTCGCTTCTAGCTTAGTTTGACTCGGATGAATCTAAGGAAGATCAAACCACCATGTTAAGAGTTTATTTTTTAATTTCCTGGATAAACAACAATCCAGTTAATGTAAAGTCAAAGTTTCTATAAAGTAGTAATGTCTGAATGTCTGTTTTTTGTTTGTATTTTATGACCGATAATAACTTAGCCCTAAACAGGCTTGGGGGGAGTGGGCGTTAGGCACCCCCTCTCCTCTCGTTGTTTTGCCCTAGCACTCTCAATATTAACATTATCACCGTGAACATTTTTGACTTTTAAAAAATAGAAATTTAAAGGATTTTTTGTAATTTATTTATATGCATAGGGTTGGGTACATGGCGGTAAAAAGTCCGTTCTGTGTAAAAAAAATCTAAAATAACCCAAAACTTTTTATGAGAAAAGCTACAGATCTAAAAGCTATATATTTGAAAAGCCCTTGAAAAATGGATGTAGAAACATGTGTCACACTTTGATATTTGTTTTAAACAAAAGAATATTTTTTTTTTTTACCTTTTTTTGGATTTTTTTGGGAACTTTTTTCAACCTTCCCTAGCCCCAAAGTACAAAAGTTATCGATCTAAATTTTTTTCATGAGCTGGCTTTGAAAAATTGGGCTGTGAACACACAAAGATCAAGACCCCCAAGCCTTTATAGAGTTAAGAACACCTTGACTCAATTATTAATTGGGTGAGTGAAAACCATGGAAATGTTCTGAACTTGGTTTGAAAAATTGTTTAGTTTTCCAGACGAAACTGTGGAGAATAGTTTTCCAGACGAAACTGTGGAGAATAGTTTTCCAGACGAAACTGGCTTTCTAAGCTTTTTGGAAATCGAGATCAGGAGAATAGGTTCAATTTGGTGTTTTTTATGCATATTTTGAGAGAGTTATTATTTTGCATGACTATACAAAAAATAGTTTATGGTGACCACTATGTAAGTATTTTTTTTGTATACATCCTAAGTCCTAGCTCTGTTTTGGTTAGAATCGGAGACAGAACTGACCAAGACCCGGTTCAAAACTCCGGTATAGTATATTTATATTATAAAACACGGAACTGAGAGAGGATGAAAGGCGCCGCGGTGGTAGCAAAACAGTGAAAAGGACGAAGAAAATATAAAAAGAGAAGAAATGGTGAAAGTATATTACATACAATGAAGACGACTTTTTTATTTAAGTTTTGATAACAAGCTTTTTTCAAATTACAAGTTTACAAGTAATCAAGAGAAGCTTCTTTAATTGACAGCTCTCTTGATTTCAATGTTTATGTGTAGCCATGCTGTTAAACAGCTTGATATAAATATAAATTGAAATTTTTGATTTTATCCTATAGGAATTAAGTCTTTCCCACAAACTCAAGATTTCAAATTTCTGTATCTTTGCAACCTGATAGTGTAAATCATTGATATTTCAAACTTAGATTATTCGATATAGTAAGTAAGTAAGTAAGTAATCATTTCTTTATGAAAAATAACAAAAACATACAAAATTAGGTGTTTAATGAGAAAATATTTGAAAACCTCCAAAAATAGAGGTTGTGGGAATATTTTACCCCAATTCTAAAAACATATAAAATGAGAAATAAAAGGAAAAGGAAAGGAAAGGAAAAGGAAAGTTACATATTTATTGTTTACACTATATTTAATATAAACTAGTGGTGGATTGCTAGTATTTTTCGACGATGAACTGATAACTTTTAGAAATAAAAATGATAGATTTATTTGTAATGTTTAAAAAAATAAAAATAAGCCTTCAGGAGTGGGAAAAATGTATAGGTTTTACGCAAAATGGGCATTTTAAAGCATCTTTTTAATTCGCACTGATTTCTGAAATCCTTTATGTTTGATTATATCTTTTACTCTTTTTAATCTTTTTAGTCTTTTCTTTGTAAAATCGTCTTTGCTTTCTTCGATTCTTTTGCAAACATAGCATATGTTAGAATTTATAGATTTGTTTTGCTGATAAAAATCTTCAATTAAATTCTGTTTAAAATATAGCAGAATTATAGTTTGAAAAATCTAAGGACTAAGACATTAGGCTGCAAAGATATAGGAATTAGAAAATCAGAGTTTGTGGCAAAAACTCAACACCTTTGCTCAGATGTGAAAGTGTTGACAAATTATCCTACAGTGGGACCCAGGAAACTTTGGAATAGGAAGACGACCATTTGATATATTCAATGTTTATTTAATGTTGTAATAAAGCATATTGTTTTACCAGGAGCTTGAAATCAACTTAGTAAGTGAAAATTTACAATTGTTGTAGGTTTTATGTTCATTGAACTATTTAAATCATAACTTTAGTCTAAGTCTTTCTATTTTACATCTTTTAGCAATTATTACTGTATCTGATATAAGTTGTGATGATATAATATTCTTGACATCTGGGATTTCAATTTGTGTATTTCACCACATGTTTCAATATATAGAATCAGCTGGGAATGGGTAAATAATATCTTTATTTCTATCTATCTAACAATCTATTTATCTCATTTAGAATCCTCATTCTTCATATATTGGGGCAGTTGTCAGTGAATATTCTTTACTAGTACATATGTATACGTTGTAAATAAAATTAAGAATTTTAAATATCAGGATTAAGGAGTTCTTACATATACCGTTACAGCACCGAGTTAATTAAGGAACTACATAGAGACGGGAGCGTTCGGTTTTTTTCGTTTGGATATAGTTTTTAAATTATCGTACATTTTTATCTATTTCGGTCGTTTTCTCAAAGTAAAATCGTTCTTTAAAATTGCGTTCGTTGAGATAACAATGCCCATCTTCTGTCTACACTGTATATATTTCGCGGAGTTAATAAGTTAATTAGATTGAAACGTAATGGTTACTGCAGTCAATGTTTTTGTTTATCGTTTATTTTATTTCAGGGGAAAACGAAGAAGTTTAAAAAAACATTTTTGAATTAAAGTTACTAAATTATATGTGCAGAATGCATTTTAATCCAGTTTATTGCAGTGCTGCATAACGCATTTTGCAACAGGATGCACTTTAGCAATATTTGTTTTTTGTTTATTTCACAAAATTAGGCTCTGGCTTGAGTTGCAAATTGCAGAAAATAACAACATTGTGAGCACTTCCAAAGTTTTTAATCAATTGATTTATTTTTGTCTCGTTGGGCATGATTTGGTATTTTATGGATTTTAATCTTCCAGGGGTTCAAGGGCATATACAGGATAACATCAAAGTGGGGGGGGGGGTTTTTTTTTTTGCCCCCCCCCCCGACCCGAGCTGAGAGGGGTGGAGCAAAATTTAAACCTTTAACTCAATTCAAAAGTGCTTTTAAAGAGAGTGTTCGCGAAAAATGCGATAAAAAAGCGCTTTTTAATCGGTACAAATTTTACTTCTATCTGTTGCGTCTATAAGGAGAAAATTGTTAAAGACTTCTCATACCGAATAACTTAGCACCCATACGAATTCTGAAAACTAGAACATACAAATTAGACCGTAAAAAATCAATTTAATTTCAAACAAATCATTCAGATATTACAACCTATAGTCATCGATTATCTTTCGCCACATTTGTATATAGTTTATATTTTATAATATTTTATTTTTTTAGAAAACGTTTTAACGGATTTCGAAAAATGTGAGTGGTGCGCGGCATTCTTAGATAGTTGCGCAAGCGACAAGAGAAATAATCAAATTCAAAACAAATTAACTAAAAAATATTATAAAATATAAACTATATAGTTTCAACCCTTAAAAAAGAAAAATTTCAGGTAGCCGTTAGTTTTAAAGGTAAGAAAGGAATGTTTGTTTCGTTAACGATATTTACCGTTTTTAAAAAAAGTTATTGTTAGTTAACGATCTCACTTTTATTAACGGCGGTAACAGGTTGTCAAATCGTTGACGGTGCAAGCTGTTAATGATTGTTTGTAGAATTAACGGTGTTAATGGTTTGCCAAAACTCCAAAATTTCCATAAAAATCTTTAGCAGTTTATCAAATTGAATTTACAACACAGGCAGTCACCAAATTGCAAAAGAATCACTAAAACTTCCATCATACACATACCCATCCGTTTCGTTTTCGTTTTCAACCATTAATATTTTTCTTTCAGAAACGGCTAATCCGTTTCGTTATCGATTTAATGAACCGTTTTTGCCGTTTGTTAACGAACATTTCCTTTTCAGAACAAAATGAAATGCAAATAAGAACAGGACATAATTTTTTTCTTCTCAAAGTGTAGTTGGAATGGTTCCAGGGAGAATGATGAAAAGTGTATTTGGACTTTTATTTCTGGTTCTTCCTCAGAGAAACTATTTATTGTTATCATTTCTTCTTTTTTCTATCATTATTTCAATTGATAAGTTTAGGAGTTACAAGAATACTGGAGGGTCCGAAGGATATTTCAACTACAGAAGGAGGCACGGCAATCTTTAAATGTTCATTTTGGTAATTTATTTTTAGTAATCTATAGATTTTTTATAGATATGACATAGTATACAATGCAATCATATTTTTTATTGGAAATTGAACATGCGCATTTGTGTTCCAAAAATGAATGTGTAAAATATTGAAGTGAGGTCAATAATAAAAATATTTAGAAAATAAGTATTAACCAATAATTCTGTTTACATACAAATAAAATCCGATTGGTTTGAAGATGATCAAGTAAAGAAAAGGATAGGATGTCTGAGAGTGAATGCACCAAATCTGTATCTGCAGTAGATATCAATTATGCTAAATTAAACCTGAAACTTAGACAATTATCAATTAGTGAAACAGTAACATTTACAAGGAACAACTACAAATTTTTACACTTTTTAAAAACTATTTGTTCCGTCTTAAACAATTGCTGCATTTTTTTCTTCTTGATATTTCAGCATCTTATTTGGCGATCCTTCTCTTGATCGTTTCTTTATCTTTAATTAGATTGGAAACCCAGTTTTGTCTGGAAAATAAGCTATGTCTTTATACCAAGCTAAGAACATTTCCGTCGTTTTATAGAGTTCCCCAGTCAATGGGTTCATGAGTTATGATCGGACATACAAACAAACAGAGATAACATCTATATATTCACTAGCTTGGGAACCCAGCTTTGCCTGAAAATCTAAACTTTCCTTTTAATTGTCAACCCACTCAAGTAAGAATGTTGGTACTAGACTACCGAGTTCTGAGGCAAATCGGTCTATGGGTCCCAGGAAACATTTTACTGCCTAAATATGCCGATGGGGAAGTTGTCGGGTAAATAATTCTGGACTTTATATGTTCGCCATCGATTTGTCGGAAACTAAATGTTTCCAGGGGTTCATGAGTTATGATCGGACATACAAAGAAAAAAAACAGAGATTACTACTTTATATATATATAAATATATTGATAAAACATGCCAGTTATTGTATAGCTTCTGTCGTGTTTTTTTTATTATAAATCTTGTATTTAAGGTCGCCTTCTAGTGCAAGAGTATTCTGGACTTTTAACGAAAATCTTGTCCAACTGACAGACAATGCAAGGTATTTAGTTGTTTATTTATAGTAATTTCAAGTGTCATGTCCGATTGTCAACGGTACTCTTAAAGCTTTGTGTGATCAAGAAAAAGTAAGATATCCATGATTTTAACTTTGAAAGTGGATAGTTATTAATTGTGGTTTGACTGCAAAAGTGACTTGGGGGGTTCTGAGGAAGTTTGTCAGAATTAAACACTTTTCAGTCTTACAAATTATTGATCTGATTGATCAGATAAGGGATTTAAGGATACCGTTGTGAGAGTCAGGAGAAACAATTTGAAATTAAACAACGACAGTGCTTTTAAAACTTAAAAAGTGAATATTGACCTTTAAAAGTTAACATTCACAATTTAGCCAGTTTGTTAACTGGGAAATTATTGAGAAGAACAAAAAACAAGAATTGGAATAATTGTGTTTAAAAACACCTTGATTGTTGAGAATGTAGAACCTGAAAAATGTTTAGTAAAAATTATGTTATTAAACCGGTATAGGCAGTATACTGCCTCCGCAGAAGAGAAACGAGATGAAAACTCTCAGCAGACACAGGTAAAATGTCAATGCTCTCATCTTATAAAGGAATTGAGTCTTTGCCACAAACTCTGATTTTCTAATCACTATATCTTTGGCACCAAATGTTGTAGACCATAGATATTTCAAACCATGAATTCTGTTAGATCAAATAATCTGAGTTTGAAATATCAAAGGTTTACACCATCGAGTTCTAAAGATATTGAGGTTTAAATATTTGATTTTGTTCCAAAGACTCAATTCCTTTTCCGTTTCAATGTATTCATTTTTTCATAATTTTTATGAACTAGTGATGAAAAATTATTCCCTGTAGATTTTAGAAGATGGCACTCTGGTGCTTCGAAATGTTGCACAAAGCGCAGCGGGAGTGTACGCGTGCACAGTTGTTGATGAGGTAATGATATTTTCTGTATTTTTGTTCTAATTTCCTTTTCTTGCAAAACAAATTAATGAAAATAATGAGTCTTTACCCCGAACTCTAATTTTATAATCTCTATATATATCTTAGCAACGCAATCCTTTCATATTTTAAACTATGAATTATGTTAGATCAAATAATCTAAGTTTAAACTATCAAAAGATTCAATTCCTTTCTTCAGGATTCCTTGGAAAGAATTGTTTCTGCCCCCGCTATTTTGAATGTAGAGGGTAGGACTGAAAAACCTAGAATATCACACAGGCAAAACTTTTAAAATTTTCTTATATCAAATATATTTAAGAAATAATCAAACTATGAATTTAAGTTACGGGGTTACTCTCAAAGGTTAAGACTTCAAAGACAATGCAGTGCAGAATAAATCTAGTATTTTCCTAGTAGTTTATTTTTATTTGTAGTTTATTTTTATCTAATATATTTGAAATTATAATTTGTTAAATTAAACCGTTATATATCTTTTTTTCTTATTTAAAGAAGTTCAGGTCTTTATTAATTATTTACAATTAGTCAGAAGTTTTTACGATCTAGTTTTACAATTATAATTGATTAAATGATAATCACAAATAGCCTTAGTCCTGTCAATTCCCAAATGTGGTCTGCATATTTTGGAAGTAAACATTGCCAGAGATATATATGTAAAGTCGCCTGATCAACTGTGAATTAATTCTGGGTCTTATTATGACTTTAATTCCTGAGAATTTAAACATTTTTTATATGTTTCTATATAATAAGCATGCAAAGAGAAATTATGTTGGAAAACTTTTTATTCAGACCTGTGAAAACCACAGTACATATTGGTGAATTGATAGTGCTTGATTGTCTGGCTAGTGGATACCCTCCACCCTTCTATACTTGGTACAAGGTCAGTGGATACCCTCCACCCTTCTATACTTGGTACAAGGTTAGTGGATAGCCTCCACCCTTCTATACTTGGTACAAGGTTAGTGGATACCCTCCACCCTTCTATACTTGGTGCAAGGTGAGTGGATACCCTCGACCCTTCTATACTTGGTACAAGGTTAGTGGATACCCTCCACCCTTCTATACTTGGTACAAGGTTAGTGGATACCCTCCGCCCTTCTATACTTGGTACAAGGTTAGTGGATACCCTCCACTCTTCTATACTTGGTACAAGGTTAATGGATACCCTCCTTCTATAATTGGTACAAGGTTAGTGGATACCCTCCACCCTTCTCTACTTGGTGCAAGGTGAGTGGATACCCTCGACCCTTCTATACTTGATACAAGGTTAGTGGATACCCTCCACCCTTCTATACTTGGTACAAGGTTAGTGGATACCCTCCACCCTTCTATACTTGGTACAAGGTTAGTGGATACCCTCCACCCTTCTATACTTGGTACAAGGTTAATGGATACCCTCCTTCTATACTTGGTACAAGGTTAGTGGATACCCTCCACCCTTCTCTACTTGGTACAAGGTTAGTGGTACAAGGTTAGTGGATACCCTCCACCCTTCTATACTTGGTAAAAGGTTAGTGGATAGCCTACACCCTGCTATACTTGGTACAAGGTTAGTGGATAAAATTGAAATATTAATCAAAACACCTAGCTGAAAATAATTTCATAAATATTTTACAGGATGGAGGAAGGTTAAGTGCTGCCCATGATAGGTTCACCCTGGCGGAGAACGGCTCTCTTATCATTAGTAATGCCCAGCTTGATGATTCAGCTAGATACAGGTCGTCTTTATTTTAACATCTCATAATATATTTTTTAACATTAGCCCTAACGGTTTATAAACATCTCTAGATTAGTATCATAACTATGTACATATTCTGCTTCAAAGTACAGTGGTCGGCGTTTATATCAAGACAATAAAGACGACTTTTATTTAGTTTTGATTGTTAACATGTTTTTTTTCGAATTAAAAGTTTACAAGTAAACAAAGAGAAGCTGTTATTTGATAGCTTAATTTTGTTTCTATAATTATGTGTATTCATGTTGTTTAAAAGCTTGATAGAAATAAAAATTGAAATCTAAAGTAGTCTTCATTTTAATGATACATACTACGACGACAGCATCTAGATAACATTATTTTTACTCTACAGGTGTTCTGCTTTAAATTATCTAGATAATGATATTATTACTCTGCAAGTGTTCTGCTTTAAAATATCTAGATAAAAATATTATTACTCTGCATGTGTTCTGCTTCAAACTATCTAGATAATAATATTATTACTCTGCAGGTGTTCTGCTTCAAACTATCTAGATAATAATGCAGGTATTCTGCTACAAACTATCTAGATAATAATATTATTACTCTGCAGGTGTTCTGCTTCAAACTATCTAGATAATAATATTATTACTCTGCATGTGTTCTGCTTCAAACCTAGATAATAATATTATTACTCTGCAGGTGTTCAGCTTCTAATTATCTGGGGAAAGCTACCTCTTCAGTGAAAGTTCAAGTAAGTCAAGTTATTATATTTTACGTTTACAATTATATTTTATAAAACTTATTTTTATAAAAAGTTACTTCTTTTTTCAAAATATTTGTGAGCCCCTTTTTTACAATTCTTAACACAAATATTACTTTTGTGGCTTTAAAAGAAAATTCCTCTTTCAAAAATATCGTTCAAAAATGTTGTGGGGTGTACAAAATTTTGAATTTTTAGTAAAAAAATCTTAACTGAATTATCAATATTTGGTAAATCTCAACATACATTTTCTTAAAGCTACAACTCTACCGACTAAAATAATGAAAAAAATGATGATAAAATGATGAAATATTGTAAATCTTCGCTTCGGGTGAAAATGACTTCACCAACTAGCTGAAAATAAAAAAACTGAGGTGGATCTAATTATAAAAGAGTATTTTGCAGATATTCTTTGCTAAAGATGATTTCTAGAATTAGAAACAATGGCAAAATCTTGAATAGGTTGAGAACCTGGACCCTCCTTCCCCTCCCCAGATTACAACCAGACCTAGGAATAGATCTGTTCAAGAAGGAGGAATTATTGAAATGACTTGTGTAGCCCAGGTAGGAAAATATTCAAAGACTAGAAATTAAAAACCCATTCTTACCTCTCTTAAAGGGATCGTAGATTTAATTTAAAGTGACCCTCAATTTATTGAGCGGCATTTCCCTTTATACATTTGTCTGATTAAGGATAGATTAGCATTGCCCAATCCTTGTTTTCCTAACATAAAATTATTTTTTATATTGTGATTTCACAATAAAAGACTTATTCTGCAGAGACAAATAAGGAAATTGTAATAATTCAACACTCTTCAAGATACAAAAAAACGACAAGATCTTACTCATTGTCGGACAAGGGTACCTAGTTGTGAATCGGACTTGTCACTCTATACATCCCCATCACTTAAAATCACCTCTACAGTCACTTTAAAAGCAAAGATAAATATCCTTAAACCTAAATCTTCACAATACGAAACAGCTTGGAATTTAAACAACTAGACTAAAATTGTTAAAATTTCAGGGATCCCCTTATCCAACTGTAACCTGGTGGAATAACAGACGTCTGGTGACAGCTAACAGCAGGGTAACCCTGTCCAACGGAGGACAGCATCTTAGAATACAGGTCAAAATATATTGCTTGCAAGAATATATTGAGATACGTTAAAATTATCACAAATCTGAGATTACAGGATATTGAGGTAAATGATCAAGGAGACTACTGCTGCATAATATCCATATTTATTACAGGATATTGAGGTATATGATCAAGGAGACTACTGCTGCATAATATCCATATTTATTACAGGATATTGAGGTTTATGATCAAGGAGACTACTGCTGCATAATATCCATGTTTATTACAGGATATTGAGGTATATGATCAAGGAGACTACTGCTGCATAATCTCCATATTTATTACAGGATATGGAGGTTTATGATCAAGGAAACTATAGCTCTAATATCCATATTTATTACAGGATATTGAGGTTTATGATCAAGGAAACTATAGCTCTAATAACCATATTAATTACAGGATATTGAGGTATATGATCAAGGAGACTACTGCTGCATAATATCCATATTTATTACAGGATATTGAGGATTATGATCAAGGAGACTACTGCTGCATAATATCCATATTTATTATAGGATTGAGGTTTATGATCAAGGAAACTACAGCTCTAATAACTATATCTATTACAGGATATTGAGATTTATGATCAAGGAGACTACAGTTGTGTTGCTGAAAATATCCATGGAAAAGAGCAGATAGTTTCCTTTATTAGAGTTCAACCTGACCCAAACAGGAGAGAGCAGTCACAGTAGGTTTACTAATATTTAAACCATGGACTTAATCCCTATTAAATTTTTAAATTCCTATTTCTTTGCAAACTGATGATGTAATCTTTGATATTTAAAATTAGCTTATTTGATGAAGCAAAATTCAATGTTTGAAGTATCTTAGGTAATAAAGAATACAGATATCATGAAGGTGGGTCTAAACTAAATAATCATTTAACAATGTATGATATTACCATTGCATTAATTAATTGCTGCTGTTTCTTTCAGATGGAGATTTACAACTACTGAAACTCCAAGAACATCAAGGCATGAATTATAAAAGATTAGATAATATTTGTAAAGAAAACGCTGAATGTTGACAAGTTTTTGGCTTTGGGCTAGCAAGTGATCATAAATAGTCTACGTTAATTTTATCAGTAGTTTGTTTATAGATTTCAAATATATTCTATGGCAAATATGAAAGAAATAATAACTCTAGTCACTTTTTAAACTGTCTAAACTTTTGCAATTTTTAAATTTTATGATAGGGTCACCCCTGCCAACACTTCTAGGAATAGGATGGAGGTTCTTGGTGCAACACTAGGTATTACAGGGTTACCCGCAAAGGATAAGACTGGGAAGACGACCTTTAAATTCATTTAATATGACAATTCCTAGGTTAAAATAGGTCTTTTGTCTTTCGTATAATTTTTTATGGTTTATTTAACGGTTGGCATAAAGAAATAAGTTAAAAGTTGCAGGGAATTGGAATATAAGATATCATACATTTTAATTTCCGTACAGTCGTCTCTGAAGTTTCACCCTTTGTGGGTAACCATGGCATTAATTCCCATCTTTATTTTTTTAATTATAATCTACTTTCACCTTAATAACCAAAAATAAATTTTGCTTTTAAAAACAAAGGATTCCCAACCAGAACCGATATAATATAGATATTACCAAAACTTTGACACCACTTAAAGGAACTGTAAGCGAAATTTCAAGTTACCATCCACGCAAAGATGGCAATGCTTTTAAGGGTACCGTTGTGAATCGGGCATTACCATCTTCGAATGAAGAATCACTAGAAATTACGCTTACAGTCCCTTTCAGAATTTTGATATTGTCCTTCAAAAGCCTGGAGCTAAAACCATGACTCATTTATTCAAAGATCACCAGAATTGTTTTTATTAAAGCGTTTTTATGTTCACTTACTTTTCTAGGGTTGCCTCTGATGGAAGTATGTTTTTGTACAATATTAAATCAAGGTATGTATCTACACTACATGTGATAAAAACAATGACTATTATGATATTAAAGATAAAAAGAATTTAAACATTTTTGAAATTAGTGGTTTGTATAAATGAACTAAAATATTTGAAATAGTTTTGATTAAATTTTTTCTCTTGTGTGCAGTGATGCAGGAGAGTATACATGTAAAAACAGGGTGTCAAGGTAAACCTGTTTAGAATTTACAGTGGGACCCGGGTATAAACTGTGGAATCGAAAGACGACTTTAAGACTAAAATTATTATTTTAACTATAGTCCATAATGAACATAGAATAGAGCAACTGTGAAGTGTCCACTGACTCATTTTACACGATAAGTTGATTTTCAAGCTATTGGTAAAACTGGTAAAACTGGTGAAACTGGTAAAACTGGTAAAACTGGTAAAACTGGTAAAACTGGTAAAACTGGTAAAACTGGTAAAACTGGTAAAACTGGTAAAACTGGAAAACCAGGGGTTGCTGCGTTTTCACTTAAAAAAAATTGGTTGCGAATTGACGATTTAATTTTGGAGAAATTACCGAAAGGGCTAAAAAAAATATATTAAAAAAAAATTCGTGTTATACATCATTTTCTTGGAAATATTATGCTGAATTTCAATCTGAAAAGCGCTTTTAAAAATATTAAAAATTGAAGTTATAGCCAAATAACCGTTAAAAAAAACCTTTTAATGTTTTTGGTGAGGTTTTCTAGCTCTAACTCATTTAATTTTCATTTTTTTAAAAGCGCTTTTCATAACCGCCCTCTGGTGGGCGGTTAGCTAATTTCTAAAAACAGTCATAAATCAATCACCCTTAGTCCTTACTATATCTTTGCAGTTGTAAGGGTCCCACTGTTTATAGAACTATATAAAGAACGCAGGCGTTAAAATATAAGAAACAAAAAAATGTTATATTTGTTAAGGGAGAACAGGATGATTATTAGAATGAATATACTCCCTGGAGATCTCAATACCAGCTCAACATCAATAAGGTAGACATTGAAACCAGAAAACTTTGAATAGGATATTAAAGCAATGAATTTGATATTATTAAAAAGCAAAAAGCTTTATCAGTAGCTTCAAAATCAACTTATTTTGTGAAATGGGTCTGTGTTTTAAATTTGTTGGGCTATTTAAAATAATACTTGAGTCATACAGTCGACTTTATTTTTCACAATGTTATGGGTCCCACTTATATATATACCAAAAATAATGAAAAGTTTGAGATTGATTTAGCTTTTGATTATATGCTATCATTTAGACCAGCTGTACAGTTGATTCAGGCAGAGTCAAGTACAGGTCAGTTTCACCTCGGTGTAATTCCCACTCTGTGTCTGTACAGTATATATTATACATAGTGCTTTTAACAGGTTCCTTAAACACATTTTTTACCCTGAGAGAAAATATACGCATATTATGTTTTCTCTTATGATAACAATTTGGCAAAGTTTAATATAAGAAAGCTTTTACAGGATGTAGCTTGGAAATATTGGAGTTCACAATATTTATGTGGTACCTTTACACAGGGGCGTACGAGGGCTTTTGTTTAGGGGGGGCACAAAAAAAAATTTTTGGTCCCCCCCCTTAAAAACCCCTTTTTTGAAAAAATATTAATACCTTTTTTAAATTTTTTTTGCCCCCCCTCTCCCACCTGGACTTATTTTGATCACCATAAAAATACATCAAAAAGACTACTTTTTTGGGTGTTACTAACCTTAGAGTCTAAAAATTATTCCTTTGCTTGAAAAACTAACTTTTTGACTCTATAAATTTATCACTTAACTCCATCACAGCTAACTAAATCAATAATCACAGCATCATTAAAAATTATATTTTTATGAATAAACGAAATTTCTTCTGAAATTTTTAGATAGAATTTACTCAATCTACATTTTAACCAAATCTTTTAAGCTACAATTTTCTGGGATTTGCTTGCACAAACATTTCAATGATTTTTTTCAGTAGAGAGCTCAGACAGCCTTATAGGGTGTAAAGCTATAAGTGCAAGATCGTTAAGTCTGCTCTCCGTCATAGTACATCTTGTGTAAAGAAGTATTCTCTTTAGAAGGCTAAAACTTTTCTCTCCTTGTATTAACAGTGAATTTAGACAAATCCTTAGTCTTTGTCATTGTCAGGTGTTACTTTCTAAACGTAGTTTCCTTTTAATTTTGTATTTTTGGAACTCCCAGGGGGGGCAAGAGAACTACTGCCCCCCCTAGGTACACCACTGTGCCTGACCTGAGGAAGGGAAATGCAAGCAGATGTAATATTAAAAGAGCCTCCCCCATGGATGCCCCCCCTCAGCCTCTCAGGGGGGGCACGCGTAGAGGGGGGGGGGGGGGGGTGCGGCCCCCCCCTCGTACGCCCCTGCATTTACATGAACACTTTACCCTGATATTTCTTGTATAATTCAAAATCTAATTTAATCTAATTCTAAAAACAGAAATTCGATCTGAAAGGGACTCATGAGTCGTAGTTTCAAGTGACCCTATAAATAAAATAAGTTTGTTACATGCCAAACTAAGAATAGTACCTTTCAAACTTTTGAATACTAACATTGATTAAGATATCCTAAAAGGAAGATAATTTCTGTAAAGGAATTGAGTCTTTGCCACAAACTCCTATTTTTTAATCCTTACATCTCTTTGCAACCTAATGTCGTAAACAATTTAAGTATATCAAACTATGAATTATGTTAGAACAAATATCTAAGTTTACACCATTAGGGATAAGAACATTTGGGTTTGTGGCAAAGACTCAATTCTTTTTTCTTCCTGGCCTCTGCTGTATAAATCAGCAAGCCAGTTTAATGAAGTAACCGCTATTCAATAATTCGAATTTCAGAAAAAAATACAAGAATTTCTCCAGAACTTTTGCGTAGGCTTTCAGTATGCCGGTTGTAAATCTTTAAAATGGAGACAACTTGAAGTTATGTGCTCTGAGGCCGAATTTAAAGAATTTAAGCCGCAGCATAAATATGGTTGGTTCCACTTCAAATCGTGTTCAATGTTTCAAGATTTAAGCCGGTGCTCACTTGAAACCGGTTTTTGGGGGATTTAAGACGCGGCTCAAATTCAATAAATTCGGACTCTGTCCCTTTAATATTCAGCTTCTCTGTACTCTTGAACTAGTTAATATTTAGGTGTGCCAGGGTTATTAGGGAGGAATGGAAACAGTGCGAACCAGGTTCTTTAATCAACCTTTCTTCTTTTTTATTGTAAATTCTTTTCATCATATTCCTTCTTTAAACACAAATATATATATTAAGATAGAAAGTATTCATTTTACGCTTTATTTATACTGAACCAGTAAAATTCTGTGTGAAGTATTTACAATTTATAATCATTCTGATCACTTCTAAATTTTACGATTCTTTTTATGTGTATAATTGAGTCTTTGCAACAAGCTCAAATATTCTAATCCTTAAATCTTTGCAACGAGATGGTATGAAACTTTAATAGTTTGAAATAGATGAAAAAATTTGTTACTAAGACTCTATTTCTTTAGTTCTCAATGTTTATTCAGGTCTCATACCAAGAGGATGTGATTTTTGCTGAGAAAAATTATTATCAAGAGGGTAAAATGTCATTTTGTCATAAAGAGACTTTTTACTTAAATACTTAATTTAAATTTAAATTACTGATTAATAAAAAATTATTAATTATAATATTTTTGACATTTTTAAGATATAGAAGAGAACTCTGTGAGGTAACATTTTAATAAAATAAAATAAAATAAAATAAAATAAAATAAAATGTGTGAACTTTTTATTAGTAAACCTTTGATAATTCAAATATTGACTATTATATTTGATCTAGAAGAATTCAAAGTCTTACATAACAAATTAGAGTATTAGGAGAGTAATCAGATATATCTACATTAAATTATATATTATTGATCTATCATATCTATCCTATGATATATACCTAGACATGAAAAGTTATATCTATGATATATCTAGGCATGAAACAGATCTATCCTATGATATTTTTTAACTGTTTTTTAAAAAGTTTTTTTCTTTTAAAGATGATTACAAAATTGTACAAAATTATTTTAATAGTTTTACAGTATTCCAATTTTTCCCACTTTGGTATTCTTGGGGCCCCAGGAAGGGGATCCCAGGATCCCAAAAATCCCAAGTGGGAAACAGCATCCCAACATTTATTTTTGATATTTTCAAATAATTGGTATTAGAAATAGTCATACACTCTTCTTATATATTCATATATATTCAGAATTCTGCTAATCTCTGCTTTTTTATTCTGTCTGATATTTCTGGTTTGTTGCAAGGAAGTTTAGCTCATCATATGTTTTTAAATTCAGTATCTCAACGGCTGACATTAAACCCATGAACAATCGATCAATGCCAAATCTCTAGGCACAATCGCAGCTTGTGTTTTTAACGAGGGATCGGCTCTGAATGTCACACAGGGACACAAGCGTAGCTATCAAACAAGCTCTTAATCGATCGATGCCAAATCTCTAAGTGCAATCTCAGCACGTATGTTTCAACAAGGACTAATTACTTCTAATACCGTTATCAAAGCAGAGTCTCAACCAACTAATTTATTTTAGATATCTTATGTTACAAGTTAACATGAATCGACGTAATCACAAGTTCTATGTCGAAAAAAAAAGAGTTTTTTTATGTCCAATTCTTTAAGAGGTTTAAATAACGATCGTTAACGACGACCCTTCGTTAACAATCGTTAACGACAAACATTCGTTAACGATCGTTAACGACGACCTTTCGTTAACGATCGTAAACGACAACCCTTCGTTAACGATCGTGAACGAAGAGAGGAAACCGACCTAAAGTGCATCTGTACTTATCATTGAGTAGTTTTTAAGAAAATATCAAGGAGTTTTAACTCCCCACAACTGTTAAACTTTATTTAAGACGACATTCAATAAAGTTGCATGTAATTTTTTCCAAAAACTACCGTTTTGATAAAGTTCGTCGTTTCGTTAACGATCGTTACCGACAACCCTTCGTTAACGATCGTTAACAACGACCCTTTGTTAACGATCGTTAACGACGACCCTTCGTTAACGATTGTTAACGACGACCCTTCGTTAACGATCGTTAATATAATTGTCATTAAAATTGTTTTTCAAAAACGATCGTATAAAAAACGGTCGCAAATCGTTTTAATAAAAACAATCGTTTTCAAAAATGATCGCTATTCGTTTTCTAAAAGTTCAAAACGAGTGGGTCGTTTTTAAAAACGATCGTTTTTTTCCGAAAACGAAACGATCGTTTTTGAAAACGAAACAAAAAACGATCGTTTAACGATCGTTTACAGAAACGATTAACAACCTTAATTACAATGCATGTTTTAATCATGTTACGTAGCTCATGTTCAATAAATCTAGGAATGTTCAGGTTAACAAATATGGGGATTGCTGTATTTATTACATATTTATGCCTGAAAGAGATCTATTCTATGATATATCTAGACATGAAACAGATCTATTCTATGATATATATCTAGGCATGAAACATATCTATCATATGATATATCTAGGCATGAAACAGATCTATCCTATGATGTATCTAACTATCTAGGCATGAAACAGATCTATCCTATGATATATCTAGGCATGAAACAGATCTATCCTATGATGTATCTAACTATCTAGGCATGAAACAGATCTATCCTATGATATATCTCGGCATGAAACAGATCTATCCTATGATGTATCTAGGCATGAAACAGATCTATCCTATGATATATCTAGGCATGAAACAGATCTAGCCTATGATATATATTTAGGCATGAAACAGATCTATCCTATGATGTCTCTGAGGCTAAAGCTGGAGATCAATTTGTTCTAATATCTTTAGGAACAAAATTTCATGAAATTGATATCTAATAAAAAAGCAGTTTTAGTTTATTTCATTGCATAATTTAATTTGTTATCAGTTACAGGGAAGAACTAAACTATTTTATAAATCTAAAAACTTGATAAAACTAAATTTTGTAATATAAAGAGGAAGCTAGACGTACAGTTGACAAAGCTTTGAACAGTACAGTAAACCTACTCTTTCACTACCAGGAACATACTTACAGGTGCAGTACGCTGAAAACTGTACATCCTTAATTTAAATTTATTCTAATTCGTTTACATTCATTTAATGATATCAAAAATTTAAACAATTGCTAACGAGTTTTCTCTGAAGTGCAACAAAAAAAGAAATGGGGACAAAAGATTTTTTAAAGCTCATTATTTTTTCTAAATTTAATACTTTCTATTAAAAAAAGAAAAAAAAATATTTCAAGGCTTGACTTTTGTTTTAATTTTGAAATAAATAAAAAATTTCAAAAATGACAAGCTAATTTGGGAAGGGGAAAATGTTCAAAAACAATTTTGTGAAAATAATAATTAAGATGTTTTAATCCTGTTTGTTTAGAACACCACACCAGCTGTTGAATATATTCCGGTATCCTTCTAATAATGATAGAGAACTAGCCAGGGCGGGAGAAATATATCACAGGTAACAGTTTGTTCTTTGCCCTGGAAATTCAGTGTGCTCCGTCCATTGTATCCTAATTGGTTATTTTTGACTTTTTGGTATCCAATCCAATTTTTTCGCTTATCGTTGATTTCTTAATTAATATTGTACCATTTTGTACATTTTTTGTTAATATTCCAAATATCAGTTCCAACTATGAATTAATGTAGCTGCTTTGACATGTTTAAGCCAAGAAGAACAAGTATTAGACTGTTATAAAGTAGTAATGTTTAAGCCAAGAAGAACAAGTATTAGACTGTTATAAAGTAGTAATGTTTTTTTTCTTCATTTAATTAATAAATACCATGAAGCATATATCTAATAAAGTATTTAAATATAGTTGACTAGAAACTTAAAAAAAACTTGAACCATTTCAGAACCTTGGATTTGGTTGAGGCAAAGGTTCGAGAAGGAGGGAAGTACAATCTTACTCAGTTTACAGTACACCAGCTCATTTCTCCAGCAAATATAGAGCTTATCGGTAGGTACATACATGTACATTGCATGATTCATAATTCATTGTACATCTATATTGGTAGACAAAATAACATTTTAATGCAAGGTAAACATTTAACAGAAACCATACTTTTCTTAACTTTTTATAAAATGATCATACTATATATTAGATTGACAGTTCTTAAGGGGACTGCAATAAAAAACGCATTTTTTTCAATTTTTTCTTTTTCAAGAGCAATGCCTAACCTAACCTTAAATACTGTACTTTATTTTCTTTCTAATAGCTGCAGCGCTCGGCTCCCTAGTCAATCCTAGCCTCAGAAGGCCTTAACCTTAAAATAATAAAAATCTGAATCGACTCTCCAGCCTTTATAGGGTTAAAAATGTAGAAAGTAAATGGTTGATTAGTAAAGAAACAATTTTTTATTAAATAATAAAAAAATTAAAATTAGGTAACTTGTCTGGATGCGAGACTATACGACAGCACCTTGATTGTGAAGATGTTTGCTTTCATAATAGGTCAGATTATTCTTTTATATTTTCGCTCCTTTATATTTTCGCTTCAATGTAGTTTAAAAAAAATATTATTTAAGACTTTCGATGAATTGATCTGTTTTCTCTGCCTCAAGAATTTATCTTCAAATCTTAAAAATACTAAAAACATAAAGAGCGGTTGAATTAGTCTTTATTATTTAGATATTTTGAAAGGGTAAAATTTTGGTAGGTTTTTGTCCGTTTTTGCTGTCGAAATCCACTTTTTCAGAAAACGCTGCCCGGCTGGTTATAATATTTAGTCAGAAACTAGCAAACCTGTATTTAATGAGATAAAGATTTGAGTATACTGCAATGCAGATTGTTAAGGACAATCCGTTAACCATGGTCACTTAATACAAGGGAGTGTTCACAAAAAATAAAAGGAAACGGAGTTAATCAATTCCTCTCAAATAAAAAACATCGTTTACAAATACAATTAGTTAGTAGTGCCGTATCAGCCTATAACTCCATTACTTTTTTACTTTACTTTACTTTTTTACTTTACTTTACTTTTTTACTTTACTTTACTTTTTTACTTCACTTTACATTTTTACTTTACTTTTTTACTTCACTTTACTTTTTTACTTTACTTTACTTTTTTACTTTACTTTACTTTCTTACTTTACTTTACTTTTTTACTTTACTTTACCTTACTTTACTGTTTTACTTCACTTTTTGTGAATAATCTCTTTAAGTTTTATTGTTTTTAAATAGGTTTCGATCAGCTGATGGTAGTTGTAATAACTGGTCTAACCCTAGCTGGGGTTCATCTCTAACACCGTTCCGTCGAGTTCTCCCCCCGCAGTATGAAAATGGATTCAACACCCCTATAGGCAAGCAACAGTCTATTTTAATTCATAAAATTAAATAAGGTTTGATCAGGGGCTCCACACGTGTAACAATAACTCATTTTCTCATTTAAAATCCGTCAGAAATAACGTACTGGATCTAAAATACCTAAATATTTAAATTCCGAGCCCAACAAAAAGTTTAGAATAGCAAAACAGAAAATTCTACATTTAGGGTGGTGAACATGGGTTCTAAAGTCAAGACTTACTGGACTTTTTATCAGGACCTCTAGTTTACCGTGTATATATACTAGAACCTCTAGTTTACCGTGACCGAAACAATGTTGAAGTAATTTCTGCATAGCAAGTATTTTGTTGCATTAAATTGCATTTAATTTAAACTGAAAATTTACAAGTGCAGACTGCAAACACATTAAAAAATGACAAAACTTTAACTCTCCTATTTTTCAGAGCAAAACTATACAATTAGAAACTTCATGTTAACGATCTAAAGGAAATGAGTTTTGGCAACAAACTCTAATTTTTAATCACTATATATCTTTACAACCCAATGTCAAATTATGAATTCTGTTGAAATATCAAAGGTATACAACATCAGGTTGCTAAGATATAGGGGTTAGAAAACTTAAGTTTGTTGCAAAGATTCAATTACTATCTTATTATTTTAGGGTTTGATCGTGACAAGATGTATAATGGATTTAAAAAGCCAGGAGCAAGACTGGTATCTTCTAAACTAATTTCCACAAAGAAAGTAAGATGGGAATTATCATAGATTAATTAGAACACTATATGTCGATTAGGGGTTTTTCGTTCACAATAACTCTAAGGCAGAAGCCAAAAGGAATAACGCGCATGCTCCAGAGAGATAGATTGAGAGAGAGCCTGTTCTACGCCGCATGCGCGTAACTAATTGTGAACGAAAAACCCCTAAATTTTAAAAAGACGACATCTAAGTTCTATCTGTTATGTTAATTACTCTATGGGAATTATAACAAACAAACAAACGAGACAAATATATTTTAAAAGGATAAATTAATTCATTTTCCTTAATCTGTTTTGTTAGGTGACTCCTGATCCCAGATTGACAAGTATGGTGATGCAGTGGGGACAGTTTCTTGATCATGATCTTGATCACTCCATGGAATCAGTCAGTAGGGAAACTTTTGGAACAGGTTAGAAATTAGAAAATAAGTTTTGAAGCGACTGAAACTGTTATTTTAAGTGACCTTCATGCAAACATGGCAATGTCCGATTCACAACGGTACCCTTTATCTGATCAATAATGTGAAAGATATTGTCATATAGATATTGTATTCATATAATCTAAGTGTATAATTTCAAAGTGTAAGCTAAGAAATTCAACAAATCCAGTGTTTTGGGAACTTCCTAATTTCCTAAATGAAAGTTAAACATTCAAATAAAGAACCGTATTATTAACTTATTTTTGACTAGCTTGAGAACCCAGCGTTGCCCCGCGGGTACTAAGAGTTTACACGCGCTTGGTCATAAATTACACTTTTTGCCATTTTTCACTTTAAAAGTGGACCCACTCAAACTTTGAAACTCAAAATCAAGCCAGGAACATTCCCGTGGTTCTCCCTAGTTCCTCAATCAAAATTTGAGGCAAATCGGTCAAGGGTTTCATGAGCTATGATCGGACATACAAACAAACAGAGATTCCCCTAGGTCAGACCTGTAGTGGTACTTGTGAAAATAATCCTCCCTGCTTCCCTATCCCTGTCCCTGACAACGATACAAGGATAAAAACACACAAATGTATAGAGTTCACACGGAGCAGTGCATCTTGCGGTTCAGGTAACAACAACCAGCTTAAAGGGACTGTTTAAGAAGTTTTTAATGAACTTTTAATTGATAAGGTTATTTTTATTCATTATTAGTGCATGGTTTCATATTTAGATTTTACATTGTAGAATGGAGATAGTATTTTATTTTTTTTAATCATGAACTTTGTTTTATCTTTAAATAGAACATATTAGGAAATACCTAGTTTTCTTAGATTTAATTGAAAAAATTTAGGGTGATTTTTTGGTGTTAGGTACTTTCCCAAAGGCATTTTCCCAAGGGCGACTTTCCAAGTGACAATTTCCCAAGTGTGCAATTTCCCAAGCTGCATCTTCCCAAAGTTTAGGTTAGGCCCTTTGAAGCGCCGCACGCTGCAATGGGGGCCGAGCGCTGCGGCAAGGATGGGCTAGGGGTTGCCCAACGCCGCGTCTAGAACAGGCTGGGGGAATACCGCTGCGGATAGGACAGACTTGGGAAGTTGCCGCTTGGGAAATTGCACATTTAGGAAGTTGCCACTTGGGAAAATACCCTTTGGAAGTTTTGCACTTGGGTAAAATCCTTTTGGAAAGTACCTTACATCACTTTTTGTGCAATATTTTAGAGGCATTGTCGGCAATATTTAAAAAAAAATTATTTTAACATTTCAGGAACAATGTCGGTATTCTTTATTTCAACGACAATTTTTGAATTTTTGAAGTTTTTTAGGGAATAATATTTGTTGCATTTTTCTCATTATTCTTTTGAAATATTCAGGAACAACCTCGGTATTTTTTGAGAAATTACAGCAGCGGGAGCAGGTCAATCAGCTTACAGCATTTATAGATGCTTCACAGGTATACAAATCTAGATTACAAAAAGGGTTAAAGGGACTATTTTTATTATTTAAATAAGTTTAGATAAACAAAATACCCATCATGGTATGAGAAAGCAACGGCCAAATTTGTTCAGCATAAACAGTAAAGATATTTCTAGGTGGATATAAATCTGTTCACAGTCAGCGCCGGTCGCGGGGTGCAACTAAAATATTGAAATCTAGGCTATCATGGAGCAGAACTAATCTCAGTTCAGTACGGGGATAGGGCCTTTATACATTTTTTAGGGCACATCTTATGACTTCTTTATATAAGAGTTCAAAGAAGTAAGATAACAAAAATTTGGTTCTCTAACTTGTATAATACACGCTAAACAAGAGATTTTATTTAATGCGTTTTCTTAGTTTGTTGCCAAACCTGAATGAACTCTGGTTCAAGACTGCACTTTCTTAATTAAAATCCACCTTATACACATTACATAATGCTTTATATTCTAATAATGCTCTCGGCTTTTGTTTTTTCTTAATTTCACTCAAGATTAAATACAAAATTTTGTCTGTAATTAATTTTGAGAGTTTATTTTACAAAAAAAAACTATAACTATAAATTGAAAATGCTTTGTTATTTCTAAAGATTAAAAGTTAGAGTTATGGTATTTTGAGTTTATAATGCTGATCAGATCTTTTTTACTAAAAAAACAATTCTGAAACTTTGTCTCTACCTGGTCCGAGAAACCCAGTTCTTAAAATGGTTTTCAATTAAGAAAATAACCCACTCCTCCCAAGCAAGATTTAATCCTAGGTGTACGGGAATGGACGAACTCTGGCACTAAACTTAAGGAAATATTCTATTATTAATATCAACTTAACAAGGAAAAATCTAATACATCTTTTTCAGTATTTAATAGTTAATTTCTTAATTTTTTTGTTAATGAAAATTTTTTCTTTCGCTATTGAAAATATTTTTAATATTTGTTAGATTTTTACTTTCATCTCGATGTGGCCTTTAAAAAGTTAATTAAATAAGTAAAATTACCTGGAAAATTCGTAACAATTATCTTATTTTTTTGTTGTCGAAAAAATACAAAAACAATTACTTTTTAAATTCATGAAAAACGAAAAACGTTGAATTAGAAATGCCGCCTCAGAAAGATTTGTCAATAATTTTTTGAGTCAATATTAAGTTTTTTTTTGTTTCAATTGAAAACAATTTGCAACAGAAAAGTAGTTTAACTTATTTTGTCATTTCTAGCAATTGATAAATCGAATTAATGATTAATTTATTACTCTGAGATCTAATTTATTTTTATTTGTTCATAATAAATAGTTAAATTGTTAGAAACCAGACAAACAATTTTGGTCGATTGAGGGAGGGTGTTGCATATGAACATGGTAAACCCCTTCTACCATACAATGATCAGCATCCAATAGACTGCAGGTACAGATAAAACAACTATAATTGTTTTTATGTTCTTTCCAGCATAAATGAATTTTCTAATCCCTATATCTTTGCAACCCAATGTCGTATACCTTGAATATTTCAAACTGAATTCTGATCAAATAATCTTAGTTTGAAATAAGTTTTAAACCATCAGGTTGCAAAAATATAAGGATTTCAACACTTGAGTTCCTTATGATCAGATATTCAATAGTTTTCTTTACAATATAATGTTAAACAATTTTTATTTCTGTTTTAATTTATTTATATGAATGTCCATTGAATCAAAGAAAAGATTATATTATACATTGTATCCTTGTATCATGATAATTTAGTCTGGAACAAAATGTATGCAAGTCACAATTTAACCTAAAAAACCCATCGTTTTATTAAATTACAATGTAATTTTATATCGTAATTCGTAATGATAGCATTAGGTAAGCGAAAACCTATCTGGAAAGATGAATATTTCGGGAAGAAACGGTAACTGGAAAGGAATTAAGTCTTTGCCACAAACTTTGATTTTGTAATCCTTAAATCTTTGCAACCAAATGTCTTAGACCTTAGATATTTCAAACTATAATTTTGTTAGATCAAATAATCTTAGTTTGAATTATTAACGGTTTACACCATCAAGTTGTAAAGATATAGGGATTAGACAATTTTGGGGTTTGCCAAAGACCCAATTACTTTTCGTTAAATGTGGGAATTTTTTTCTTTAGATTTACTGACGTTTTGAAATATAAAAAAAAGTGTTCATGTTTTTTGAATCTTCATCAGGCGGGATCCCCGAGAGTCTTCTATTGGTTGTTTTCTGGCTGGAGATGTGAGGGCTAATGAACAGCTGGGACTCATCTCCATTCATACTCTCTGGTTCAGAGAACATAATAGGATCGTAGATAATCTGAGGTAGGATCAAGTATTAAGAAGAATCATTGCATTATCTTTAAAGGGACTGTAAACTCTAAATATTGTGAGTGTGGAACCTATACTGTAGAAAGCTAGAGTTTCACAACCCTAGCGTATCGACTCCATCACAAAGCCCAAAATTCTATGGAAAATTGTAAGAATGATTAAATAAGGAACTTTTAGAAGATTGTGGAGATTTTTGAACAGATAATACTTAGCCATGATTTGGTCTGAAAAGTTTTTTAACTTTAAGCATTTTTATTATTATTATAATTATTTTTATACACGGATAGGATTTTCAGTTTCTTCTATTGTTGACAAAACTGCATATTATCATATTTGTTCTATTATTTTTCTATTATTTCTATTATTATTATTATTTATTTATGGAAATGTTAGGTTTCGAAAATGTGAAAAAATGTTAAAATCGAACAATTATTAGAGTGCCTTAAAGCGTTTTTTGGGACACGCTTTACGTATTCATTAAAACGATTTATTTAAAAAATATATTTTCAATTATAAAATTTTCTGTTCTTTTCTAAATTTGACAGTTTTTAGCTCAATTTTGATAATTTCTAAAAGAGAGTTTTTTGAGGTTCCTGAACAATTATTTCGTCTGCTGTTTAGAGACCTGAACCCGTTCTGGGATGGGGATCGGTTGTATGAGGAGGGAAGGAAGATAGTCTGGGCGTCAATGCAACATATTACATTTAAACATTGGCTTCCCTTCATTATAGGTAAAACAGCATGGAGTCTTTGCAACAAACTCAGATTTTCTTATCCCGATACTTTTGCATCTCAATGTCGTAGACCTAAAATATTTTAAATTATCTGTTAGATCAAATAATCTAAGTTTGAAATATCAAAGTCTTAACCCATCAGGTTGCAAAAATATAGGAATAGGAATAGTGGGATTTGTGCAGCGTCGAGAAGAGGATATTTTTTATTTCAGTCTCCAATTTTAACCATAGGTCGTCGAGCTATTTGACTAATTTTGAATCGACTAAGCTAGAAACGGTTGGATCACGTGAAAATTTACTTTAATAACAATGCACATCGGCATCATAATGATTACGGTGGTAGACAATTATATCAATATAATGAAGACGACTTAAATTTTGATTTATACAACATGGATACACAAAAACATGGAAACAAAGAGATGCTGTCAATTTAAAAAATCTTCTCTTAAATTACTTTTAAACTTGAAATTCGAAAAAAGCTTGTTAACAATTAAAACTTTAAAAAAAGTCGTCGTCATTATATTGATATAATCGCATACAACCGTATAAAAATTGCAAATCTTTTAAAAAAAAATTATGAAAGTAAAAGTTTGTAGAAATACGCAGTAAATGATAGTTTTAAATTTGAATATTTACAGATAATTAATTAACTATAAATTTTGTATAAAATTCCAAAGTGAAAGTTGCTTTTGTTCTGAAAGAAAAAATGAATAAAAAAAATGAATATTTCAGGAGAAAGAGGAATGAGAAGGTTGGGGCAATACCAGGAAAGTTTTAAACAAAAGAATTTCTTAAAAATATTTCAAAAATATTAAATTAATACAATTTAATTATCTTTTTCTACTGGAAAGGTTTTTAGATTCGAACCAATTATTCCTTTCTTTGAATTGTATTCAATCTTTTCAAGATGTTTTTAATTTCAATTTTTTTAAACAGGATTCATATTTTTCAGCCATTTCTAAGAAATTGACTAACAACTGATTTGAATAATTTATTTAAAATTAAAATTTGAAAAGGAATATGATGCAGGATTGGATCCCTCAATATCAAACTGACTTGAATAATTTATTTAAAATTAAAATTTGAAAAGGAATATGATTCAGGATTGGATCCCTCAATATCAAACTGACTTGAATAATTTATTTAAAATTAAAATTTGAAAAGGAATATGATGCAGGATTGGATCCCTCAATATCAAACTGACTTGAATAATTTATTNAAAGGGGGTATAGGCTGAAAGCTAATCACTTTAGCTCTCGATCGTGACCCATGAAAGTTTTATCTGATGTTCCTGTGTCGAGAAATTGATATAAAACTGTGTTGCAATTATACGAAAGTTCATATATGTAAAATTTAGAAAATCTTAAACTTAAATCACGTGACCAGAACTATCACCAATGACAGAGCAGTATATTGGTCACGTGTCTCCGCCTGTATCACGTGACCACTTTACTGCACTGCCATTGGTGGAACTTCTGGTCAAGTAACACGGAAGAATAAATAATATTATGAATTAAATCTATTAAAAATAGAAATAACAAATATAAAATTAGAATTGGAGTAAACCTAAGTTACAATTAGCTTTCTCTGGGATATCATAGTTTTCAGATTGGTTGCATATTTGCTGAATTTGATCTATTTAAACCAACTACTTTTATACAAAATTGTATATATATTAATTTTAGTATAAATTTGACACAGTTCAGTTGTATATCAATTTCTCGAGATAGTAACATCGATATAACTTTCATGGGTCACGATCAAGAGCTAAAGTGATTGGCTTTCAGCCTATACCCCCTTTCATTTTTCCTTTACAGTCCCTTTAAGGTCAACTTTTATTTAATAAAAATATGACAATTTTAATTGTATACATCATTTTACATAAATGAAAACTTTCTTTTTCAGCATTCAGCAATTTTAAGAATGTGGTCTAAATTTATATGGACTGCCAAAATTATATAAGTGAGGCCTTTATATGATCCGTCCCCGAGTCACAATATTCACCCTTTCTGTTTGTTAAAAATATGGGAATGCCCAAGGTACTAATGCAAGGAAAAATATTTCAGAGGTGTACGCATTTTTTGTACTGCAGTGTACAGTCTTTGGGCGGAAAAGTAAACACAAGACGGATGTCAAAGCCTGACATGGAATCCATTTTCACAAAAATAATCTATGAAATATTCTGTTCTTAGGAAACTATTATGTGAATTTTCAAAAATAGCTATTATATAGCTATATATATAGGTATTACTTCTTTTTAAAATAGAAAGCCGAATGTATCATCCTCTGCCTCTTACAAAGATAAAAGTTTAGAGGGTATCATTGTTAATCTTGAAATTGAATAAAAGCAACACTCAAAAAGATTGATTATTTAACCATTGTTTACTAGGTTCGGACACACTATGATAAGCCCTGTAATGCGGAGACTTAATTCAAACTTCTCTTCTATTCCAGGTACTATACCTCAGGTTCCATTCCAGGTACTATACCTCAGGTTCTATTCCAGGTACTATACCTCAAGTTCTATTCCAGGTACTATACCTCAGGTTCTATTCCAGGTACTATATACCTCAGGTTCTATTCCAGGTACTATACCTCAGGTTATATTCCAGGTACTATACCTCAGGTTCTATTCCAGGTACTATATACCTCAGGTTCTATTCCAGGTACTATATACCTCAGGTTCTATTCCAGGTACTATACCTCAGGTTCTATTCCAGGTATTATACCTCAGGTTTTTATTATTATAATATTCTAAATAGTAATTCAAACTTCTCTTCTATTCCAGGTATTATACCTCAGGTTTTTATTATTATAATATTCTAAATAGTAATTCAAACTTCTCTTCTATTCCAGGTATTATACCTCAGGTTTTTACTATTATAATATTCTAAATAGTAATTCAAACTTCTCTTCTATTCCAGGTATTATACCTCAGGTTTTTACTATTATAATATTCTAAATAGTAATTCAAACTTCTCTTTTATTCCAGGTATTATACCTCAGGTTTTTACTATTATAATATTCTAAATAGTAATTCAAACTTCTCTTCTATTCCAGGTATTATACCTCAGGTTTTTACTATTATAATATTCTAAATAGTAATCTAGAACAGCAGACTTCATCTTTTTTAAGAAGTTACTTAATAATGTGTTTAATTATGCCTATTGTTTAGTTAATTATTTATTAGTTAATATTCTTTTTATAAAAGAGTAAGCTAATAATTAATTAATCAATTTAATCTTTATAGAAGGAGATTTATCCCTACATCAGGCTTTCTTTTCTCCTTGGAGAATTGTGGAAGAAGGTTTAAAAAAATATTTTGAAATAATACAATGTTTGCAAAAATATTTACAATTTTTCATAAAACAATTAAATTATAATAAAGAAATAGAACTTGTAAAATAGAACACGAATAAAAGAAAAAAAGACAAATATGATTTTTTGTAGGAGGGATTGACCCAATTTTAAGAGGTCTTTACCACTCACCAGCAAAGGTAATTTTTCTCTGAATGCGTTTTTTCATTCTGGATTTTTACACTAATCTTATTTTGTTATGATTTACGAAGAACATCTTCACAAATAATAAACTTTTAGAGAAAAAATGTATGTGCAAAAAACATTGAATGGATTTAGCTGTCAGAAATTTTCACTGAATTAATGATTAATTATATATATATATAAAGATTTATTCACACACAAAGATATAAATACATATATTAATGGTAATCGGTTTAACTTAAAATAAGTAGACAGAATTTGTTCTGAATAATGTATGTACACTGTTACCCACAAAGAATGAGACGCTAGAGACGACAGTACGGAAATCATTTAGTATTTTTTTAGATTCCTTTTTGCCCTGCATTATGTGTTTAAAGAGTTTCAGGTCATTATTACAGTCTCATTCTTTGTGGTTGACCCAGAACCCTGTATTTGTATATAAATATATAGATGCCAATACCCAGAACCCTGTATTTGTATATAAATATATAGATGCCAATGCCCAGAACCCTGTATTTGTATATAAATATATAGATGCCAATACCCAGAACCCTGTATTTGTATATAAACATATAGATGCCAATACCCAGAACCTTGTATTTGTATATAAACATATAGATGCCAATACCCAGAACCCTGTATTTGTATATAAACATATAGATGCCAATACCCAGAACCCTGTATTTGTATATAAACATATAGATGCCAATACCCAGAACCCTGTATTTGTATATAAATATATAGATGCCAATACCCAGAACCCTGTATTTGTATATAAATATATAGATGCCAATACCCAGAACCCTGTATTTGTATATAAACATATAGATGCCAATACCCAGAACCCTGTATTTGTATATAAATATATAGATGCCAATGCCAGAGCAGGGTATGAATTCAGATCTTACGGAAAAGCTGTTTCAGGTAGAATTATTAAAAAAGTTTAAAGAACAGTATTAAAGTTTTACCCCAAAAGTACTATCTAATTCCGTTGTTTATTTTTTTAAACCAAGGCCTGTAGTAGGCTCTGTCGTTTGAACATTTTTAGATTTATGATGGACAAAGAAAACAATTTTGATAAGAGATGTATGTGAAAAATATTGTTTAATATTAATCATGTAGCTGAATAATGTTAGTTAGAGAAAAGTGCAAATAAATTTGATTTAGTAAAGTGAAAACAGATTATCAATGACAACTCGACAATAAAATGTTGAAGAAAATAAAATTTCGCCACTGAAAATTTAAATAGGGTAGGTAGGTTAGGGTAAGAAGGGTGTGGTTACGTAACAAGTAAAACACGTTTTGCAGGGGTAAGATAAGTTTTTATAATAAAGTGTAAAGTAATTGATCTTCTTATTGAGTGTTTATTTTATTTAAAACTTTAGATATTAGTGACGTAATAAGTGTTATAGTAAAAACATTTTGCTTCGTAACAACTGAATTAAACTTAGATAGGTTAGATTAAGTTGGTTTAATTATTGAACAAGTAAAACACGGTGGGTTATAGGTTAAGAAGTTGGTTTAGCTATTGAACAAGTAATAACACGGTAGGTTAGGTTAAGTTGGTTTGGTTATTGAACAAGTAATAACACGGTAGGTTAGGTTAAGTTGGTTTGGTTATTGAACAAGTTATAACACGGTAGGTTAGGTTAAGATGGTTTAGTTATTGAAAAAGTAAAAACACGGTAGGTTAGGTTAAGTTGGTTTGGTTATTGAACTTGTAAAAACACGGTAAATTTTCTAGTAAAAATGGTTAGGTTAAGCAGAGATGGAATTTAAAGAATTTGAGCTGCGGTTTAAATCCGCCAAAACCCGGTTTAAATTAAGCGCCGGCTTAAATCTTGAAACATTTAATACAATTTTATGTGGAACCAACCATATTTAAACGGCGGCTTAAATTTAAAATTCTTTAAATTCGGCCACTGTTGTAGTTATTAAACATTTAAAAACAGTCTAGGTTAAATTAAGATGGTCATTTTACAAGTAAAGATGATATGTATGGTATGATATATCAGATTAATTGTATTAATTATATATAACGTATTTGGACAGAAATTTTCTCGTTATCAAGAAGGTTAAGCCTTTTCAGATAGGGTTTTTGGCCCGAACTCATGAGCATGAATGATGAAAGCACAATGGTTTCATAAAGCACTAGACTTTCTTCTGTTTCAATCTTTAATTATGGTGAACATCTTCTCTTTGTACAATATAAAACAATAACAAAACAAAGATGACAGATTTAAAAGGATTTTTTGTGGATTTTCAAAATTTTACAAAAATCAAACATTTTTTTGACGTTGATATACAAGACAGAAAAGCAACGTATCTTCCATATATATAAAGTTTGGGTGTTTGTTTGCTTGTTTGTCCGATCATAACTTAGGAACCCCTGGACCGATTTGCCTCAAACTTTGATTGGGAAACTCGGGAGGACCACGGGAATGTTCTTGTGTTAAGGTTCTAAGTTTAGTGGGTCGACTTTTATTGGAAAAAATAGTTAAACTCGTAATTTACGACAAAGCACGGGGGACTAACTATGACCTCCTGTGCAACGCTGGGTTCCAAAGCTAGTATATATATAATATATAGGTCGCGCATACAGTTGCCCTGGATCTAGCTGCCTTGAATATACAGCGAGGAAGGGATCACGGTATTCCACCGTACACTGATTGGGTTAAATATTGTGGACTGGGTAGTATTAATACTTGGGAGGATATGTCTACTCTTATCAAGGTATCACCGCCTCGACTGGACCAATCCTTTAATTATTTTTCTAAATGTAAATATTGAAACATGCATTGAAGTTTTTCTCTTTTTTTGGGGGGAAAATTGAGTTTAAAGATATGTTTTGATTTTTGTCCATGTATTTCGTATTATGAACAAAAAAATGTGAAAATTGGCCCCCCAAAAAAGTTAATCCAGAAATCCACTTTTTTTCGATCTGATATAAACACTCGAAAAATTTCGCATAAAAATGGAATTTGCTTTAATTTTTTTTTTTTCCTGCAATAGTCATCCTAAAAATTTATAAATCTATAGCTAATAGCATATAAAAACCTTTATGTAAACCTTTCAAGTTTTTTTTTAGTTGTTTGAACAATTTATTTTTAAAATTTTCCGTAAAAGATTAACCACAAAACTTTGTAAAACGATTTCAGAGTTGCCATGCATGATTTAAAAAATTTATAATGATGATTTCTTAAAGGATGTTGAGGTACTAAATCAGTTAAAGGAACTTTATGGCCATCCTGGAAACATAGATCTATTTGTTGGTAGTATTATGGAGGTAGATAAATAATACACATTGCTAAAATAACATTTATTTTGAGGTGTTACACTATTGTTACATACAGTGCTACCCATAAAGGATGAGATTTTAATTACGACCTATAACTATAAAATTATGATAACGATATCAATTGGCAAAGAAAGAATCAGTTGAAGGTGACCAAGAATGTAAAAACAAGACCAAGTAAATTCCGTACAGTCGTCTCTGAAATCTCATTTTTTGTGGGAAATATCAAAGATGGTATTTTACGTGAGGGCAGTACAGCTACTTCTTAGCTCTTAGCTCTCTCATTGACTGAAATTAAATTTTCTGACTTTCTTTTGGTTCTGCATGGCCCTCTAGGGGGTATTCAAAATTATTTTTAATTGGTATTTGATCTCAATTCAAGTTGATTAGCATTCATAAAGAAGCTAATCAATCACCTAAAAATTAAACTTTTTAATTTCTACGTCTTCCAACCTGTCGGTTTTATTTCAAACTTTGACAATTTTTATTCAGCAAAATGTATTGTTAGAAATGTCAAAGACCAGGTTGAAAAGATATAAGGTTTAGCAAAATAAAGTTTTAAGAGAAGATTCAGTTTTTTACTGCCAGAGGCCGGATTTAAAGAATTTGAGCGGCGTCTCAAATTTGAGACGCAGCTCAAACAAGGTTGGTTCCACTTGAGATTGAATTCAGTGTTCCGAGATATTAGCGGGTTTTCAATTTGAACCAGTTTTTGGCGGTTCAGCGACGCGGTTTAAATTCTTTAAATTCGGCCTCAGGATTCGTATTCCCCTATTTATTTTTAAAATGTCTCTTTGAATGATTTATTTTTTTTAGAATCTAGAAGAGGATGGACGTGTTGGACCAACTATCAAATGTCTACTTATTGAACAGTTTCATAGGCTTAGATCAGCAGATAGGTAATATTATGTACAGGGTTATCCACAAAGAATAAAACTTTAGAGAAGATTGTACGAAATTTATTTAGTCTTGTTTCTTGCAAGCCTGTAGCTGAAACATTGTTTCTTTAGTCCCCAAATTATGTCAAACACTTTAAAAAGACTTTATTCAGGGCAGAAGACTAAATTCAACCTTTATATCGTCACAGTTAACGAGTTTTGGTCGTGATGAAGTCTCATCCTTTGTGGGTAACCCTTTAGCTATATGATTACAGCTGAAACTCAATCAGACATTTTATCAGTTTTGAATAATGAATTTTTTCACTGGGTGGCATTAAATTTCAGGGGACATTAGAAATGGGCTAAGTCGTCAAAGTTATCTTTTCCAAGCGTGTATATATCTTTAAATCCAAGCTGAGTTGAACAAAGGTACACCATACATTTATAAAAAATGGCTAAACCTTTACATTGAAACAAAAAATGTCAACTTTAAACTAATAATAAGGTTTGAGAATTAGGTTTTGATGATTCTTGATTTCATTTTCGAACATATCCTTATTTTGAGACAATTAGCGGATTTCAGCTCATGTCGCGTTTTTGGAACATATCCTGGTTTTAAGACAATCACCTGAATTGGTATCAACGTCAATTTTTAAGCATTTACGCACTTACATAACAAAACAAGATTTTTTGATAAGGTAGAATAGAAACAAAATAGACAATAAAAACATATTGTTCTTTTATAATTGATAAATCAAAATATTAATATTATTTTGTTTTTACAATATAGATTTAACTTGCAATGCGGGAAATTGATTGTTTAAAATGCGGGAACTCAAATGAACTTTTTTCTCTTCAATATATAAATTTAGCTTGTCTGGGTGTCTGTTTGTTTGTATCCAATAACGTCAAAACGGCTAAACCGGTCGGGCCCAAATTTTTTGTGGGACCTCACGTGACCCCAGGGAAAGTTTATGAATGATCAAAATAAAAGATTTGTGTTTAAAAGTTTTTTATTTTTTGTAAAATTTTGAAAATAATATTATGAAATCCGCAAACTTTTTGGTTTGTTTTTGTTTTATGCTGTAAAGAGAATATGCTCACAGATAAAGCCACATAAAAGTTGAAATAGAATATGGGCGCAAAGTGCCCTAAAAGCCTAGTATTTAACAAATAAATGGGAAACTAAGACTTTAGAAATAATTTAGCAGTTAATTAAGTCTTCATAAGATAATTTTTACTTTCAGTGATTTATTTTGTAAGTTATGAAAGTGAGGTTTGTCTTTAAAAAGTGGATTATACTCAAAAACGGGAAAGTGTGTTTTGTCTCGAAAACGCGACAAATGTTTCAAATTCAGGATATGTTAGAAAATGGAAAACCTTTCATTGTCTTGAAAACGGTCAATGGTTTTCATATAAAAAACTTCTTTAATGACTTTTACTTTAAAAAAATAGTTTCAAATTGGGAGTTTTTGACCGCGTCAAGCTTATAAAAATGTTGGTTATAGTTTTTACTCTGGATATGGGCCGGGATCCTACCCAGTTTTTCAAATTGTGCCCAATTCTAATACTCACTGTTAGAAATGGGCCAAGTGTTAGTTAAAGAACTAATGTCCCTGAATTTATACAAACCAATAATGTTAAAACAAAACAGAAGCTGAAGTCTGTTTACAAGTATTTTATGCAGCAGCCGCAGGGATAACATATATCTATATGATAAAACAAGACATTCGTATATATGTGTGTTGAATATAGCCGGCCAAATGGCTGGACCGATTAGGCTGAAATATAATGATGATATATAATGAAGATGATATAAAGATGTGTCCTCAACAAACCGTTGAAAAATTATTTTAAAATTTCCCAGGATAAAAATAATTTATCTACTCTTCCACCCCCCCCCCTCTACATCCCCTGTGTACAGTGCACATCCTTGATTTAATTGTTTAGATGTAAAGAGAAAACTATCAGAAAAGTTAAATGATATAGTTGACGGTAAAAGTTTGTTCTGTAAATCTAAATGAGAGCTAGAAAATTTCTAATAGAGATTTATGGACAATTTCTTGAAGAGTAATCTTCGGACATAATTTATATTTCTTGAAAATGAGATCATTTCCATTTTTTGTTTTCAAAATTACCAGAGATATGAATGATTTCGTTAAGAATTAGAAAATTTCATGGTTTTGTTGAAGAGAGTGTTCGCGAAAAATGAAAGTGGGTACAGGCTTATGGCGAAAAATAATCGCTAATCTTACTTCGATGTTGCGTCTATAAGGAGAAAATTGTTAAAAACGACTTATACTGACGAACGTAGCGTCCATACAAATTGATAAAGTTGCAAAATTCGACTTGTATCGTAAAATAATCAATTTAATTTTAAACAAATTGTTTTAAAAAAACTATAATTTTTTAAAAGACGATCGTTTTTAAAAAACGATAAAAAGCTATCATTTTTAAAACTTGATCGTTGCGTTTTCGTTTTTTTGTCGTCGTTTTCATCGTTTAAAAAAAAATTAAAACTTGAACATCTCTAGCCATGTATACAATTGTATACAAAACGAATAAAAAATATTATGAAATATTAACCATATATACGAATGCGTCGAAAAATAATCGATGACTATAGGTTAAAGTATCTGAATGATTTGTTTGAAATTAAATTATTTTTTTTTACTAACCCAGTCGTAAATTGCAACTTTTTTAATTTGTGTGGATGCTACGTTCTTCAGTATAAGACGTTTTTAACAATTTTCTACTTGTAGACACAACAGAGTAACAATCAAAAGCGATTATTTTTTCGTAGTAAGCCTATACCCCCTTTATTTTTTGCGAACACTCCCTTTAAATAACTTTAAATCTTTACAAAATTCTTAATTTCTATTTTAATTTTGAAGGCAAAGACAATGGCAGACCACATTACATTTTGGAAATGACATTACTGGCCGCTATTTTGTGTTTATTATTTCATGACAAATATTGCTGAAATTAGGTTGCCAAATGAATGCCGCAAAATATTTATTAGTTCAAAGACAACTTTCAAGTCTACAATCAGTTAATGAATTATTCCTCTGGTTAATTTACCACCAAACACTTTATTGGTAAAAATCGTGCACCATATTGAAGTAACCGTAATGGGTGACTATAAATTCTCAAATTATCCATCATTAATAATAACTAACTTATTTCATCTCTGTTTTGCTGATTTAATGCCTTATTTCCTCAATTCAAACATAAGGAAAAGGTCAAGTTAATGCATAGTTAAACCATGGTTAGACTTTATGCCTTCATTGATCCACTAGTTTTATTTTTTCACCCAAGTATTATATAAAAATTAATTCATTTGATTGCATATTATAAATGCAAAACATGAAATTTACATTAAAAATTGAGTCTTTGAAAAAACTTTAAATTTCTAATCCTTATATCTTTGGAACCCAATGTCGTAAACTTTTGATAATTCAAACTATGAATTATATTTTATCAATTCTAAGTGTGAAATATCAAAGGTTTGCAAAACTAGGTAGCAAAGATATTGGGATTGGAAAATTAGAGTTTGGGGCAAAAACTCAGGTTTTTTGACGTGTTTTAACAAAGTAATTGTTTAAGACGAGTACCGAAGAATGTATTTTTGAACTCTGAAACATCAGATCTAACAACCTGCTCACAGCTTCAACAAATGTCATTTAAACCCTGGAAAGGTAAAACACCTATTTTATATATTAAATAAATCTATAAATATATGTTGCTTGTCTGTCTGTCTCTGTGTCTGTTTGTTTTTGTCAAATAGACGTCAAAACGGCAGAACCGATCGGGCCCAAATTTTGTGTGGTGGGACCTCACATGACCCAAGGGATGGTTAATGAATGCACAAAATTTCAAAAGTTAGCCTTCAACAAAATTCGATTTTCATTAAATTTTAAAGAAATCCACGAAATTTCTTTATAAGTTATTTATAATGTACAATGTACAAATACAAAGAGAAAATGTTTAATTGAAATAGATGAAGAGCGCGATGCGCCCTTAAGGCCTAGTATATATATATATATAGCCAGAGAAACCATAACACTAAGAGAGACAAAAAAAGTCGCAGTTGTCCCCCCCCCCCTGGGTAACATAGAAAAAAAATACGTCAAAATAGCAGACCTAGTAAGGCAACAATTTCGAATGGAAATTGACTTGGCTTGCACTTAGGTTGTTTCAAGATGGTCAATTGAGAACATTTTTACCTGTTCCTAATTTTTGAAATCACGGAAAAATGGAAAATCAACGAAGTTTTAAATGTTAATTTATGCTAAAATAAACTCGATTCATGTTCTAAGTTTCGAAACCCTTTTTCTGACTTTTAATTTTTCTAACTAATATGGGTTCTGCTAGATCAAATAGTCAAAGTTTGAAATACCAAAGACTCACCCCATCAGGTTGCAAAGATAAAGGGATTCGAATAAATGATTTGGTGGTGAGCAATCATGTTTTTTGATCTTGTCTCCTGGTTTTTGGTTTGTTGGGATTATAAGCGCCGAAAGGTTCACAAACCACACTCCTACAAAATCTTTATTCAAATCGGCTTTGACTTGCATGAACTGGGGAACAATTATTTTTTAATAATTTAGAATGCCCTTCAATATCTGAACAAGAGTCAAGACGACACAGAAGAGACGCAAACCTAGGTAATTAGTCAAATTTAGATGGAGATTAAAGGGACTGTAAAGGAAAAATGAAAGGGGGTATAGGATGAAACCTGAGAATCTCAGACGTTAAACGATACGTATAAAACATCTATCTGATGTTCCTGTCTCGAGAAATAAATATAAAACTGTGTCAAATTTATACGAAAATTCATATATATGCAATTTTGTATAAAAGTTGTAATATTAAACAGATCATATTCAACCAATACGCAACCAATCTGAAAACGACGATATCCCACAGGAGCCTGAGAATCTCAGGTTTGCTTCTATTATAATTTTGTAATTTTTATTTTGAACTTTTAATAGATATAATTGATAATATAGTCCGTATTACGTCACCAGAATTTCAGCCTATGGCCGTGCAGTATAATTGTCACGTGATACAGACGGAAATCACGTGACCAGTATACTGCACTGCCATTGGCAGAAGTTCTGGTGACGTAATACGGATTATACAAATAATAAATAATAATTTTTTTGTCAAATCATTAGTGTTATTCATTACTGTAATTTTAAGTTTATTTGATTTTTAAGTTCATCAACACTAACATTAAAGAAATTATGTTATATTTAAAAAGCAGCCCTGGCTGTAGTTTCAGTAATTTGCCGCCAAGAAAATAAGGTGAAACGTCCGGCTATCATATTTACATACGTGAAACTCTGACTGGGTTCAAGTAAAGTTTCATTAGATGTCGGAAATGTGATACAGTAGGACCCATAAAGCTTTGGAATATGAAGACGACATTATCTTATGCCGGTAGCTTGAAAATCAACTTAATAGATAAAATGAGTTTGTGCAAGTGTACACTCAAAACACAGACACAGTGCAAAATTGATTTGTTTTATGTTTGTTTAATCAGTTAAAATCATAACTTGAACATTACAGTCATTTTCTCATTCCACAGTTTTATGAGTACCACTAGGTAGTCCATTTGGATCCGAATAAAACCAAAGATTCTACTCTGTTTAAAAAGATAAATTTTAGAAGATTCTTTGTCCCGCGCTGAAGCCAGGATTAAGCAATTGGAAGAAGATCTGAGGCAAACCAAAAATATTGGTAAATATTTAAATTGAAAGATTCCAAATTATATAGATAAGCAGTTTTTTGTTTTGATTTTTTAAATTGTTAAAAAACACATTTAATTATTTACTAGCTGAAGGGCCAGGCGTTGCCCATGGGAAAAAATTAATTTTTTTTTTAAATTTAAAAAAAGAGATATTTTTGAAATAAATTTGAATTCTTTTTAGCCTACAACACCCCCCGGCCACCTTCGAGTGTCCACAAAAATTTCAGCCTTATCGGTCTAGCCGGCTATAGACAACAATGTGAAGGTTTCATCCAACCTCTTATATTTTTTAAAATAAAAACGAAAATTGACAAAAGAAAACTATATCTTTGCCACAAACTTTGATTTTCTCGTGAAATATCAAAGTTTTAAACTATCAGGTTATTAAGGTATTAGGATTAAAACAAATGTGACACAAACTTAAATACTTTAGATTAAAGTTTTTTCTCTAAAATCTAAAAGTTTCATCTAAAATTATATAATAAAGATGAATTTCAAAAGTTATAGTTTCAAGAACTAGAAAAGAATATCTTGTCTTTGAAACCTGAAACTTGAACTTTATTGTTTTAAGAAAATATTTGGATGTCAAGTATATATATTTAGATGTCAATTATATATATTTAGATGTCAAGTATATATATTTAGATGTCAAGTATATATATTTAGATGTCAAGTATATATATTTAGATGTCAAGTATATATATTTAGATGTCAAGTATAACGAATTCTTGACACAACAGATAAAAAATCCAAACCGTGTAATAAAAGAACTAAACACTCGCTGCATATTACAATTTTGTACTCCTTATATCTGATGTCATAGACTTGTTATATAGACCTGATGTCCAGACTTGTGATATAGACCTTATGTCATAGACCTGTGATATAGACCTGATGTCATAGACCTGTGATATAGGCCTGATGTCATAGACCTGTGATATTCCAAAAAATGAATATTGGGATTAGAAAATTGAATTTTAGATACTTTAAACTATTAATTTTGTTAGATCAAACATAAAACAAGTAAAAATATGAAAACAAAGAGAAAAAAATAGTAATTTAGCTAAAAATTCTTATAATTCATAACACTGGCCTTCGTTACTCCAAGATTTAGGGGTTTGCAAATAAATTAACTCTTTAATGATATTTAAGAGGGGCTTGCCAATTTGTGATTATCATCATTACCATTATTTCTGTAATTATTTCTATTCTTTCTATTGTTTATATGATTATTACATTTATTATCACTATTATTATTTCTTTCTGGATAATGCATGAATATATAATGCTGATCATCGGACAACTTCATGTCTCTTTCATTATATGTGTGTCTTATAAAAGAAAATCAAAATCAACAAAAATTTGAAAAAAAATAATAAAATTTGTATCTATTTAAGATAAGGCTAGTTATGTTTGCATAACAGAGTCAGGTGAAATAAAGCAATCTGGAGACTCCTGGACTCTTAGTAACATCAACGCCGAGCTCATTTGCTTCTGCCAGGTAAGCATTTCTAACAAACAGTTCTAGAATAACAAAAAGAATATTTCGCGTAATTATTTTAAACTAGCTTTCTGCTTGGGAACCCAGCTTTGCTTGCAGTCTGCCCTATACAATTTTTCCTACTCCGTTAAAAACCAAACTAAGAACCTTTCCGAGTTTCCCAATAAATATTTGAGGCAAATCGGTCCAGGGGTTCTTGCATTATGATCGGATACACAAAGAAACAGACAGACAAACAAAGATTATTATTTTACATACTGGGTGTCCCAAAAAACCCGATCTTTTAGCAGGGGTCCATATAATTCCATCCAATACGATCCCAAATGCTGATTGCTTTTAGAGGCAAAATTTAACCATGTTGTTATTTAATACAATTGGAAGTATGATGTCAAGTTGTAGAAAAAAATACATACTGTAGGGAGTGTTTATTTTTCTGTATATCATAATTTCTCTCTTAGGAAGTGTTCTAGGCAAATCGTTTGTCACTAAATGTCTCCAAAACAAAGTATATAGTATTTTAAAATAGAAATATGCACTTTGACCCTAACAGTTGTAATATATCAATGGGAAATGGGATACTTGAAAGGATTGGTAATAAATGTGTGAACAAATATTTCAAATTTGTTGGGCTTAAACTTGACGAATTTTTAAACTGGGATTTTCAAATTGAACAAATCTGGAATAAAATTGCTAGCTCAATCTTTGCAAATAAAAGGCAATCAGATCGGTTAATAATAGTACTTTCAAGGCACATTCAAATCCATTATTTTCAAAACTGAAAGTTCTTAATCTTGATGATACATACAAACTTTGTGTTCTGGCATTTATGGACGGATACTTTAATGATAACCTTCCCTCTTCCTTCCAAAATATGTTTAAGTCTTTAGCTGAACCGAATAGAACAAAATCATATAAATTAGAACGGGTTTTAAACAAACATTTAGAAAGCTTTCCGTCCTCAATGTTTCCTAATTTGTTGAATGAAATTGAATTTGACCTTAAAGAAACTAAATCTGCAAAAATATTCAAACAAAGAGTAATCAATATTTATCTTGAGAATTATGAGAGGTTTAAATGCGAAAAACCTAGCTGTATATCGTGTGAATAATTTTTATATAAAACAACTAAAATAACTGAAACTGTATTAGCTTATTTCTGTTTATGTAGCTACCATCATTAACACCCTGTATTTTAATTTATCTCTACATAAAAATCCCTCTGATCTCACTCTGCCACAGATCACCTGACAATCTCCTTTCTTCCAATCAACTCCTTACCTATCCAAAACATATCTTGATATGTGTAACCAATTATATTCAGTATCGTTAATTAACTTCGGGTCAACCACTCAAAACAACCAACCCTGGTTAGGCGGGTCCAAACTGCATAGTAAATTGTGATTGCTTATTTGTAATATCTCATGCTTCGTAGTTGCATAAAAATATGAAAATATGTTGCACGAAAATTTAAGAAGTTTAAGAACAGTTTGAAATTTGACATCATGGCTTGGTTGAGTTTATGAATTTAAATTTCATTAGAGTTTTAGTTTACAATGGAGGAAAACAAATTTCCTTGCATTTGAGTACCACAAAATAAAGGGCCACACAAACTTTAAACCTGGTCTTTTAAAGGAGTTTGGGCGCTAAGAAACTGGGTTTTTGCCACAACCTCAAATGTTATTTGATATTTCATACTAAGACTTTTTGATATAACAGAGTTCATAGTTTAAAATATCAAAGTTCCACGTCATCGAGTTGCAAAGATATATGGGCTAAAAATTAGAGGTTGTGACAAAAACTCATTTCCTTTCATCATCATTACAGGCTGCTTTAAGTCAATTACCTTTATAATTACCATTATATCAATATTCTTAATCATTTTTGTGTTATTATAAACCCTTATTATAAATTATTGAAATAAAATGTGAATACAATGATAATTTTTTATTTTCCTATTCACAATGACAATATTAATTTTTAAACAAGCAAAAATGTAAATGTGAAAATGTTTTTACTTCTAATGCTCTGCTACATACCTCTAATATATCAATCGATCTGAAAAGTTCCATGTTCCATGTTCGAAATATTTATGATTGAACCATGGTGAGTGCTACAATATCTAAAAGATCGTTTTTTCGGGACACCTGTACATATAGATATACTAGTCGGCAAAAAGATCCTTATTTTCTTACTAAATCTTCCTTTACCTAACTTTTGTCCTTTTTAGGAAGGGCTTATAAAATGCAAACTTGCTGCTTGAGGAAAACGAGTTATTTAGGACCTATATTTCATGATGTTTTAAGTACGGTGAATATTATTATTTAGCTAATATGTTAAACAAAATTTATTTAGATAAATAAAAATTAACTATTTAATTTTCTCCACTTTTTATCCATATCTCTTCAATTTTTGGAATTGGCTTAGAAACCATAATCAAAGAGAAAAGATCCGACTTACAGCCACAACCGTACCCGTTCAACGTTTGTCTAAGAAAAAAATTAAGTCTGCCAAAAACTCAGATTTTCTAACTTCTATATCAATACAACCAATGTTAAATAATCTAAGCTTAAAACATACAAGGTTTACACTTTCTGGTTGCAAATGTCCAAACTAGTTTTCCGATTTTTAAAAGTTAATATTTTTTCTTGGCAAAATTATTCAATTTTAACCAGCCATTTCCCTAAAGTTATGCGAGTTTTTTGGGCTAGATCGGTTCGGTTTTTTGAGTTTTATCGAATACAACCAAATAGACAGAATTTGAGACATAATTTCTCTAGTAACAGATTAAACTCCACTGTCATGATAATCATTTGACAATAGTTATAGCTATGATCCAACTAACATCAAAACGGCTGAACCCTTCAGGTCTAATTTTTTTGATCTTCACATTTTGAATAGCTTGTCAAGATTAAAAAGCATCTCTCCAATTTCTAAATTTTAGAAAATTCTCCAATAAGAACAGAAAACTTCGGTGAAAACCACAAAACTGTAAAAGAAGACGACCTTAGACTCCAGTTATGACTTTAAATAGTCCAATAAACATAAAACAAAGCAATGGTGTGGTGAAAACATACCCAAAAAGCGAGTATAAAATTACTAATAAAACTATTTAATCTGTAATAACATCGAATACACTTACACATTGCTTTAATGTCGTTTTCCTATTCCACAGTTTTTATTGCATGCGATTTAATGTTTTGAAATGTGCTAAGAAAATGCATGCAGATATGCGAAATACTAGAAAAGAGGACACAAAGCGCCCTGAAGGTGGGTCCCATAAAACTGTGAAAAAGGAAGACAACTGTTAGAGTCAAGTTTATTTTATTAGTACAATACATAATTGTAACACTGGAATTGTGTAGTTTTCATTTCCTATTTAACAATGTTATGGTTCTCATACTAATTTAAAAACTTTCCCCCCACTTTGGTTTTTGATTAAAAAACTAGATCCAAATTCAGGTCTGTATGTAAAAAAATTAAATCAAATCACTAAAAAACGAAGTCAGAAAGCCCCCTTTTTTTGACAATATGGACATTTCCCTTTCGATTCTCTTTTCTTCATATTTCCAAAAATATAAATACTCTAACACAAGTTGTTATTCAACTCGACTTTTAATCATCATTTGAATTAAAAGTTCCAAGTTTTTACAATGATAATAAATCATGATTTTAATATCTATATCTGAACTAACACTCGCTTTAAAACAATAATGAACATATTTATTGAATAAAATTTGATTAAAAAAGATGAATATCTTTAGAAAAAGTATAATTATATAGGTTCGTAAGGAAAATATATTTAGGTCAACAGCTTGAAGAACATAACAGCCAGGGTTATATTAACAACAACAACAACAAACATCAGCTGTTGTCTAGAAAACCAATCCTAAAACAAAAATGAAATGATTTTTAGAAATTCTTATAATCTTTAAAAAACTTAAACTATTGATTCAAAAAAACTGAAATTATGTTTTGCTTCCGTAGAATAATCTACAAATTTTTCATGATTGAAATATGAGTAAATGTGTTCAATTTTACTTCATTATTAATTAAAATTTAAAGGAAAAAAGTAAATTTACGATTGAAAATATTAATAAATTATTTGCTATAAAATCTTTAAAAAATGTATAATTATAAAGAGCTATAGGCCACATTTGGTAAAATAAAAAATAAATCGTAAAATAATACATACCCTGATTTGAGGATTGAAAATATAAAGTATAGGGTTCGCTCTGTATTTCTCCGCCTCCTCCAAATCACGGCGGATTTGCTCCCGCCGGGCGGAGCTTAGGACGGATATCTCTTCTCTTGTCATCACCTGGGTACCCGCCTTTACAGTCACGGCGGGTAACGCCGCCACATCCGGCAAAGACTTTTTCCGCTGCATCGCCGATGTTCCCAGCACCTAGAATAAATAAATACTTTAAGCTTAAAAATTCATTAACTATATAACTTTAAACTAAGGCCTGAAATTAAAGGACTTTGCCACAAACTCTGATTTTCTAATCACTTGATCTAATTAGCACAATTTCGTAGACCTAAGATATTTTAAACTTTGAATTTGTAAGATCAAATCATAACAGTTTGAAATATCAAAGGTTAGGATCAAATCATAACAGTTTGAAATATCAAAGGTTATGATCAAATCATAACAGTTTGAAATATCAAAGGTTATGATCAAATCAAAGCAGTTTGAAATATCAAAGGTTATGATCAAATCATAACAGTTTGAAATATCAAAGGTTATGATCAAATCATAACAGTTTGAAATATCAAAGGTTAGGATCAAATCATAACAGTTTGAAATATCAAAGGTTATGATCAAATCATAACAGTTTGAAATATCAAAGGTTATGATCAAATCATAACAGTTTGAAATATCAAAGGTTATGATCACATCATAACAGTTTGAAATATCAAAGGTTTGCCTTACCCTATCAGGTTAATAGAGATGTAAGGATAAAAAATAAAAGGGGTGTCAGCACAGAACCCTTTTTAAAATGAAGAAAAGAAAATTAGGTTCATGCTGTTTCTCTGCTGTATACAATCGGTGAATGCGTGCCTCTTCATGGGAAACGTACTTATGCTTTGTAAATTATAATCATAAATACATCTAAGTGACAGATTGCTAATGTGAAATTAAATCCAAACTATCTATATGTTTTCCAATACTGCAGTTAAAAAGTTGACAATATACTCTTTCTTTCTGGGAAACCTTTCTGTGTGATAGTTGTATCATTTCAGACCCGAGTGTCTAGGACTCAACATTGATGTATTGTTAAACATCTAGTTCTAATATATATATGGTTTAGCTTCTCATCTTCCCACTTAAAGGGAGTGTTCGCGAAAAATGAAAGGGGGTATAGGCTTAATGCGATAAAAAAGCGCTTTTGATCGCTACTAATCTAACTTCTATCTGTTGCGTCTATAAGGAGAAAATTGTTAAAGACGTCTCATACTGAATAATTTAGCGCACATACAAATTCAGAAAATTGCAACATACGACTAAGACCGTAAAAAATCAATTTAAATTCAAACAAATCATTCAGATATTACAACCTAAAGTCATCGATTATCTTTCGCCACATTTTTAAATAGTTTATATTTTTTAATATTTATTAATTAATTTGTTTTAAATTTGATTATTTCCCTTGTCGCTTGCGCAACTATCTAAGAATGCCGCGCACCACTCACATTTCCCGAAATCCGGTAAAACGTTTTCTAAAAAAAAAAAATATTATAAAATGTAAACTATATACAAATGTGGCGAAAGATAATCGATGACTAAAGGTTGTAATATCTGAATGATTTTTTGAAATTAAATTGATTCTTTACGGTCTAAGTCGTATGTTGCAATTTCCTGAATTTGTATGGGCGCTAAGTTATCCGGTATGAGACGTCTTTAACAATTTTCTCCTTATAGACGCAACAGATAGAAGTAAGATTAGTAGCGATCAAAAGCGCTTTTTTATCGCATTTAGCCTATACCCCCTTTCATTTTTCGCGAACACTCCCTTTAATATAATTACTTATTGGTTTGCAATTGTACATTTACTTATGCATGAAAGAGGTACAACTTGTATTGAGCATTCGCATCTTAAAAGCCATAATTAATATTTGTTTAAAGTATACAAATACTAGGCTTTTTCAGATACAATTTTATTTTTATTTAATTTTTTTTTAAATCGTAAATTTTTAGTTTTGACCAGCCATAAACCTTCCCTATGGTAAAGTGATTTGCCACAAAAAATGTGGGCCCGATCAGTTTAACTCAAATTTACTAATCCTTATATCTTAGTAACTTGATGGTGTAATCCTTTGATATTTCAAACTTAGGATTTTTGACTTAACAAAATTTACAGTTTGAAATAATCAAATGGTTAACGACATCGGGTTGCACAGATATTGGGATTGAAATATTTTTAAGTTTGTGGCAAAGTTTAAAGGTGTTTACTAAATATATTTTCTAACTTTAGAATATTTTGTTTGTACACCCAAAAGTGATAAAAACATCTTTTTTTAAAGACAATAGCTCTTTAGAAAAGGTGTTTAAAATTACGAATGAAAAAATCAGAATGCTGTATACAAAAATCAAATTGTTCTAGTTCTTGATAAACTTGTTGTAAATCACAAAAGAAAAGAAATTTGAGAAATCTTTAGAAGAGTAAAATGAGTAATTTTATGGATCAAGACTGACAAGTATTTCTAGTAAAGCATATTTAAACATTCTGTAAAACTATTTAAAAGGAGACCGTTATGTATTTTGGCTGACCTTATTTTCATAAATTAATTTAATTTAGAAAGTAGCCTGTAAGAAATGATTGATGATATTGATAAAAAAATGACCTAACTGAGTACATTTCCGCTTTTGAAATATGATTTCATTTTTGGGATTTCTCAATAATATCGGGAATGTGAAAATGATAAAATTGCAAAGAAAAGCCTTGTTAAAACCTCAGTAACATGAAATATATCAATTATAATATGCAATTGGAAAGAAATAACGTAATGTACATCGGCTTAGAGATGTTTCTTAATAATGTTGACAAATTATCATAAAATATAAAACAAAATATGAAATGTTTGTTTATTATCTATGCTATTGCTAGGGAAACCTTTGGAGTAAAATATGATTAAAAAGCAACCTCCAATGTCAAATTATATTACGGATTGAGATAATCGAATACAACCGAAAGGCTAATAAACACACATTATAATGAAATCTTAAATCATTAAAACAATTTATGTTTCAAAACAGTGGTAGAATTTTTCTCAGGGGTGGGGGGGAGGAGGTAATTCTTATAATTTGCCAAATTTGCTTAAATTTTCATTTTCTTGAAAACTTAACATGAATTTGCTGAAGAGGTTATCTGATATCTTATTATGGCCCAATATTAGATAAAACTTGACACTAATATTTTCATATTTTCAGAAATACACGTTGGCGAAATTCCCCCTTTTTGCCAACAAACCCTTGCAAAACACTGTTCTGTAACCTGAGTAGTTTGATGCAAACAAAAAACAAAATTTAATTTTAAATGAAGCTTATTAGGAAGATATAGAAAAGATAGGCCGGGGAGTGGGGGGGGGGATGGGGTCTGTTAAAGGATTTGTGTATAAGCTGGGACTTGTGCAGAAGCTACAATAATGTTGGCTTGAGTCCAGAAGACCGGCTCTACCTGCTCCAAGCCGATACTCAGGCACTCAGGTATACAGCATCAATATAGAGCACAGGGGGGGGGGGTTAGTACACTTTTTCATCCTGTCAATTTCATGTATCACGTCAGCTTTGGTTGAATCATTTTACTTTTCTTGTATTAGTGTTAGCTCAAGAACTTAAATGCTTGAATGATAGCAAATTATTTTCGGAATTACGATACTCTTTTTAAAAAGTTAATAATAAATAATTAATAGAAAAAAAGTCAATAAAGTTAAAGGAATTTACCTTATATGTTGCCTGCTGGGATTCAACCGGCTTCATATACAAGGATTCAGTTCTCTTGGGCGGAGCTCCAAAGTGTGGTATCTCCTGATGAACTCCTCGGAATCGAAGTTGATCTTCGACCGGGAGTTTAAGGTCGGACAAACCACCACCGACCGCCCCATTGCCTGTTGGATGGGAAATAATGGCGTCAAGATTTAGTGAATCCAACCCTGAACTTGTTTTATTTTCACTTAAACCCTGCTCCGGGTTCATTGGAGTCCTTTGTCTAGACTGTGGTCTATTAATTCTGTCCCTACTCACATCTCTAGACAATTGTTGCCGAGATCCTTGACGGGAACCCAGTCCGTACCGATCAGCAGATCTTTCCCGACTGGGTGGTCTTTTATAATGTTCAAACCTATCGTCCATTATTTTCTGGAAATTGTATCCACCGCCGGCCTGAGATGCCCCGATATCATTCTGTGCTCCCATTCTGGATCTTTCCTGTCTTGTTGGAGTTCGTCCTCGGGAGATCTGTTCTGATATCTGGAGGGTATTTGGCTGGCGTAGTACTGAAGGGTCAGGGAATGATGGAACTTCCGGTTCCAAACGCATGGTTGGGGCAGCCAGCATTGGAGCGGATATAGTACTCACTCTAGGAGATATATCACTCTTATTGGTCATGTTTTGTCTAACGGGTTCACTGGGTAGAGGGGGACTAAATCTTTGTGGTTGGGGTCTGGAGGGGGGTGCACGCAATGTCATTGAATTCTGAACAGGTTGGGGAGGTTGATTAAGCGATGTTTTAGCTGGGGCTGGGGTAGGATTAACAGGGGAGGCTGTAAAATTATTTCTTACGTCTACAGAAGTGTTTGGTACGCTTGGTTTGTTGATCACATTGCCCGAATTACCAATATGGTTTGAAAGTGTTTTTTCTGTAAAAGGGGGCTGGGCAAGCCCCTGGCTTCGTGGACTAGGCTGACCTGAATCTATAGCTCGTGGACTTGGAGGACCTATTCCACGAGGACTTGGAGGTCCAGGTCCAACTTTTCCTGCTCCGGGCAGGTCTAACTTGTCTAAGGTAAGTGGGGGTGGATGAGAGTTGGATTGTAAAGGAGGCAGGTCCTTTTCAAGTTCTAGGGAGGGCAGACCTAGATAAATTAATGATTAATATTGAAACAGTTTTGATTATTTGGTTCTGTTTTCAGGTTGAACTAGTAATTATTTGGGACTAGTTTAACTATAAAAGTACAAGAACAGCTGCTGGACAGGAATTTATTTGAAAAAAGTTGATGGCATGAACTCCAAGTATAATTGTAACATTAATTCAAGATATTTGCTGACCTCGCATTTTTTCTTAAGCATAAATTTTCATATACTCTACTACTCATCATATATGGGAAATATCAAATATACCCTTGAAAACACATCATAAGCTGAGAGGGAGGGAAGAGAGGGGGGGGGGGGGAAGTTGTCATAAATATGATGACATCCACTTCATTATTTTAAATTATTGTCCGTAGAAATGTTTGGCCACAATTTCAAATGACAAACAAACATATGTCCCTGTTTAAATCAAAAAGAAAATTTAAACAAGGACAAATTGAATTTTAAAATTAATTATAATTTAAATTTATTATATAAAATTGTTTGAGGATAACTGAATGTTCTCTACCCTTTATTGAAGTTAATTTATCTTGCTTTTACTTAATTTGATTCCATTAAAGGAAACTGCTGAGCAAGTGAGGAGATATTAGACCGGCGTGTTGCATACCTGGTTTCCCAAAATCAGGAGCCAGCTTGAGTGCGCAGGCGCGAGCCTCCGTAGAGTCGTCTCTAGCACACTCTGCCGCGTAATCAGCTTGCTCAGACTTGCCTCGTGCAGTTGCAGTTCTAGGTAATTTCAATTTAAAAAGTACTTTTTTATCAACGATCTTCTTTTTGTTTGAAAAAGTTCAAACTTTAAGAAACGAACATCTCTGATACTTTTTCAAACAAATATCTACATCATTGATCTATATTGATCACGTTATATGGTGGCTATTTGAAAAAAAGTTTTTCTATTAGAAAGTTAATGAATTAGGTATTTCAGACCTTGAAAAATATTTTAAATGACCACCTAGAGAGTGTTTAAAGTTTTGTTCCAGATTAATTTAAAAGTCTAGAAAACAATTTGAGATAAAATCTTTAAATAAGACAAAAAATTCCATAGAACTTAATGAAGACCGACGGACCGGCCTGTAACACTAGAGATAGACACTAGTTCGAGAATAGTAAACTAGACAGACATAGATTCTATACCTGGAGATTGCTATATCAGCCTTCTGCAGGGCAATCTTAGAAGCCCTCTGCGCAGCATTCACAGCAGAATCTATTCTCTCTCGGAATTTGGCAGAACGGATGAGGAAAAGGTGTTTCTTCTTATTACTAGTGATCAGGATGTTATTCTTGTACTTCCCCTCCTCCCTGGACCCATCCTTGAAGGTCGTGACTCCGTATCCGTATTTTCGGTTGTTAAACCACTCCCCCTCGTACTTGAGACCGTCTGATCTTTCACTGATCCCAAATCCGCATCTTTTGTCGTTCTTCCACTCTCCCATATAGGTTTCGGTAACATTAGAATCAAGCAACTCATCCTTAAATAAAAATATATCTTTATATTATTATTATTTTCTAAATTACGATGAATAATATAGTTTTATACTTATTTAATATGGAAACCCAGCGTTGCCTAGGAACTAAACTTTACCTATAAACGTCGACCCACTCAACTTTGAATCTTTGACCCCAGCTAAGATCATCCCCGTGGTTCTACCGATTTCCCAATCAAAATTTTTGACAAATCGGTCAAGGGGTTTCTGAGTTATGATCAGATATACAAACAGAGATTACTACTTTATAAATATAGATACAAAGCCTTTACATTAAACACTACAACTTTAAAACATCCAAAACAGACCTTTTTTATTTCTTTTCTATCTCTTCCTGCAAATTAAACTAATTGGTTGTGTTTAAATTGGCATGTTTAGTGGGAATAATATGAATAAAAACAAAAAATATTACATTTATAGATGTAAAAAAATGTCAAATATTAATTTGTATTGCTCAAATTGTGTGTTTTGATGGACAGAAACGGTGCTGGGGAGCTCCTCATATTCCCATAAGTTTACATTCCTGACATGCCATAGTAAGGATTGAGTCTTTGCCACAAACTCTGATTTTCAACACAATGTCGTAGATATTTCAAACTATGAATTCTGTTAGATCAAATAATTTATGTTAGAAATTTCAAAGGTTTATACCATCAGGTTGCAAAGATATAGGGATTAGAACAATTGAGTTTGTGACAAAGACTAAATTTCTTTGACTGGCAATATCTAATATCTAATATCTAATATCTATTATCTAATATCTAATATCTAATATCTAATATCTAATATCTAATGAGAATAGCGAAGAAGGTTGTTTAAACAAAACTGGTGTTGACCAGCATTGAGTATTCAGGACTCGTTTACAGAGAATCTGCTTAAATGTAAAAACCGGCATTACAAGGAATTCAGGCAGTTTCAGGCCAAACAGGAGAAGGAGGAGGAGCCATGCTTTAAGTAAAGAAATACTTTTGTTCGAAGAAATGCTTTACACATTTGCAAGACAGGCAGGCCTTAGAAATAGCTTAAAATTTCGAATCTGAACCTAATCTTAAAAACAGTAATGAATCTTTTGCGCTCAGTGAAAACATTTGGCCAGTATGTCACAATGCACCCTGCATTAGTTTCCCAGCATTAATGCATTAGATTTGAATATTTGAAAACTTGACACTATCCACATTAATTTTCCTTACATAGTCACGGGCCATCAATTCGTAAACTTCTTTTACAACTTACGTTTAAAAAATGTTTAAACTAAAATGATTTTTGAATTCATTAAAATTTGAATTCCAGGCTTCTAAACGTACTTTATAACCCTGGATGTTGCAGACTTCAAGAAAATAATTACCGCTGTAAGAACGCGACAATTTAATTATAAAAAATACATTTTGGATCAGATTAAAACTAATTTTTTTTTCTTCTGATAATCTTCTTTGTATTTGTATATTTGCATAGATTAGCATTTTTAAAAGTATTTTTTAGTGAGCCTGTATTGAGTAAGTTAAGTATCTGCAGTAGTAATGTATCTAGAGTATAAATGATTAAAAGACCGCATTATACCGCGGAGTAGAGAGATTAGAAGAGAGAGAGGAGTAACTAAGTGTTTATAAGGTTCAGGGATTATCTACCTTTCAAAGAGAAAGCTTAAAGAGATTTTTACTTGTAGATACAAGAGTCGGGGTAATCTCACACTTTCAAAATAATAACTTCTGCTCAATGCACAATAGGTGGGGTGTAAATGCACAGTGCACGTTGTATTGTTAACAAACATTTCATAGTTTTGTTGGTAGTTTTTTTTTTCCCCTTTGTCTTCTGTCAAACATAATTTTTTCATCCCTTTTGTCAATAAAGCAAATATTTTGATGATTTCAATCGAAAAATCGCTGCTGAAATACAAAATTATACCCTCAAGCTTATTTGTTACCTCTACAACAAAACTGGCCTGGCTTCCCTCGGACATCATGGAGGCCCCAGCATAGTTTGATTCACTAGACATCCAAGAGGTCGTAGATCCGGTAGATCTTAATACAAAGTTAGTTTATTTCTACTTTCTATACGAGCAGTTAGAACGTCGTAGATCCGGTAGATCTTAATACAAAGTTATTTTATTTCTACTTTCTATACAGGCATTTAGAACGTCGTAGATCTAGTAGATCTTAATACAAAGCTCGTTATTTTCTACAGGCATTAATACAAAGCTCGTTACTTTCTATAACAGGCATTTAGAAAGTCGTAGATCCGGTAGATCTTAATGAATAGGTCGTTTTTTCTACTTTCTATACAAGCATTTAGAAAATAGTAGATCTAGTAGATCTGAATACAAAGCTCCGTAAATGTCCACTTTCTGTACAATAATAGGTCGTAAATTTGATAGATCTTAATTTAGAGCTCTTGAGTTCCTATAGTCATTTTAGGAGGTCGTAGATCTTATTACAGAGATCGAATTATTTCCTAAGTTGTCATTTAGGAGGTCGCAGATCTTAATAAAGAGGTTGATAGTTCTTATTAAATCCTATGTTGTCAGTTAGGAGGTCATAATTCTTAATAGAGAGGTCGTTAGTTCCTATTTAATCCTATGTTGTCATTTAGGAGGTTGTAGATCTAAATACAGAGGTCATTAGTTCCTACAGGCATTAATACAAAGCTCGTTACTTTCTATAACAGGCATTTAGAAAGTCGTAGATCCGGTAGATCTTAATGAATAGGTCGTTTTTTCTACTTTCTATACAAGCATTTAGAAAATAGTAGATCTAGTAGATCTGAATACAAAGCTCCGTAAATGTCCACTTTCTGTACAATAATAGGTCGTAAATTTGATAGATCTTAATTTAGAGCTCTTGAGTTCCTATAGTCATTTTAGGAGGTCGTAGATCTTATTACAGAGATCGAATTATTTCCTAAGTTGTCATTTAGGAGGTCGCAGATCTTAATAAAGAGGTTGATAGTTCTTATTAAATCCTATGTTGTCAGTTAGGAGGTCATAATTCTTAATAGAGAGGTCGTTAGTTCCTATTTAATCCTATGTTGTCATTTAGGAGGTTGTAGATCTAAATACAGAGGTCATTAGTTCCTATTAAATCCTATGTTGGCATTTAGGAGGTTGTAGATCTTAATACAGAGGTCATTAGTTCCTGTTAAATCCTATGTTGGCATTTAGGAGGTTGTAGATGTTAATACAGAGGTCACTAGTTTCTATTAAATCCTATGTCGTCATTTTGGAAGTCTTAGATCTTAATACAGGGGTCGTCATTTCCTTTGCTGTCATTTAGGAGGTAGTAGATCTTAAATTAAGATTCTTAAAACAAGGGACGTTATTTCAGCAAAAAATATTAAGTATCTGTTAATAACCTTCCCTGTTATGTAATTTCAACAAAATTTATTTGTTTCACTAAATGTTATCTTTTATTACTTTCATTATTTTTCATGTCAAAAAGTTTAGTATTATAAATAAAATGAAATTAAGGTTTAATAATTTTTTGGCAAGTCATATATTAATGAAATGAATATGGATAATATGAACTATTAACATTAAACAGCTCTTTTTACAATTTATGATTCTGAGGATCACGAAATAATTAAACCATACTGTAAGGGTTAAATAATATTAAATGATATATATGACCAAATAATTTTCTAATTACATTACAAAAAAAGCACCAGCAGAAAATTTTTATAAAAAGAATGAACATGGTTACCTGAATTTAGCAAAATAAAACATAGAATATTGTTTTGAGGAAATATATTTCAAAAATGGTAAGAAGAAGAAAATGTGGAATGTGATTTATATCTGATGATGAAATAAAGGGTGTCCCACGAAACATTACAATAGCATGACGACTTGAAAGTAGTCTTTGTTCTTTGAATTTTATTTGTGACATTTATTCGTTTAGCATGTATGGATTCTTGAAACAATAACAATAACATTCTCCTAGTCCTGGTATTTCCAAAATTTGGTCTGCCTTTTTTTGTGCAGTCAATATTAACGGAGATACAGGGTGTCCCACGAAGCATGACAGTTGGTGAATAGTTTTGAATGTCTTCTTCCATATACTGTATCAGATATTAGAGATGTTTTGCAGTTTATTTAGTTTGAGAAAATTTTACTCAAATATATTTTACTTAAAAATCAATTTTACTATAATATGGATGCTATAAAATATTTATTATTATTCACTTTGGCAACAAACAACTTGACATGTTATGGAAGAAGACATTTTAAACTATTCATCAACTGGCATGTTTCGTGGGACACCCTGTATATAAAGAATTTCGTTCAGATTTAAATTTTGTTAAATAAGGCCAAAATTGTCGAAAAGGCCAACCACATTCTGGAAATGTCAAGGCTATGGGTATTTTGTGATTATTATCTCTAGAATTTTACTTTTAAAATAAATTCTAAAATAAATGCGGCAAACCATATCAAAAATCAAAGACGACCTTAAAGTCGTCTTGCTACTGTCGTGTTTCGTGCGACATCAAGTTTAAAAAATACATGATGAATGATGTAGGAAATAAAAAAAAGACTGTATCTGTATAAATACCTAATACTTCCAATAACTCCTTTTCTATCTAGGTCTCCAGTACTCCGTTGTTTCCGAATCCGTAGTCCCTAAAAATTAGAAAAGAATAGTGAACTTGTAAACATTAAAATGTTAAACACATTATTAATACCGTTTATAATTATTTTTTAAGACATAAAATTTTTGTCTACATGCAAGCAAAAAATGTTGTATTTAACAATATTTTTTTTAATAGTTTTTTGTAAATTAACCTTACGTGAATTTAGATTAGATTTTTGAAGAAAAAATAAATTTGTCAAATTATGAGTTTTGTTAGACTAAACAATAATCCATGTTTGAAATATGAAAAGTTTGCACCATCATGTTACAAAGATATTGATTTTGTATCTAAAAATTGATTCATATAGTGAATCGTTGATGACGCTCTCGATTTAAAGGTTGATCTAAAATAACATCGACAATTCCTTTGAAATTCAAGGTAAGCATGTTTTGTACTCTTGAAGGTATAAAGTTACATCTACAGCATTCATTTTCTTTTTTTTCTACATAATGTATAAACACTATACACAATACATAGTCCGACCTAGCAGAAAGCTGGGAACAGTTCAAGCTTTCCAATTGTTTCCCAGCCTAAATTTGTCAGGGCTTTTTAACACTAGAAAACAATTATGAGTTCATTCCCTATATTCTTTAAAATGTCAGGACTCTGGTGTGACGAAGAGAATGTTTAGTTTGTAGAAAAGGGAATATAAAGTACAAAGATTCAAAAATCTGTTTTCTCGAGAAGAAATTATATTTGACCTCTGACTAGAAAGAGATTGACCTGTTAAATACTATGATAGAATTTAAAAGTACAATTATGAAAGGAATCTGATTTGTTAAAATGTTATACTCGTAAACAAATGACATAAACTTTGATAGCAAAGCAAAATATTGTTTTTCATATGATCCAATACCATTTTACTAATATCAAATTGGTAGAATCAAGATAGATGGATACACTAATAGTTACGAAGAAAATGGATACACTAATAGTTATGAAGAAAATGGATACACTAATAGTTATGAAGTGTATGAGTGGAGAAAATCTAGTCATTACTTTTGAGAGATTTACAAAATCAAATATGCTTTAAAAAACATTTTAAATGTTGGAAAGTTTAGTTTTTAAGATTTCCTTGTTGGAAAGAAAGATAAATTATTTTGTAAAGAAAATTTCATAATTATATTCTTAAAGTTTCTAGGAGGCTGTGTACTTCAATGGAAAATAAATTAAGAGAAGTGAAATTTGTTCTTAGAAAATGTGCTCAGAGTATTCATTGACTAAAGTCTTGTAAAGATAAGGTTAGCGCTGACAAACCAAGTCAAATGATATGATTTAATATTTTTATATATACTCCAAAGATCTACCTGCATCAAGTTCTTCATCCCTGTTCTCTCAACAAGTGATCTTCTTCGAACCGGGGCCTCATCACTTCTTGATTTTAGAACAAAACCTCCTCTTGCCTCCTCCCCTCCACTTCCTCTTGTGCCATTCGTCATCACAACCTTTGTTTCTTCCATCCCCGGCTGTAGGGAGGATATGGACGGTCGTCTTCCATCACCACCACGTGAATGGGATGCAATACCGAACGCGGCACTTGTGCGAACTCCGTAGCCATGGCGCATACCCCTCAGCCATTGCCCCTGATATGTTCCTAAAATATTTTTCATTACAATTCTTAAATTTTTTTTGATCTATGATTTACAATGGTTTGAATATTTTTCCATTGAACCAAAATCACGGTAATTCAGATGCCCTATGTTATCCATCAAACACTTTGTTTGCTGGAATTCTAACGTCAGTCATACATAAACAGTTAATTGAAAGGAATTGAGTCTTTGTCACAAACTATGATTTTCTAATCTCTATATCTTTGTAGTCCAATGCCGTAGACCTTATATATTTCAAACTATGAATTCTGTTAGATGAAAAATCTAAGTTTGAAACGACAAAGATTTATCAAAAAATCAGAGTTTGTTATAAAGACTCAATTCCTTTAGGACGTTTGATTAGTATTACGTGAAATACTAATATTAAAATTATTATAAAGAAATATGTTCATTTTTCTCTACCTGAACAATAAACTTGCTAAATAAACATTATATTAATGTTCTACGTACGTATAAACTCCATATTTGAGTTTGGGGTTTATTTATATATTTTCTATTTATATCTTTTAAACATTATTTAGAAAAAGATTGCAGTTGTTGATATATCGGATTAAAAAAAAGGTTCATTATTTTTTAAGAAATATCAACAAAAAACCAAAAAAATGTAAGAGTAAAAGTTTTTTTTTTTAGAAACCAAGCAGTAAACATCAAACTTTTCTTCGAAAAAAAAGTTTAAACAATTTATGTACTCTTCCCTATGTATCCGTGTTCTATTTATAAACCGTCCTCTCTACTCAGATATTTATAGTTCTATTTTTATTTAACTAGCACAGATCACAAAATGTATTATACTTTATGAAACTCAGGTTTACGACAAAATGCAGTGTACTTTAAAATTTTAAATCGTAATTTCAATATTTCATTATTTCATACATTACAAACTATGAAAAGTATTCTAACCAGATTGGTTTTAAACTTTAAACAAAAAATACAAACATTTCGTAAGTAAAATTTTGTAAACAAGAATTTAAAAAAAAGTATTACGATTGTTTAAAAAAAAATAAAACCGGAAATGTGGTTGCAGTACAATATTATTTCGTGGAATATCTTTAGTAAACAGTTGATGATAGGGCGCTAACATATCGGTCCATTAGGTCACACTAATACTTGACTGATTGGATATTGTTAACCTCTATTTATTTAGGTTGGTTAGTTGGCTGGTAGGATAGGGGGGGGGGGGGGTCAATAATATATCTATATTAAAAAGCCACACTTTTTAGAAGAGTTTAGCTGCTAAAAATACTTTTTTTAAAAAAAGGTTAAGCTTCTGAAACCTCACAAACAGGGCGAAAACTAACCAAAAGGGTCCGTATTGAGCCAAAAAATATTAAATGGCACTAAAAACGCACAAAGCCATACAAAGTATCAAATATTGTATCGAATGTACATTTTTGTTATAAATGAAAAGCATGATCAGCACGTAAACAACAATTAACGGTAATTTTTGGAAGAAAGGAATTGAGTCTTTGCCACAAATTCTAATTTCTAATCCTTATTAATTTGGAACCCAATTTCGTAGACCTTAGATATTTCAAACTATGAATTTTATTAGATCAAGACGGGAAATACCCCAAGTGTGAGAAATCAAAGCTTAACATCATCAGGTTAATTAGATAAAGACATTAGAAAATTTGAGTTTGTCACAAAGACTCAATTATTTCACAATTCCTTTTTGAAATTTACTTTTTACTTTGGAATTCAAATTTGGTTTATTTGTAAATTTTACAAAATCTTATTTTTTTAATTGTAGAACGATTTCTGTTAATCATAACATTTTAGATATCCATTCTTAATAGCATTAACAGAATGAAAAGCTGTACCAAACAATTTTCCATCCCTCATTTCCGGTTTCAACCCCTTTTAAAGTTTTCAATTATCTTGATTTAAACAAGAAGGTGGGTGAAAATGAGTAATCCCAAGTAAGTAATTAACGTGTTTTTTTTCGCAAAAGCAAAGATATTAAAAGGACAGTGGTAACTTTTGGAAATAAATATTATTCTGTCAATTAAGAGAGAAGCTAAAGAACCTAATTTTCTATAACTTAAAAGGAATAGATATTTTTAAACGTTAAAAAATGTGAATTAGTACCCTACCTCCATCTGCGTAGGTTTCTGATCCATATCCGTCCTGTAAACCGTTAGCCCAGGTACCCTCATACTTTGCTAGAGTTGTAGTTGATTGTCTTACTCCGTACCGACCCTAGACATTAGTTTATAGTTATTATTATCATTATTATTATTATCATTATTATGGGCCTGAACACCCTTGGAAATCATAAATTTCACAGAGCCGAGCTCCCATAGCCCCTTTTATACGCCTTCGGTGTATTGTGTACATTGCTAATTTACTCTGCAATTGTGTAACTATTTGATTTTATATTAAATATGTGGACTTATATTATAATAAGATAAATCTACAGACCATGGTACAAAACATTGTACAAAACATTGTACAGTTTTCATAGTCTAGTCCACAGTATTTCTATACACTACACACAAGGAGACAATGAACCACTCATATATACATATTTGTATACATAAAAAGATTGAAAGATTTATTATCTACAAACATTTCTTATGTAATATATTATGAATCTAATATGATGACGTAGAAAATGGAAGGAGCGCTCCCTAGGGATGGTATACTATGAAATCCTTCTCACCCTTGCAAAAAAAAAACATTATTCAAATGGGTCGCGAATACAGGAAAATAGATTAATTATATTAATTACATCTTTAAATGCGAATTATTTTTTTCTTCAGAATTATTCAGTTTTGAATTCCAACAAATTTATATCTGTGCGGTGTATTAAGGAAATTCTGTTAAATATTCCCTTCTAACTATCTTAAGGAAAATTCTACCTAATTATGAGAACATTTTATCAACTTATTTCAGGTAGGATTTAGAAATGTGGCGTTTAAAAGATTTAAGAAAAAAATCTTCGAGAACAGAGAGAGTATGTTTAGTGTTGAAAAGTTAGGAAAGAAAGGAAAAATACATTAAACAAAAAATATTAAGTGGTTGAATTGAATATGAAGGGAAATTCATAGTAAATTAAAAAATGAATAAAAGTGACCCCACTATTGAGAGTTAACAATGAAAGGAAATGAGACATGACAGATAACGATAAACGATGACGAAATTAAACAATGAAAGGATTAAACAAATAGACAGAGAAAGAAAAGTACACGATGAAAGGAAACCCATTAGACTACTTGACAGATATAGAAATGCGTGACGAAAGTTAGCAACGAAAGGAAAAGTGAAATTATTTTGAAGATAAAGAAAAAATGAAGATGAGATTTCCAAATGGATTAGGTTACAAATAAAAACTCTTTCTTGAAGAGCTTTCAATGCTACAATATTTTCTGATATTTGATAAATATTTTTTCATAACATTATGTCAGAACATTGAAATATGTTATATATGTACTTTCAGTCATTTGGTTTTTAGTTTTTTTTAGGACACTGTCTAGTATTAAAGTACTAAAGTACACCCTGTAGTAAATATATATATTGTCTAGCATTAAAGACGCCCTGTAGTATATATGTATATTGTCTAGTATTTATATATTGTCTAGTATTGAAGACGCCCTGTAGCATATATATATATTGTCTAGTATTTAAGACACCCTGTAGTGTATGTATGTATTGTCTATTATTGAAGAAACCCTGTAGTATATGTATATATGTCTACTGTAGTATATGTATATATTGTCTAGTATTAAAGACATCTTGTAGTATATGTATATATTGTCTAATATTGAAGACACCCTGTAGTGTATGTATATATTGTCTAGTATTAAAGACACCCTGTAGTATACGTATATATTGTCTAGTATTGAAGATACCCTATAGTATATTTATATATTGTCTAGTATTTAAGACGCCCTGGTGTATATATATATATATTTTCTAGTATTTAAGACACCCCGTAGTATATGTGTATATTGTCCAGTATTGAAGACACCCTGTAGTTTATGTATATATTGTCTATTATTGTAGACACTCTGTAGTATATATATATATTGTCTAGTATTTAAGGCACCTTGAAGTATATGTATATATTGTCTAGTATTGAAGCCACCCTGTAGTATATGTATGTATTGTCTGGTATTGTAGACATATTGTATTCATGTATATATTGTCTAGTGTTACTAAACTAACTTGATTATTATTATTATTATTATTCGAATTAAGGTCTGTTGGTGCTAGTACTGCTTTTCTCATACAATCATAAATATATTTTTTTATACATTCATTGTACATTGCACATTGTACAATTCAACAATATATATTATACATAGATATTCTTCTTTTATTAAGGTAAAGAAAACACGATGAGTCATGGATTTTATCAGGATTTTTACATTCTCAATATTTTAGTAATTTTCTTTATTATCAAAATTGTGTTAATGCAATAAAAAATTTTATAATCATCACAATTAGGTATATGAATACATCATAAGGAGATAGATACAGCATACATCTAATAGAAATCTGATGAATTTTTTATACAATTACGCAGCAAAATATACATTTACAATTAATAAAGCAAATAAAATATTATGAAGCCATTATTATTCAATATACATTCTATATCTGACAATAACAATATTTATGTGATCTTATCTCATCTAATATTTATTTTCATAAATACAGATAAACTTGAATCTATCAAGAAAAGTTTTCTGTGATCAATGAAAAGAACAAATTTCAAAATGTTGTCTGGCCCTGTAAAAATAGGTTTACCGAGTTAAATCAGAGTTTACAGAATGAATACAGCTGAATATAATCCTTGTTTAGAAATATAGACGTTGATCTACATAGTTGAAGGAAACTTGTAAATATTTACTTCTATTCCTCATCCTTTCTAATTAGATCATATTCCTTATCCTTTCCAACCTGCTCATATTCCTTATCCTTTCCAACCTTCTCATATTCCTTATCCTTTCCAACCTGCTCATATATTCCTTATCCTTTCCGACCTGCTCATATTCCTTATCCTTTCCAACCTGCTCATATTCCTTATCCTTTCAAACCTGCTCATATTCCTTATCCTTTCCAACCTGCTCATATTCCTTATCCATTCCAACCTGCTCATATACCTTATCCTTTCCAACCTGCTCATATTCCTTGTCCTCTCCAACCTGCTCATATATTCCGTATTCTTAGTAAATAGCTCATATTCCTTATCCTTTCCAACCTGCTCATATATTCCTTATCCTTTCCAACCTGCTCATATATTCCTTATCCTTTCCAAATAGCTCATATTCCTTATCCTTTCCAACCTGCTCATATTCCTTATCCTTTCCAACCTGCTCATATTCCTTATCCTTTCTAACTAGCTCATATTCCTTATCCTTTCCAACCTGCTCATATTCCTTAGCCTTTCTAACTAGCTCATATTCCTTATCTTTTCCAACCTGCTCATATTCCTTTTACTTTCCGACCTGCTCATATTCCTTTTCCTTTCCAACCTGCTCATATTCCTCATCCTTTCTAACTAGCTCATATTCCTTATCCTTTCCGACCTGCTCATATTCCTTTTCCTTTTCGACCTGCTCATATTCCTTTTCCTTTCCAACCTGCTCATATTCCTTTTCCTTTCCGATCTGCTCATATTCCTCATATTTTCTAACTAGCTTATATTTCTTATCCTTTCCAACTAGCTCATATTCCTTATCCTTTCAATCTAGCTCATATTCCTTATCCTTTCCGACCTACTCATATTCCTCATCCTTTCTAACTAGCTCATATTCCTTATCCTTTCCAACTAGCTCATATTCCTTATCCTTTCCAACCTGCTCATATTCCTTATCCTTTCCAAACTGCTCATATTCCTTTTCCTTTCCAACCTGCTCATATTCCTTATCCTTTCCAACCTGCTCATATTCCNTTACCATATTGGTTTCCTAGTGATCTGAGGCCACAGTTATTACTGAGGCCAGTAGTGCAAGAATACAGGGAGGCCGGGACCAGAGGATAGAAGGAAGGTATCCGAGTCCTTAGCTTTCTATCCAGGCTTTCTCACGGCAGGGGAGGGTAGAGGTGGGGCAAATACCGACATTGTAAGCTACTCCGCCCTTATCTCACATTTTTACTTTTAATGTAACATTTTCAAAATTTTGAAATTAAGTAAAAAATTTTATTTTAACTTTGTTTCTTGTTCTTGGTATTTTGTGTGTAATATGTATACCCCTGAATTTATACCTGGTGTGCTTAGTAGCATATACACTCAAGCACAAATACACAGACAGACAAACACTCAAACATTCACACAACAGTTGACTAACTGATCATCTGTCGCCTATCGGTCAGATATTGAGTCACGTGACCACAGATTGGAACCAACTTGTTGCTCATTGAAGAATGTCAGCAATTGTTGCTGGTCCGAGGGGAGGGGAGGGGGGGTTGTCCTCCTAGAGATTGCAAAAACCAAAAAAGAACTTACATGACAAAAACTGTGAACAATGTTAAGCATAAATTTTCAATAATTTAATTTACATATTGCTTTTTAATGCAAAACTACCTAAACCCCTCCCCCACAATTACAAAATATATAGCACAGAAATGCAACTCCGGGACGGGGTGGAGAGGAGGGGAGATCGTTTTACCGATCATTAATTTTACCCCAATTAAATCTTTTCCTCTACTTCAGTATTCAGAGGTTAAAAAAATTAATTAATAAAAAATGAGAAAATAAATTTAGTAACAAATTGTTAGTTAATGTATTATTTAGATTATGACAGTGAAAGGTCAGATTGCTTGCAGAGATTGAAAGGATCAGAATTCCCATGTTTATTTGGATTCCCTTTAAGGAAAAATTTTCCTATATCGAGAAGTAAAAACATTAAACTTTTTTTCTCCTGTCCATTTTACACACTCACACTTCGAGAATTTCAGTTGACATTGAGTTATAATTAGACCTTCTACACATAAATATGACTAATTTTAATGAATTTTCTTAACTCAGTTATATAGCTTTCTGTATTTCTATAAATATTTTCAATCTTTCTATCTGTATGTAACAATTTGTTTTTTGTTTATATTTATATATCTATCTGTATCAATGTAACTTTTTATCTATTTTTTTTCTGTAACTATTTATCTTTCAATCGGGGTGTCTGTAACTATCTCTATTCATTTATCTATCTGTATCTGTGTATTTAACGATTTATGTAACTATTTTTTTTGGTCGAGATAGAGCAAGAATATGCCCTAAAGATGGTCAAATAAACCGAAAATTTGGCAAAAAGAGTTTTTGTTTCATGGATCTGAGAGTGTTAGATTTAGAAGAATTGTATATGTATTTATTTTTTTTATCTATTCTGTATGTATAATGTATTTACCATTGTATCTTTTTATCTGCATTTCTTTAACTATTTATGTATTTATCTTTATTTCTGTAACTAATTATTTTTTCTATCTGTATGTATTTCACTTTTAATTTATTTATCTTTATATATGTAATATGTAATTTAATTTAACTAAATATATATCTGTATTTCTGTACCTATTTATTTATCTATCTGTATTTCTGTGACTTATTATTGAGTTATCTTTATTTCTATAAACATTTAAATCTTTATGATCTATTTATCTTTATATATATATTTATATTTATCCACTTATTTATCTGTCTGTATTCCAATAATTCTCCTTTTGTCTGTATGCATGTAACAATTTATGTATCTGTCTGTATTTCTATTTATATTCATCTATCTATCTGTATTCCTGAATCACTCATTCTATTTATTTTTCTCATTCATGCATTGAAGCATTCCCTGGAGACTAAAAACAATATTTTTATAGTAGACTCCATTCGAGTAAATAGTAGTATATAGTAGACTCCATTCTAGTACATAGTAGTATATAGTAGACTCCATTCGAGTACATAGTAGTATATAGTAGACTCCATTCTAGTACATAGTAGTATATAGTAGACTCCATTCGAGTACATAGTAGTATATAGTAGAATCCATTCTAGTACATAGTAGTATACAGTAGACTCCATTTGAGTACATAGTAGTATATAGTAGAATCCATTCTAGTACATAGTAGTATATAGTAGACTCCATTCTAGTACATATAGTATATAGTAGACTCCATTCGAGTACATAGTAGTATATAGTAGACTCCATTCGAGTACATATAGTATATAGTAGAATCCATTCTAGTACATATAGTATATAGTAGAATCCATTCGAGTAAATAGTAGTATACAGTAGACTCCATTCGAGTACATAGTAGTATATAGAAGACTCCATTCTAGTACATAGTAGTATACAGTAGACACCATTCGAGTACATAGTAGTATATAGAAGACTTCATTCGAGTATATTTTAGTTAAGTTTCTTTTACTATTTGACCTACAAATGATAAATATGAAATATGTCTTTAGATTATTAAAAGTTAAAAAAACTTTTTTTTGTCATCTTGGAACTCTTAAACTCTATAATCTATGTAAACTTTGCTTATCTGTCTGTTTTCTATTAGAATTCAATAAACGTTGTAATGGCTGAACTAATAGGTCCCAATTTTTTTGTGTCAACTCACACGACTCAAGGCAAGGTTTTTGGATGGTCAAAGGTGAAAATTGTAGCCTGAAAAAATATTCTATGACCAGTGTTGAATTATGATGACACTCGAATAAAAAATCATAGTTTACGATTTGTAAGACTTAATTTAAGATTTAGAAAAATGGCTAAATTTTAAATTTTCCATTATTCCTTCAAATTTTCCTTGTTTAGTTTTTAGATTAGAATACTCAATCTGTAACCGGTCAAACATATTTTATTTAAATACTTTGAATACTCAAGTTAGGGAATCTACAAATTGTTTTAAAAGTATTTTATTTTTTTTTAGTTTTAAGAACAAAAATGAGAAGATGTGAAAATTAAAAATTATGTTGATTTTTTTGCGCAATTCACAATTGCACATGTACCTTGCAATTACGTAACATATCAGATTACACATGTCCAATGCAAGTGGTAATTACTTGACTATATATTACATAAACATCTTACATACACGTCATTTTTCCGTGCACGCAGTTAAAAAAGCATAATTTATAATAGGTAATAATGTCGAGAACTCGAAGACCTAAATATTTACAAAATGTGAACTTCCATTGTGGTACCAGGTAGCCTCAAAATTGACAGAAGTATTAAATTGTTCATTACCCCTCCTTGCCTTCTTCTTTCTCGCTCCACCTTTTTTTTACCCTCCTCGATCCACTCTTTTTCCTTTACGCCTTCTTTTATCTTCTCTACGCCTTCTTTATCTTCTCTACGCCTTCTTTATCTTCTCTACGCCTTCTTTATCTTTTCTACGCCTTCTTTATCTTCTCTACACGTTCTTATCTTCTCTACGCCTTCTTTATCTTCTCTACGCATTCTTTATCTTCTCTACGCCTTCTTTATCTTCTGTACGCCTTCTTTATTTTCTCTGAGCCTTCTTTATCTTCTCTACCCCTTCTTTATCTTCTTTACGCCTTCTTTATCTGCTCTACGCCTTCTTTATCTTCTCTACGCCTTCTTTATCTTTTCTACGCCTTCTTTATCTTCTCTACGCCTTCTTTTTCTTCTCTACGCCTTCTTTATCTTCTCTACACCTTCTTTATCTTCTCTACGTCTTCTTTATCTTCTCCACCACTTCTTTATCTTCTCTACGCCTTATTTATCTTCTTTCCGCCTTCTTTATCTTTTCTACGCCTTATTTATCTTCTCTACGCCTACTTTGTCTTTTCTACGCCTTCTTTATCTTCTCTACGCCTTCTTTTTCTTCTCTGCGTCTTCTTTATCTTCTCTACGCCTTCTTTATCTTCTCTATGCCTACTTTGTCTTCTTTACGTCTTCTTTATCTTCTCTACGCCTTCTTTATCTTCTTTACGTCTTCTTTATCTTCTCTACGCCTTCTTTATCTTCTCTACGCCTTCTTTATATTCTTTACTTCTTCTTTATCTTCTCTACCCCTTCTTTATCTTCTCTACGCCTTCTTTATCTTCTCTACGCCTTCTTTATCTTCTCTACGCCTTCTTTATCTTCTCTACGCCTTCTTTATCTTCTCTACGCCTTCTTTATCTTCTTTACTTCTTCTTTATCTTCTCTACGCCTTCTTTATCTTCTCTACGCCTTCTTTATCTTCTCTACGCCTTCTTTATCTTCTCTACGCCTTCTTGCCTTCTTTATCTTCTCTGCGTCTTCTTTATCTTCTCTACGCCTTCTTTATCTTCTCTACGCCTTCTTTATCTTCTCTACGCCTTCTTTATCTTCTCTACGCCTTCTTTATCTTCTCTATACGACTTCTTTATCTTCTCTACTCCTTCTTTATCTTCTTTACGCCTTCTTTATCTTCTCTACGCCTTCTTTATCTTCTCTACGCCTTCTTTATCTTCTCTACGCCTTCTTTTCTTTATCTTCGCCTTCTTTATCTTCTCTACGCCTTCTTTATCTTCTCTACGCCTTCTTTATCTTCTCTACGCCTTCTTTATCTTCTATACGCCTTCTTTATCTTCTCTACGCCTTCTTTATCTTCTCTACGCCTTCTTTATCTTTTCTACGCCTTCTTTATCTTCTCTACGCCTTTATATTCTCTACTTTTAATGTTTTAATATTTTAATGAGCAGAATATGAAATTATAAATATGATTTTGATTTAAAATAAGTGAATCATTACGATTCATGATGTTTTATAAACATACGAAACAAATCTTGTTCAATTGTCTTTTATCCACGCAGCATTTAATCTTGTTTAAATCTTGTTCAATTGTCTTTTATCCACGCAGCATTTAATCTTAAAAGTAATTCCAATTCTACCTTTTCAATTTACCAAGCTGCAGTTATCTATGAAATATCCTCCTATGAAATGTTCCATATGTGCCCATGAATCAGATACAATTTTAAAGAGAGAGACCGTCTAGGTAACAGAGTTGAACTGAAAATGCATTACGGAGAACAATTTTAGAATTTCTTAGATACAATAAGACGTTATTACGGTGTAAAATCATTGAGTAAGAGTGTATGTATAAAAAAAAGAAATAATGATAATGATAATGATAAGCTACAATGTTTTACAAAAACGTTTAATTTCTCAAAAATATAAAAAAAAATTCTCCCGGAAAATACGCCTTGTTGCTATACCTAGCGATTTCTATAGGTTGGATTTCTATAATGTTTGACACCGCTTTTTAAATTTCTCCAGACAGGATATTTCAAGAGAATTTTTTTGAAATTAATTAATACTATTATTAACTAATTTGTTGCTTAAAGGAACATGTTGATCATCGAAAATAAGTAATTTTCTTTAGTTATCGGTTTCTGTATTGTGTGATTCTTTTTAAACGTTTCCAAGCATTTCCTTAAATTTCATTTAAAGACGATGTTTGAAGAAATTTGAAGAAATCTGCGAACAAATTTACAATGAACAAGGAATGCAATTAAATGACGAAAAAACCTAAATGAATCACAAATATCTTTTAAAAATGCGTACGTTCCCAAACAACAAATTAGTTTATGGAAGAATTTTTGTTATGTTTTTCGTCCGGGTTGTTAATTAATTGTAAAAGCCCGTTTGTTCTAGGACCCTCTCCCGAATTATCCCGTCCATGGTGAAACTTGAAAAACGAGTTTACAATTTTACTTAGTAATAATACACCGTAAAAACATTTTATTGGTATCACTATCAAATGAATCAGCTAAAAATGTTTTCAACGTTATCTAGCCAGTCTCTCCCTTTAAGCTTATTCTATTTTCGGAGGAAAAGAATATTGAAATAAATAAAACTTAAGCAGAATATCTGAGGATAAGAACTTGACTAGAGAAATATTTACACAACACCTAGACAAACGGCGAAACTGATAAATATTTGAAGGATTAGTCAATGTTATTTCTATGATGCATGCATTTACAAAAAAGCCTTTCACTTTACCCTTCAGATTCACTACTCTTCCACGTCCTCTTTCCTTCTCATTCCTCCCTCCACATTGCCCTTTCACTTTACCCCTCAGATTCACTACTCATCCACCTCCTCTTTCCTTCTCATTCCTCCGTCCACATTCTCCTTTCACTTTATCCCTCAGATTCACTACTCTTCCACGTCCTCTTTCCTTCTCATTCCTCCCTCCACATTCTCCTTTCACTTTATCCCTCAGATTCACTACTCTTCCACGTCCTCTTTCCTTCTCATTCCTCCCTCCACATTCTCCTTTCACTTTATCCCTCAGATTCACTACTCTTCCACGTCCTCTTTCCTTCTCATTCCTCCCTCCACATTCTNCCCCCCCCCTCCCTATTTACTGAATATTTTCTATTCTAAGAATTAGAAAGTTTAAACTAAGGAATGTAGACTCGAGATATGTCAAGAAATATTCAAGATATTCCAGTAGGTAATAGGTAGTAGGTAGTAGGTAGTAGGTAGTAGGTAGTAGGTAATAGGTAGTAGGTAGTAGGTAGTAGGTAGTAGGTAGTAGGTAGTGGTAGTAGGTAGTAGGCAGTAGGTAGTACACATAGATTCTATTTCCTTATATAAAGTCTCATCAATTTTTAAGACAAAGTCGACTTTGAAGTGTCGCAACGTCTTGGGCTTTGTCTTACCGCTCTATAACTCACTTATGCTTTTCTGTAGCCCTTTACATGTAAATTTTAGCACTATAAAGCACTTGTTGATAGCTTTGGTTCTCAAGAAGTAATTGGCAAAATTCTCATCGATTTTGACTTGAGAGCTCGCAACCTTTAACTCCCAGTGGGTAGGTAGTAGGTAGTAAAGGAATGGGCATGCTACTACAATGATTGATTTTTACCTTTAAAAAAAAACTAATTTTGATTAAACTTCGAACGGCTTTTTTTTCTGAAAAATCTATTGTTCTAAATTATTTTATCTACATCAGTTTAGCCTTAGACTTTGGAAAAATCAAAAGAATTTATAAAATTTCGTCTTGACCATTTTACAAGGGAGTTCATACTGATATACCACAATCTCAATAGTTTTAAAAATAAATAAATAGCTATAAAATATGTGGGGACAGTTTTAAAAAGCTCTATCTAATTATTAAATTAAAAAACTAAATTTTAAACGACATTTTAAAAATTCTTTTGAGGGCTCAGAAATTCTGGGTTTACCTGTACATATTACATAAAACATTATTTCGTTCAAAATACTATATTTTAGTGATCACAAAACACAGCACACAAGGGGTTACAATCACAGTTTTAGCATAAATCACAAAAATATTGATATCACTTTAATATCGACCATTTGAACTGATCCTTTGCTGTTTGCAGTACGGCTGCTGTGGACGCATACTTTGCTTCCAGTTTAGCCTAGACAATAAACTATATAAGGATTTGCTAATTATAGTTCATAGAAAGTTTTTATTTTTGACCAATTTTGCAAGCCAAAGGTTGAGGTAACCGAGGAAAACCCAAATAATTATTATTTAAAAATGTCTTCAACAAATTTTGGAAAGTCAGTTTATAAATTAATCTATTCTTTAGATTTCATTGATGATCTATTTTTAAAATTTCCCTACAAATACTAATACTTAATAATATACTTTTGTTTATCCTCAAATACTGAATAAAAAGAATAACGTGGAAAACAAATACTAATAATGGTCAATTTGGTCATAGGTCTTCCTTGGTCGCTCAGCTAACCATACCAGAGCAACAGTTTGTACAACATTACTAAACTAATCTGTACATGAGCAACACTTTGTACAACAGTGCTAAACTAATCTGTATACATGAGCAACAGTTTGAACAACAATACTAAACTAATCTGTAGATGAGCAACATGCTACGCAAAACTGTAAATATGCTACATCATGTACAACAATGAAAAACCAATCTTTTCATTTGCAACAGTTAGCACGACAGTGCTAAACTATATACATTTACATTAACGACTTGTTGTACAACAATGATAAACAAACTTGTACATAAGTAATAGTCTGTACAACTATGGTGAACATAGCTCTACATATGCCGTATCTTGTACAACAATTCTAAACCAACCTGTACATGAACAACAGTTGTACAACGTTAAATAAATCTGTACATAAGAAACATCATGCACCACAATTCTAAACCATTATGTACATAAACAAAAAGATTCTGTACATAGCAACTTTTTTTACAACAATGTTAAACCAACCTGTACATGAGACACAGTTTGTACAACAATGCTAAGCCAATCTGTACATAAACAAAAGTAGTACAACAATGCTAAACTAATCCAACCTGTACATGAGCTACTGTTTGATCTGATAACGAAAGGTCGTCTGTTCTCTGTCCAACTCTGAAAAACCGAGTTAAAGATTTGTTTCCAGCTCGTAAAGATAGAGAGTTAAAGGAATAAAATTAACCTTTTAACAACTGTATCAACATCATCTTCCATTATGACACCCTGAAAAAGATAATTACAATAAAGAATATGTTTTTAGTTTGAGGGGTAAATTCAGAAGAACATTTGAACATATTCTCACTCTGGAACTATTAATAAAAAAGTAAAAACTGGTAGACATATATAATATGGCAAGAAAACTTCTAAAAATACAGATGGTTAGTTCAGACAGAATAACATCTTCTCTTCGTTTACTTGTAAACTTTAATTCCATAAAAGCTTTTTTACAGACAAAACTTTAATAAAAAAGTCTTCTTTATTGTATTAATATAAACGCCAACCATTTTATATACAGTGAAACCCTTAATAACGAATACATCGGAAGAATTTATCAAACGTCGTCTTGACAATGAGTTTTATACTATATTACGTAAATTTCAGTATTTGCGAAAACAAATAAATAGCCATGAATATGAATATGCGGGAACAGTTTTAAAGAGTTCCATATAATCATTTAATTAAAAAACTAAATATCTGCAACATTCCATTATCAGAAAGCTAAGAATACGACATCTGATGAATTCTTTCGATTTATTCGTTATGTTGACCAATATTAAAGCATTTTCTTATTTCCAAGGAACTATAAGCTTTTGTCAAAATCAAATTCTTTTCCACGTCAATGGAAGGCTTTCGAATCAATATCTAGGGATATTTAAGTCCGCACTTTTTCTAATAGATAAAGCCAGCAATGCTGTTTAAGTAAATTGAAAAAAGTTAACAAGAGCAAATGTGAAGTCAATTTAATGTAACTCTAATAAACATTACGCAATACGCATAGACAGTAGTCACCAAATTTTGTTTACAGTTTTTTTTTACAGTCAATTCTTTCTTCCCAATAATTTGAAATATCGCTAGCTTCAGATTTTGGAAATATTGCACCTAATTTATTCTTTTAAATGTGTCCTGAACATTTTTATATATAAACATATTTACATGGTAATAACTTTATAAATTACAAAATTCTCAGCCACCTCTCTTTATTTTAAAAAAAGATTGAAGACGACAGTTATTCTTCATTTTTTTTGGTTTCTTCAGGATTCTTTAGAGAAAAAATGGCAGATAAAAAAGGAAAAGATATGAGAGATTTTGAAATTTTACACTTACTTCCTCACATATTTCGTCAAAGATCATAAGCACTAAATGTAGACACTCCATTACGGTTTTCCGGTCTGAAAACATGTTTTAAAAATGAATATTGGCTAGTTTCTCCAGTCTAAAATTTGCAATAAGAAAGACGACAAACAAAGATGCCATATTATAGATAAATAAATAAACATAGATAGCTTATGTACGCAAAATCACCAAGAATTGTACAGTCCGCGAACTCATACTTCTAGGGGTCAAAGTGTACTTCAATGATAAGCGGGGTGGTTTGGTGTTTTAATGGATTTCATAATTATTAAACCACTCAGGAGTGAATTTTATTTTGAGAATATCAAATTTTTTCACTGAGCAATATATCATATTGACGAGAACTTGAGAAGGACTAAACTAACTTGAATGTCTCTCTACAGAACTTATGTACACCACAGGTACTCAATGACATTAGAACAACCAATGTTCACAACCGACCTAGTTAATCTATATAATAGGAATATCTTTAAAACATCACTGTACATTTATATCTTTCAAGATGAAAAATGTCGTCTTATGCGCAATCTATCTTTATCTATGTGCCATACCCAAGTTCTTTTTCAGGACTGAGTTGATACTTTCAAATAAACAGTTTAGAACAGAGAGAAGAACCAGTTCGTTCTCATTTATTCGCCCAACTACATAGAAGAACAGATCTAAAAAATTAATATCTTAGAAATAAATGATTTTTTTAGTTAAAGGTTTTTATATACTAGAATTTTAAAAAGAAATGAAGTATTAGATAATTAAAAATAATTTACCAATGTTTGACTTGTACAGGATGGTGATTCCATCAAGAAGAATTATCTCAGAATTGGCTTTCACAGTTTTACTGAAAAAACAAAAATAAATGCACATCACTAGTAATGGTGGAATGTTAAAAGATATTTCATCATTTATTGTAATGATAATTAAAACTTTGGGCATTATCATGATTAGGTAAAGAAATTAAGCCTTAGTCACAAACTTTAATTTTATAATCCCTATTTCTTTGCAACCAAATGACCTTTGATATTTCAGGCTAAGAATTCTTTTAGATCAAACATTAGAAGTGCAAAAAATCACAGGTTTACATTATTATGTTGTACAAATATAGGGATTAGAACATTTTAGTTTGTTTATTTATCTTTTATGTTTAAATAATTTGTTTACCTGAACAGCCTTTTCTCAAACTTTCTCTGGTCTCTTGTTTAAAAATGACAAGTTAAAAGTTAATAATATATTCACGATACTTGAAATGTATTTATAAAAGGAAAATTTTAAGGAAGTATTCGCGAAACATGAAAGGTGGTATAGACTATAGACTTCAGGCGAAAAATAATCGCTACTAATCTTATTTCTATCTGTTGCGCCTATCAGGAGAAAATTGTTCAAAACGACTCATACCAAAGAAAGTAGCGTCCAAAATAATTGAGCAAGTTGCAATATTCAACTAGGATCGTAGAAAAAAAATTTAATTACAAACAAATTATTCAGATATTACAACCAATAGTCATCGATTATTTTTCGACGCATCCGTATATTGTTGATATTTCATAATATTTCTAATTTCTTTATGATCTGATAGTTATTTTTTTTCCGAGGATTTTTGATAATGAAGACGACATTTTCGTATTTTCCAGGAATGTTCGAAAATTCAGCGCCAGCCAAATATTATAAAAAATATCAAAAATATTATGAAATATTTACACTTTAAAAAACCAGAAAAAAAAAACTCACACACATTAAAATAGGTTTGCATGTTACATAGAAAATTTAATTTTAGCAAATAACACAGTTTAATAAATCAAAAAATCAATTTTCTTTGTAATTTTGCCTAAGTGTCGGAAAGCTTGTATCATAGTATTTTCCTGCTTATCAATAATAATAATCATTAACTATTATGGGATGGTTTGAATCTTGTTGATGACCACAATCAAAATTAACTAAAATTAAGAACACAAAGAAATAAATTGTATTTTAAATTCTTTTATGAACTAATTTAATATTAACAACAACTATGCCAGCATAATACAAAAGAAGAATCTATATGCTGTTTTCTGTAATTATACTGGTAATTACGATCTCTTAGAGAAGAGCTAGCCAACACGTCTCCATTTTCCCCATGCCTTTAACATCAATAACCCCCCTAGACTCACACTCAAAGTCATCATCATGATTCTCCAAGAGTGTGTGTGTTGCAGAAGTGATTTGAATTCTTCCCGTTCCTCCTGTGGATTGCATCTTAGATGCAATATTGACCGTGTCCCCATAAAATGCAATATCTTGGTATCTTGCTTCCTACCACACCAGCAAATACCTGACCTGAATGTAATCCAGAACTGACCCCGATGGACAGATCGTCCTGGATATTCCGACCTTTGCATATCTTAGAAATATCCAGACAAAATCCAGTAACCTCTGTGGAATGAGTTTCATTTCTACCAGGAACTCAAGAAGTGCAAATAGATATATCTCTGTGGAATATCTGTTTCAACCTTGTAAACATTGTACAGAATTGTAATCTCGTGTTAAACACGGTGTAAATTCTGTTAATCATATTGATTGCCTCAATGGGAGAATGTGATCTTGCAAGATTTGTGATTAACAATTTTTATAAGTCCAACAGTTGATGACTTGATGAATGTTTCAGTGGTTGATAATCCATTTTTGAATTTCACTACAGTAGATTTTCAGTTTTCTTCCGCTCTATTTGTAAATCTTTAGATTTTTTCCCCAGACTTTTTGCAAATATTTGAACTGTTTGAACATCATTTTTGGATATCAGAATCATAAAAGGTGAAATAATGACAACAATCACAAGAACTAGAATTTCAAGTGCTTGCTGTCTTTCTGATATTTTATATTATTCATGAACGAATTTACTGATTTCATCGCAAATTTGATTCTTGGCAATTTGTATCTTTTAACATGATACGTTTGTGCACTGTAATAATATTGTGGTCCCTTAATATCGGCTTCAATGGATAGGTGTCCATTCTCAACTCTATATGATGAGTATTTTTAATAATTCAAGTCAGCCTTAGTATTTGTCCTTTTACGGATGGAATACATGATTTTTTGGTTTAGACATTCCTGAGACATTTGCTGACACTTGAGAACCCTTTTTATCTCGTGTTTATTCGAAGTTTTATATTCTACAAATAAAACTGCCAAGACCATTTCTCTGCCAATATGTTCTGTTGCTCAAACAGTCCCTCATATGCTACAACATAGCGCCATACATTCGTAGTTTTCACAGCACTAATCTTAACTGAGAGTTGATCCATTAGAACATCATTTAAGGAATTGTAATGCATCCTGAGCTGGGAACTTTAGAATTGATAAACTTTAATCCTGACTTCTTGATCCGAATATCCATTGTGGAAACTTTTCATTTTTGTCCTAATCCACTCTTTTTCTCTCTCCTTGGATATCCGTTAATTGTTTTCTCCAATGTTATTTCTGTTCTCTCATTGGTTGCCCGCTTTTCTCTAATTGGCTGCTACAGTTTCTCAGATGATTAAATATTAATTTGAATTTTATCGTTTTTCAAGATTAATTAATTTTCTTTTAATAATTATGGATTCTTTTTTCCCAAAACTAATATGACTATTAAGAAATTTAGTTGTAAACACATGCATCTCAACAAGATTGGCTGCATGTACCCCTGATTGCAAATACCAGTTTTTACATAAAGGATAATAATTTATTTATAACCTTTAACTGAACAGTGTCATGGTCATCCACAATTGTAACATTTAAACCAAAACCGAAGAGAAACAAATGTGTTTTTAGTAACCCATTTAATACTATGCCTGGGAAACCAGCATTGCCTAGTGTAATTAAAGTTACTCCAGCCGTTTACCCGCACTCGGACGATTTTACCGGGAAACTAAATTCTAGCTATTAAAGTCGACCCACTCAACATAGAATCTTAAAACCAAGCTAAGCACATTTCCGTGGCTCTCCCGATTTCTCAAATCAAAATTTGACACAAATCGGTCCGAGGGTTCCTGAGTAATGATCGGACAAACAGACAGACAGGCAAACAGAGATTACAACTTGATAATTATTAAAAGCTTTTTGAATTACCCACTGAATACCGTAGGGCCTGGAAAGTTTTATAAAATTCAGCGGAAAGTCCTGGACGAATTAGAATTAACGTTGATTTTTAAGTTTTTAAATAATGCAGATTAAATTGATTTTTGATCAGCCTTGAGTTAGCAAAGACAGATGTAAACAACTAAATCCATTGATTTTCTAAATAGTTTTCCGATAAAACAAGAAATCATAATTCATATGCATTGCAATATGCATTAAAAGATAAATATTTGTTAATTATTGTATTCCCTGAACTTACAGTGATCATCAGAATAAAGTGGAGATTCAACCTAGAATTTACTGTTTTACGAAATGAATTGAAGGGGGCTGCTAAGATTTTTGCTTCAAACCCTTTTTAGCAATTTACTTTTACATTTATATCACATTCAATAAAAAAAAATTATTATTTTTAATTAAATCTCAAAAATTATTATTATTTCCCTAGAATGCGTTCTCCATCATGATCCAAAATAAGAAGAGCCTTCAAACTTCTAAAATAAAGATATATGCCGATTAATAATTAATAATTTCATACAAATAAAAATGATAAATATCAGGATTAAGAGACGACTTAAAAATCCGATAGTTTATAAATGACTATATGTATCCCAATGTTATGCGTCTTAAAACCTTTTTAGATACGGGTTACACTTTCGTACGTTGTGTCGTAGATATTATAAAAGACAATTTTTTATTCTATTTGACAAATATTTTTTCCTTCTTTTCTTTATAGATTTTAAACTCGGAATTTCAGATTTTAATTTAATTTTCAGATTTTTGACGTGTAATACATATATTAATTTGCTTACTAAAAATGGGTTTATGCAATAGATTCGTCTCAGAAATCTCATTCATTATGGAGGACATTTTACGTGAAATGTACTTTACTATACCCTATCTATATATCCTATACCTTATCCATATATATCCATGGATTGTACACTAGGTGTACTTTACTACATAAGGGATTGTGCGTTAAGTACATACTAATGCGACCCAAGAAATGATACAGGGATGTATATATCCTCAAAGATTCTCACAGTCTTGGTTCCCCGCAACTTGAAACTTTTTTTTTCTTTGTCAAATTATGATATAAATCATTTTAATACTTTATTACAGACAATAGACCAAATTCAACCTTTAGATTACTTTAAGATGTTTAAGATGTTTAAGATGTTTAAGATGTTCAGGTAGTCATTCAAGTCTCATCCTTTGTGGGTAACTCGATGTACACTAGATACTGTCTAGTATCTAAGGGATTTTAAGTTACGTGGATTATACATTAAGTTTACTACCCAACCTAAACGTATAGTTTATTAAACTATTCTAGGAATTCGAGAGTTGGTAAAAGTTAACTTGACAACCAAAGGGATTGTTCATAAATGCTAACTTGGGGGTTTTACATAAAGTTTGTTATCCTACCTAAGGGATGGTTCATGAAGTCCAAGATCCATATTTAATAAATTTTAAAAACTGCCAACTGCCTGAGTACAGCTGGTCCTGGGTTTAACTGCTTGGATTAACAAGCCCGGTGTTTGGTTACTGCCTGACTGACTTGCTTTCCTTTAACAATTGTATTGAAGGAAGTGAACTGAGCAACAAGTGTGTTTTCTCAACGTTCAACAGAGGAGCAATTAAAAATTACATTCCAAATTATGAATATGGAACTTTTAAATCTTGTATGATAATAAAAAATTTCAATAAAAAAAATCTCAAAATAATTTGTAATTTTATCAAAAAAATGCATTTTTCATCATAAATCATTGACATGAGGTCATATATTGATATTTCCCTACACATAAAATATACCAGGATTACCCACGAAGGATGAAACTATAACGACGACTTAAAACTTTGACGATATGACGATCCAAATGGATGCTATATCGTTTGCACTGATGTCCGATTGAACTAACATACTTTTGCACTAAAGTCAGCTGATCAGTAGCACTTGTGGCCGCAGCGCCCGGCTCCCTAGTCTGTCCTAGCCACGGCGCTCAGCCCCCTAGCCTGTCCTAGCCGCAGCGCTCGGCGCAGAAATTGTCTTAACCTAACCTAACCCTCAAATAAAACGTTAGTCCGAATGAAACGATACGACACCTCCAAATGTTAAATTAAGTCTTATGGCTCAGATAAAGTCATTATTAGACAAAGGCACGATTTTGCAGTTTCGGGGAATAATGCATAGGACGAACCAGCTAGTATAAATTCCGTACAGTCGTCTCGTAAAGTCTCTTCCCTCTGTATTTAACCAAACTTTTACACTCGGGCATTTTAGATAAATCAATTCAAACATCAATTGGACCTATTACCAGAGCCAGGAAATCAAAAAAAGAAATGTCGTTAATCCCTGTGGATTCAGCAAGATCGAATTAATTCTCGAAATGATTCAACAGATCCGGTTAAATTTTTAATTTTACCACCATCATATGTGCAAGATGGATAAGGTTGAGATTAGATTTTATTTGTAATGAGGACTATTGTATATTAATTCTTTCAGAATAAATATTCAGTAGCTCATCTTCTCAAACTTATCATAAGAATTTAGACTGACTTTATAGAGAGATTTTGAGCAAGTTCTCGAATCAGACCTATTCAATCTCAAACAGAAAATTTTGAATTTTCAGAAAATCCGTCCTGAGCCCAAATATTTTCAAATTTACGGTCGTATTTAAGACGTCCTAAATACGTCTCCGTACTCTATAGTGTTTTTCCGCTAGATGTCTCCCGTTAGTTATTTTCTTGACAGACAGACTTACTCACGTCATGGTTACTCACATAATTTCGCCGTGAGTTAACCTTATTATAGATGTCAGCACCTGCACACAATACAACTTTATAAACACAGGGATAGATAATAATCACAATTTTAATAATACAATTTAATTCAAAAAGTCAAATTTTAATCCGATTTTGATCAAAACTAAATAAAAAATTTAATAATCTGTAGTTTTATTTTACGAAAATTATTATAATCCATGAATTCTTGAGAACTTAATATTTTTGAAAGTCATGCAATAAAAAGCATCCTTGAAAATGTATTCATGCAGTGAATTGAACAGCTTTCTATTTATTTTAGTCTATAGGGGTCGCGCGCTGTTGCAGTTTATGGTCGGACACTAAATGTTGTAGAAAATCCCATTTAGACAGTACTTAATTCCTCCGTATTTAGGACGTTAGTAAGTGGAGACGTCATATGTTTGCAAAAAGTACGGATGAAAAAATTCCGGCTCTGGGAGTTGGGAACCAGATATATGGCCAATTTCTTAGACGCTCTACCATAGGTAGAACCATAGTCACACTATGGTTACGCTTTACCAGAGCAGTGCAGATAAATAAATACAACCAATAATTGTACCTATGGTTAAATGAATAAGAAATCGGCCAATAATGGATTGAAGTAGTTATACTAAATTACTCAAGTTTAACCCAATTTGAACATCTTAACACTTAAATTTGAAAATTTAATCGAAAAAATACACTTTTATAAAAATGCTCCAAATTTAATGGAAAAATCCGTGAACATTTAAGATAAAAAAGGGCACCTTCAATTGGAGCTAAAATTGTTAAAATAGGATAGGGGTGCGATGAGCACTATAGCAATAAATACAATTCTTCAAACGAAACGGTTGATTCTAATTTTAAACAGAAAAAATCTAAAATCTACAAATAAAACAAATGTACAGAAAATAACCAATCTGACGACAGTGCTTGTCGTTTAATTACGGGTGGGTTTAAATAGAAAATTAAATTTTAATAAATTTATTTGTCATCAATAAATAAATATAGAAATATCACGTCTCTGTGTTTAAAATACATTGTATAAAAATTAAAAATCAATCAAAACACAAATGCAAAAAAATGCATTAATACGTTTGCTTGCGTAAAACGCAATAAGGCTGAGGAATTGTTTAGAGAACAATTGCGCGTTAATCTTTGCGTACAGCGGCGGCCATCTTAAATTTACTCAACAGTCACAGATTTTGCCAGATTTCGGGGACAGTCCACATTGCACTCTCTTAGTACAGCCAGGTGGTAGGATAACAGCTAAAATAAACATTTGGATGAACTTTTTTATTATTGAATTGTTGTAAAAGATGACTAGAGCAATTTTAGGAATAATTGAAATTAAAAATTTCCTCAAAAAAAACCTGCCTGCATAGGAATGACCGTAAGAATTCCTTGAAGCGCATCAACAGTACGAGGAATCTCCAGAGCATGTTCAGACCACTTCACTGAAGCACAAAAGTCAAGAATCTTCCAAATATAAATTAATCTAAGTGAAACCTACTTGTTTCGGTATCTCCTTCCTCGCAAATTAGAATAGGACGGCCATCCCTAGCAGTCACCTGAAGAAAAATAATTTTTCAAAAATTGCTGTTAAGACCATGGGTGTCGAAAAGAAATTATGAAGACCATGAGAAACACTTTCAATTTTATGGATCAAGCTTTATAAGGTTAAGTTTGTAAAGAACCTGTTGAAGAGCATTCATACACTTGGTGAATACACAGTCCCTGGTGATGATCATGATGATAGGAACAGTGCTGTCCACCAGTGCCAGGGGACCATGCTTCAGTTCACCTGACTGGATACCCTCGCTGTGCATGTAGGTCAACTCTTTTACCTTTACAAAACAGAAATCTAAATAACACTATTTTAAAATTTACTTAAACAATAAGAAACACCATGGTGCTATTTTTCTATTTCTCTTTTTAGTAAATTTCGGGAAAACAGTTTTTTAACAAACAAGAACAATCCAATGCAATGCAGTGAATCTTTAAAATCCCAAATCCTACCTTGAGAGCCCCTTCCAGGCAGGTTGCAAAGTTGAAACCTCTTCCCATGATGAGGAGGGATCTCTTCTTATACAACTCCTTGGCTATGGTCAGCACCTTGCCGTCTAGATCCAATACTTTACGAATCAGGTCAGGGAGCTGACGCAAACCCTGGATAATCTCAGATCGCCTGACATAAAACAAATATATTTTTTCTCCATACTTTTCATTGCAATTTAGATTGTCAGAGAACTCAAATTCATAAAAGAATCTTAAATAATTTTTAAAAAATTATGTAAATGAAAGAAAATGAAATGCACACCTTGCTTGAAGAGAAATCCTATCCTCCGCCATAACAAGGGCAAACAGTACCAGGGAGAGAATCTGGGAAGTATACGCCTTGGTACTGGCCACGCCTATCTCCGGTCCTGCGTTGATATGCACGCCGCAATGGGATTCTCTGCAGATGGTTGATCCCACAGTGTTGGTGATTCCAACGATCAGAGCTCCACGGGATTTACAATACCTAAGTTACAACTTATTAACTAGCTGTACTTAATCCGGCTAGTTCCAACTAGTTCTCTTGTGCCAACCAGATCATTATCTCATTTCTGCATCAATTTAATACTTATGGCACAAAGAGCTAAATTAATTTAATATTAAGTTTAGAAATAACAACCTGAGGGCTCCAAGTGTATCAGCAGTTTCTCCAGATTGTGAAATAAAAAAGCAAACATCGTCCCTAAGAAAATCATTAAACAATTACATTAAGTTGTAAAATTATTCTGTTCTTGAAAGATTATTTAAAAAAACTAGAAATATTTCCTAAGGCATATTCGGTATTTAGAGACCATGGACCTAATTTTCTAAAAAAATAGGTCGAAGTTGAACAACGAAGATGTTGTTCAACTAGTTATTAAATGTTGTCCTGGGGAAATTATTAAGGACCGTAACAAAATCTAAACCTGAAAATGGGCGTATTCCTATCCAGAAAATCAGAAGCCAGGTCTATCATGACCGGAAGCTCTGTCAGCTCTTCCAGTAGCTGCCGGGTAGCGATAGCAGAGTGGTAGCTGGTTCCACATCCTAGAATAATAAAAATAAAAGCAATTAGAGACGTATTTTTATGCGACCCTACGTAAAGAAATTCTAATTTATTCTAAACGATACCTTGTTAACTTGATCTAGGATGAAGAAATATTAGTTTCTATATCAATAAATTCATTTATTTACTTGTTGGAAATCAGGCACACACTTAAAAAGAAATTTGATCATAAATATTAAATATTATTCTTACCGATCATAAGGAGACGCCTGCATCTCCTGATCTCAGGAACATAAGTTTTAATCCCACCAAGAGTAACAGTCTCCTGCTCATAGTTAATCCTTCCCCTCATTGTGTTCACAACAGACTCCGGCTGCTCGAAGATCTCCTTCTGCATGAAGCTGGAGAAGTTCCCCTTCATGATCTGCTGAATCTCCATCTTCAGAGTGGTGATCTCTCTGGAAGAGTCTCCTTCCCTGTTGATCCTGTGGATGCTGAGCACCCCCTGCTTACATGCAGCAACGTCGTCGTCCTCAAGGTAGATGACCCTGTTGGTGTGCTCAATGATAGCAGAGGCATCACTTGCGAAGAAATATTCGACTGAGTCTCCATCTGAAGGATGAATTTCCTCAGTTTGATCAGCATCAACCCTTAAAAAAACTTAGTAAAAACCAAAATACAATTTGACTAAAGTTTAAGACGTATATTTACACCTTTTTTTTTATAAAAATAGCTTTTAAGTCTGAAAAAGATAAGTTATTTATTGTTTATCTACATATGTAATTGAGTCCCACAAAAGATAACCCGACATAATTTTTAAACCTGTAAATAAACGAAACATTTGACCAAGAAATATGCCACTTTTAAAAACAGAAATGAAAATTCGATAATTTATCAACATAAAAGGAGTGACCGGCTATGTAAAATGTAAAAAAGTTCTACATTAAACTACAGACGTCATGTATAGGAACATGTTAAGAAAAAAAAAATTAATCATATTAAAGAAAAGAAGTAATCATGTTTAATTATTAGTTTCTATTTTCTCATTATTCTGGTTTCTCATTATTTACAAAGATTTTCTGCAGATTTTCTAGAATTATTATTGAAAAGACGACATTTGAAGAATTCGAAGAAATCTGCAAATAAAATCCAATATAATAATGAAAACGAAATAATCAATTTTAGCATTGATTTATCGACAAATTTTTTTTGATTTTAGATTACTGTATAATTTACTTTTTTTTAGTTGTCGTTATTTAATAAATAAAAAAATTTATAATTCTGAAAACGTATCCACCGACAAAGTAGGGAGTTTTGAACTTCGAATTTTAGCTCAAACTCAGGATTTACAGAAAGTTTGTCTCAAATGAATTTGAAGGAAGTTTTCCACAACACTGCATACTCAGTTCAACTACCTTACAAAGCCGGTCACTCCCTTAAGAAAAAAACCCATTCATACAGAGATTTTCCTTTAAGGAAAGAATTTTTTCTGATAAAAAATGTGGAAGTTTCGAAATTTCCTCCCATCGTTTCAACAGCAGAAATGTGCAAGTCATTAGAAAACACCCTAGAAAATATTTAATTTGAGTTTCCTTATTCGTTCAAATACGCCACTTTTGAATTGAACCCAATAGAAATTAGGACTACAGTTCACTTACAAAGATTTACCTGAACATGGCCGATGTCTTTTTCCTCGGAGCAGGAGATCCAGCAACCTCTGATGCTCCGTGTTTAACCATCCTAGGATCCTCGTCCAAACTATATTGAACCGGGATATGGTCAGATTCAAGCGCAGATTCAGCCTTGATTCCTTATAAAGAATTTTCATTAATATTAAAAAATTTTATTTGTAAAAAACTGTTTCATAAGCCTCATGAATGTAAGTATGTGTTACGTCATAATGTTAAGTATTATGATAAAAGAGAATGCGGATTTTTAAATAGATTAAGGTTAATTAATGCTACAACAAATATTAATGGAATTTTCGGTTTCATGAATAAAAAAAATTAATTGTTTTTCCGTCTTCATTTTACGAATTAAATCATAAAAAATCTGGAAGATTGTTTTACGACACTCAAGGAAATGCGTTTTTGCCCCTCTTTTATTATCCTTAATGTTTGTAACCCGATGTTGTAGACCTGTAGTTTGAAATATAACAAATTTACACCATCAGGTTACAAAGAAATGTGAATCAGCAAATTGGTGTCAAAACTCAATTCTTTTCCGACTAAAAATGAGTACAAGAGTACATAATGAAGAGTTTCCCTACCTACTAGAAGAGTTTTCCAACCTACTAGATAGAGTTTTCCTACCTACTAAAACGATTTTTTCCTACCTACTGAGTTTTCCTACCTGCTAGAACACGTTTTTCTACCTACTAGGAGTTTTCCTACCTACTAGAAGGAGATTTCCTACCTACTAGAAGGGGATTTCCTACCTACTAGAAGGAGATTTCCTACCTACTAGAAGGAGATTTCCTACCTACTAGAAGGAGATTTCCTACCTACTAGAAGAAGATTTCCTACCTACTAGGAGATTTCCTACCTACTAGAAGGGGAGACCCTCTCCTTGTAGCAACACATTCTCCTGGGAAGCTTGTGGACTTGAACACACAAGCAAATGCACCTTCAAGCTGGGCAATTGTCTTCTCAACCAGCTGACGGAATCCATCATTCGGGTTCTGGATCCTAGAAAAAAAACTTTAATCCGGCAGATCCAATTAATCTAACTTTAATAACCTGATGATTATCAATCTTAAGAATAAACTCCACGGGTCACTGGAATCTTTTAAAACAATTTTTTATTTCATGTGAATTTCTTGAGTTAAGCGTTCTAAATATCCTTCAGGTCAATTATAAGTTTAATTATGTGCAAAATTCACCCAAAATTGAATCCTACTAAATAAAAGATTTAAATCCCACATTTCCACCTTGAAAACTTAAATTTACTAAACCTGATAAGTTTGATGAGCTTTGCAATGATCTCTGTATCTGTCTCAGATTCGAACATCATCCCCTTGCTGATGAGGAACTGCTTGATGTCCTTGTAGTTAGTGATGATACCATTGTGCACAACTAAAATTAAAAAATTCATCAAATCTTGACAATTGAACTTAAGTTTAACGGATAAATGCGAGGTTTAATACTATCTAAAAATGCCAATTTGTTAGTTCTTTGAAAACAAAGTGTGTTTTATATGATTATAACAAGTCCACAAAACCTCTTGACAATATCAATATCTCAATTCAATTTTTCAAGTCTTGCCTACAAATTCGTTGTTTTCCCCTGAGCGCTGAGGATGGCAGTTTACATCAGAAGGAGCACCGTGGGTTGCCCATCTAGAATAAATTAGTAAAATTTTAAATATTGTTTTAGGGTTAGATCTTCAGAACCTTTGAACGATCCATGTATCTACTTGATTTAAGTTTTCAATTCTTAAAACAAATATTAAATATCCTAATATTTTATCGTAAAAAAGCCGAGTTCTAGGCTATTTATAGCGCATAAAGTATAAACATATAAAGTATTTATTAAATTTTAGACCACAACAATTTTTTCCAATAAATGCAGTGCTATATTTTTTCTGACTTTTCAGAATTATGTTCTTAAAGAAAAGACGACTTTATTACCTAGTGTGTGCAATCCCGACGTGTACAGTGTGAACCCCATCAAAGTTCAGAAACTCTTTATTTTCCAAAATCTTCTCCTCAAGCTGCTTCACCTTACCAGTTGCTTTCACAAGCTTAACAAATTTTCATTAAATAAATATGGAATATTTTCTTTACAATATAGTTCCAGTGACCAGAGCTGAAAACTTTAGAATGGTGGATATCGGGATTAAGGCTTAATCCACTCTTTTTCTTAATCTCGAGATTAAATATTGCTTGTTCTCCTCTCATTTTTAATCTTCAGATTAATTAAGAGAGCAAGATTAAGGATATCACATTCTAAAGTTTTCAGCTCTGATCTGCTTCCATATTAGGGAATAAACTATTTATCTATTTTTTTTACATTCTTTTCCAAGAAAAATTAAAAGAGGAAAACAGAAATTCCCCCCCCCCCCCTTAAAAATGTCATCCTAGTCCCTGTAGAATTTTTCAAACGGTATTTTAGTCAAAAAACAAAATTACAAAAAGACCGCAACGGCAGCAAAATGAGCCGCCACTGCACTGTAACCAAGTAATTTTTTAATTTATAAAAATGAAATAATTACCGTAATATTTGCATTGCTAGTTGGTCCATCCACCCCAACCCCAGCAGAGTCATATCCACGGTATTCTAATCTAAAAAAAGTTTTAAAAATATTTTTAAAACTTGTTTATTATGTTGTTGATAACTAGGTTTATTTCTCTAATTTAATAAAAGCATTATGATCGAACTTTTAAGTAATGAAACAAACACTGTTGATTAAAAATGAAATACAAGCCTAATATAAATCGGATATTAAGATATCGTAATTTTTGTACTTCTTTTTTATAAAGATGGTGATGGAATTGTTCAAACAAAAATGGATGTGAAGTTAAAGTTTCCCTAGTATCAGGGTGAAAAAAGAAGAAGTTACCTCTGTAGTCCTTTAATAAGAAGGTCTAAAATCTCTTTTCTTGTCCTGGGAGTCAGATGGTTCAGATAAGCAAATATACCACACATAGTCAACTAAACTAAAAATAAAAATATTTATTTTGGGTGGCAAACAAAATAAAAAGATCTTTTGGAAGATGCTTCATCTCGATCTTGTTAATCTACGGATAAATTTAATCTTCAATAATACACTTAATAATACCCTAAATGGATAACAGAAATAAAAAGATTCTGAAAAAGCCCACATTGGATATTGAGATCTAGCAATCGGGATAATGGGTATCACTATCCACAATCAATCACAAAAGTACCCAGCTCAGGTTAGACTTTCTGAACAAAACTTCACGAAATTACGTAGGGCGAGGTTTCTTTTATCCAACAGTAAAAAAGTGTCACGGATAAGGCAATACTAGGTTAAATTTAAACAAGGCGAGTGGGATAAGGTTTATTTAAATAATATATGGTGACGTTTAAAGTCAGCTCTAGAACTAGTTAAATTGTAAACAAATATTATTGATTGATCAATCTTTTATTTTGTTAACAAAAAAACTTTGTTCTAAATATAGATTTATAGAGGAATAAATTACTAGTAAAATCTTAGCTGAATTAGTCGCAAGTAAATATAAATTCACACAATTACTATAACGATTTCCGTGGCATGTTAATTAAAAGAAATCCAACAAATATCCAAGATTTTTTTTAAACCTTCACTGCATTCAGTATTATAACTAACTGACTCAAACTGAATTTACGCCAATAAAAGATAAATCAAATAAAGGATTTTACTTAGGGATTCCAAACTTACAATTTCTTTCTTAACAAAAAGAATAATATTTCGTCCATACACAATTCTAGAATAGAATAGTTCTTTTGTTTTATTAGAACTATTTGCAGCAATTGAAATTAAAAATAATCTTCGGACGATGAAAACATCACCCTGGAAACCCTGGTAAACTGAGTAATAAATTCAAAGATAACAAATCTATAGTATCAGGGGAGTACTAACTCAGGGGCTTGATAGGGTCGTTTAATAGGGGGGGGGGGCTTTAATAATATTTGTCAAACTGTTTAAATAAACGAATTCATTGATTTCTAATAAATAAAGCTGAGGTTTAACTAAAAGATTAAATACTAACATTTAAACTGGGTTCCTAATCAAACAACTCTGACAGACCAACTAAAAAGATTGCGTTAGAGAAGGTATAAAATGTAAACAAAACAACAACAAACAAGAACTGGTTTTTAGGGTACAAAAGTGAAATAAGTATACTTAAACGAGAACCGACAAATCTTTGTTTACACGAAAGTGTACTGCAGTTATATATTTACACATTTCTCTTCATAAAGAACGCTTTTAACGACATTTAAATCCAATCAGAAAAACCCGTCGGAGCCCAAATTTTCTCAACTTAACGGGCTCCGAGAATTAAATGTTTAAATAAATTGAGTCTTTGCCACAAACTATTTGCAACTCAATGGCGTAGAAATTGGATAGTTCAAACTATGAAGTCGGTTAGATCAAATCAAGGTCATAATTGGTAAGGAAAGTTAATTGCGGTCGTGTATACTCTGCGTACATATTGAAAACAGTTCTCTCTGGGCGGAATTTGTAAACAAGATTAGATGCATCAGTGTTCGTTTAGTATCCGAGGAGGTTAAAAGCATTAAATTTTGATAATTTTGATAATTTGCATAATAGTTTCCTATGACCAGAATATTTCATTGATTTTTTTATGTGAAAGATGGATCCCATGTCAGGCTTTGACATCGTTCTTGTGTTTACATTACCGCCCAGAGACAGTACACTGCAGTACAAAAGATGTGCACACTTCTGAAATAACTTTCCTTGCAATACATCCTTGGATCAAATAATCTAAGTTTCACAATTAGGATGCAAAATTAAAGAAATTAGAAAATCCGAGTTTGTTCTAGATCTCTTAAAAATAAATAGAGCCAAAAAGACAATAATCCTTGAATGTTAACAATCGGCTCAACACAGATGCCCAACGGTAGTTGTAAACTAGATATATATATATTCTAATTACCTTGAAATGTATGAATGTAAGATAGTATAAGTACTAAAACTAATGGTAAAACTATATATATATTCTAATTACCTTGAAATGTATGAATGTAATATAGTATAAGTACTAAAACTAATGGTAAAACTATATATATATTCTAATTACCTTGAAATGTCTGAATGTAATATAGTATAAGTACTAAAACTAATGGTAAAACTATATATAATCTAACCACCTTGAAATGTATGAATGTAAGATAGTATAAGTATTAAAACTAATGGTAAAACTATATATAATCTAACCACCTTGAAATGTATGAATGTAAGATAGTATAAGTACTAAAACTAATGGTAAGACTATATATATAATCTAACCACCTTGAAATGTATGAATGTAAGATAGTATAAGACTAAAACTAATGGTAAAACTATATATATTCTAAATGCACCTTGAAATGTATGAATGTAAGATAGTATAAGTACTAAAACTAATTATAAACTATATATATTCTAACCACCTTGAAATGTATGAATGTAAGATAATATAAGCACTAAAACTTATGGTAAAATTGTATATATTCTAAATGCACCTTGAAATGTATGAATGTAAGATAGTATAAGTACTAAAACTAATTATAAACTATGAATGAGGCCTACTACACTGAAGGAGAATATATAGAATTACTGAAAAGAAGATTGACAGATGTTATTTTATACTTTTTGAAACTGAAAGGGACTAGACGCAGACGTTGACGTAACTGATTGACTATTCAAACCTTTTTCTGATCTAGGATTTTGATTATTTTTTTTTTGGTATTTCTGTAAAAGTGACTTTGTGGCTTAGTTTTCCAGAAAACAATTAAGGAAATTGTGAAAATTTAACACTTTCCAGAATACTGCTCCTCAGAAAGAGTTTTATAGGACATCTAACAGATCGTTTAAAGGATCCAAGGAGTGTCACTTGATATTACGTATACAGTCCCTTTAAGGCCAAATTTCGAATTTTCAACTTCGTGAGGGAGTATGTTAGTAACCAATGATCCATATGTAGAACAAAATCCGGTAAAAGTTTCAAAAGTTTGCAATTACAACCACCCTTTTATCCAACAAAAAACTATTTAGAAAAAAGTAATTGTTCATGTATTTTTTTCAATAATATTTATTAACTAAGTACAATTACTTAGTGTCCTTACCTATTTCAAACCAAGTATTATATTACACATGTCATTCTTTCTATAATCTGTTAATTTATAAATCGTCCAACGGAATTAAAAAGAGTGTATGCAGCAATTAAGAACAAATTTTGTTCGTTCTTGTTCCAATGACATCAGAGGAGTTTTGATAAGAAATTTTATGTGAATTCCGTAAGTTATTTACTGCACTATAGGTTTTCATGTTTACTTTTGGATAATAATAAAACTCAACAGAAGCTGTGAGATTAAGGGGGAGGGGGGGGGGCATAACATTTAAAAATCAGCTCGTATGTTTTGGAATGCCATGATCAAACATTCAAACGTAATAAACTTGGCCAAAAAAGTCGCCGCGAATTATCCTTATATTAACAGAAGTCGGATCTTTAGTGTTGGGAATCTTTGGATCAAACATTGATCTTCATCTTCTGCAGTCCTCCATAAATTTAATATTCCTTTTTGAATAAAGGAATTGAGTTTTTGCCACAAACTCTGATTTTCTAATTTCAATATCGTTGCAACCCAATATCGTAGACCTTAAATATTTCAAACTATGAATGCTATTAGATCAAATATTGTAAGTTTGAAATATCACAGGTTTACATCATAAGGTTGCAAAGATATAGGTTTTACAAAAACTGAATTTGTTGAAGAGACGCAATTCCTTTAATTGAGAATTAAATCCTTTATCTTACAATTGAATATCATGCATGAATTTTATAACGAAACTCCACAAAACAGTTCGGACCTCAGTTAAGCGTAAAAAAGTGTATGCGTGTTTAAAAATTTAAGAAAAAAAAATTAAACGTTTATCTAATAATTTTTAAAATCAATAAGAATGAATCTAAGGATAAACCAACGGACATAAATTGAATTCTAAAGTTTTAAAATATAAATTGAACAAAAATATGAGAATCCCTCAAAACCGAATTGAAAAGTTAATAATAAAATCAGTAAAATAAATCAAGAATAAATACAATGAATGCCAAGTTGTCAGGTTAACAGTGTACACTGATAAAATAGGGGACCCCCCCCCCTCCCATCTACACGATATTCTCAGTTGAAAACAGCTTTCTCTTCTGCTTTCATTTATCAGGAGGAAAAGAAAGCGTTACTTTCTTTCTGATAAAAGATATGATTCATATTGCAAAAATAATATTCAAAAAAGATAAAAATAAGAAATTATAGTAAGAAATTAAAACTGATCTTATTTAATGTAATTGTGCAAAGATGGTTTTGTACAAATATAATTTCTATTTAGTCGTTTCCAAATAATTTATAATATCGGTAAATCACCCTTAAAAGTAGCTTTTACAATAATATAAACGTTTGTATTTTCCTTAAATGTATTTACTGAACGTGACGAATAAATGAGAAAAAGTCACAATTCTGGCAATTTTCCTTATTAAAAGTCAATTTTCTCTATCTGAAATTTTTATTGTATTTTTTAAAAAGTTATATGATCCAGCTATGGCTATTTTGTAAACAAAAGCCAAGGTTTTTTTACAGATCAGGCTTTTAATAAACCGACACAGAAACTAACCTTAGTTATTGAAGTATGTGATAGTAAAACTTAATTAACAACAATTTTTAACCATGCATGAATATGGAAAATAAACATAATCTATTTATGGTCCTCATTCTTTACTTCTTATCTTAGATCCTAGCTAGACGAAAGTTTTTGCAAAATACTTGATAATCCCACACATTTTAAACTATATACGTATACACACACATGAATTCTATACTCGGAGTTTAAACCAGTTGTCCTTGAAACCAACCACTGCATGTTAAATACCAAAAACCAGGAGAAACGAAAGAAAAACTCCTGATAAATGGAGGGGGGTGGTTGTAGTTTGGATAGTTTGTCAATTAAAAAAAAAAATAAAAAATAATAAGGAACTTATAAAACAAACAAGGACCTAAAAAAAACAGGAAGTATAAAAAACAGATAAAACTAATGAAACCGAAAGAAGTAAACGAAATTGGGAGGAACAATGAAAGAACAGGAGAAACAGGAAGGAACATTAGAAACAAGAAGGAACTGAAAAACAGGAAGGAACTTTGAACACGAGAAGGAGCTAAAAAACAGGAAGGAACTTGAGAGACAGGGACGGTAAAAAAGAAACTGTAAGGAACTGAAGACACAGAAAGCACTAAAGAAACTTGAAGGAACTAAAGAAACAGGAAGGAACTATAACGCAACAGAGAGCACAAAAGAAACAGGAAGAACTAATGAAACAAGATTGAAAAAAAGAACCAGGAATAAACTAAAAACAGAGAAACATAAAGAAATGGGAAGGACCTAAAGAAAGTAAATGGAACTATAGAATGTGAAAGGAACAATAGAAAAGAGAAGAAAATAGGAAGACAGATAGGAACTAAATGAAGTAAAAGGAACTAAATCGTAGGAAACCAAGAAACAGAACGGAACTAACAGAAAATAAAAATACTGAATTATTTAAACTATAAAGGATGTGTAAAAATAGAAGGAAATTGAGAAAAACGCAAGATATAAGAACGACTTAAACCAATATAGGACTAAATAAACACCGAGGAACTAGATCAACTTATTAAGCAATAAAAAGGAAAGGAATTTAAGATTTAGAAAGGAACTATTGAAACACAACGCAACAAAAGAAATATAAAAGATTAAATACGAAGGAAGAAAGTAAATCAGAAAATTAGAAGAAAGATAAACAGAAAGAATCATATATACTGAACATAAACGAACTTATACTTAAGATATAAGAAAAACTAAAGGCAAGAAAAGAGATGCTGGAAAAACAGAAAAACGAACAATTGAAAAACAAAGCAAAAAATAAAAGAAATTATGAAGGAATCAGACAAACAGAAAATAAATGTAGAAACACGCTGAATCCCAGAGATATGTAGAACAGCAGGATGTAATGGTTTTTAAAAATTCAAAGTATAAAATTTGTAAGGTGTAGATATATATGTTTATACTACAATATCCATAAACATACCTTATCCTTTGCAGAGTACCAAGGTGAGACTGAAGGATCACAATCTGTAGAAACTGGATTTCTTGAAACCTATCTCAAGCCCCCGTTCCCCCCCCCCTCCCCCCTCGCCCTTGGTCAGTCTTAGACCACAGAACTATTATTCAGACTTAACAGGGAGAGGCATAGGTGTTAGGGAACCTTGTATCTAATAATCTTTGCATGAATTCTTCTTAAGATGGAAAAAAGGTAAGGGGAGAGAGAAAATCTATAAATGAGTTCCATCTTTAAAATGTCGTCTTTGTAGAATTTTCATTCTAGCAGATTTTATTAATGGAATACATTTTTAACTTAACATAATTTAGAAGATATCTTTTGATGCTTTATTAGTATTTCAAGGGACTTTGAGTGTAATTTGTAAGTGATCCTTAATGCAAAGATGGCATAGGCTGATTTACAATTCGTTACCCTTAAAAGCTTTATCTGATCAAGTATGAAATAAATATCAATGTTAATAATTTTCAAAAATGATCATTTTCAATTGTGGTTTCTCTAAAAAGCGACTTGCGCATTTCTACTAAAAGGAAACATATCGGAATTATTAGAATTTAATATCTTTTAAACCTAGAAAGAAAGAAAAGATGGTTTGCACATTATTATCAAATAAAGGTTGTGAATCGGGCATTGCCATCTTTGGATGGATGGAGACTACACTCCGTTAAATCTCTTTCTTTAAATGTTAACATTTTACCATGATTTTAATGGGAATTGGCTCACATCATATTTTAATGGGAATTGGCTCACATTATATTTTAATGAGAATTGGTTCACATCATATTTTAATGAGAATTGGCTCACATCATATTTTAATGAGAATTGGCTCACATCATATTTTAATGAGAATTGGCTCACATCATATTTTAATGGGAATTGGCTCACATAATATTTTAACGAGAATTGGCTCCCATCATATTTTAATGAGAATTGGCTCACATCATATTTTAATGAGAATTGGCTCACATCATATTTTAATGGGAATTGGCTCACATCATATTTTAATTGTATGAAGCTGTGAGTTCTGCGATCAACGTCACATATAAAATTGTATAAAAAGTACTGTTATAAATATATTTATCTATAATTTTTCATAATGTTGCGATTTTATCATAATAATTATTTTAATGGGTTTATTCGCCGTGAGTTATTTTCGAATTACCAATAATTAAACTTATTCTTTTTATACAATTTATATGCATGCATGATTTTTTCATTAGAAACTTGGTAAAACTGTGCTTTAGACTTTTAGAAAGTTTTCTAAATTATTTTCTAAGATCTAGAGCTGCGAAAAATTTCGAAAATATTGCAAATAAATGAAATCTTGCTTCAAATATAAAAAAAACAATTTTTTAATCAATTTCAAGAAGTACTATATATAAAAAATAAATAGAGGATTCCTCTTATACTAAATAATTTAATCCTGATCAGGTGATTCTCTAAAAATACTTTTTTCAATTTACTAAAATTTCAATAAAATGTGCCAAATTGGGCCAGTATAAAGAAGGGAAATTATTCATTTTGAGTAATTTTTTGAAAATTGCTTCTAGAATTTCTATTAGAAATATATTTATTAGAAATTCAAAACATTCTGTTCTTCACATATTAACAATCCACAATAATAAGAGTTATGATCGAAAAATTTCATTCTAATTTGCAATTTACAATAATTTGACGTGAGTAAAAATATTTATAATAATTATATAATATTATCCTTTTTTATTATTTCAATTCTTTCTGATGTGTCGGTAAACAAAAATTAACTAATAATTACATTACTTTTAATTAACCCTTCATTTAAAGGGTTTGAAATATGATTCAGACGCTTTACAACCTTTGAAACCTAAATCTGGAAACATTTTATTGCAAAACTGTGTAAAGTTTTTTTACATAAACGGACAATTGAAATAGACCAAAAGTAAAAATAGTTTAAATAATCAGAAGACAAGAGTTGAATCTTTGCCACAAACTTAAATTTTCTAATCCCCACATCTTTGGGTTGCCAAAGATGTGGGGATCAGAAAATAAGAGTTTGTGACAAAGACTTAATTCTTTTTAATATGAAATAATTAAAATAAAAAGCGCTGGGTAATTTCCTAGAGAACGATTTTTTGGAAACCCCCTCCCCCCTCCTACCAATTTTGTGCATTTTGTAAAATTGATCATGTGGCCGCAGCGCCGGCCCCCTAGCCTATCCTAGCCGCGGCGCTCGGCCCCCTAGCCTGTGCTAGCCGCAGCGCTCGGCCCATAGCCCATTCTAGCCGCAGCGTTCGGCCCAGAAATTGTCTTAACCTAACCTAACCCTCAATAATAAAAAAGTAAATGTACAAAATTGATAGGAGGGGGGCGGGGTGGTCCAAAAATCGTTCTCTAGGACGGACCCAAGCGCTGAGTTTGGAGGCTTTGAAAAAATGCCTCGTTTGAGAATTATTGAACGCTATTCAGTTTCACACCAACCCTCGCAACAACTAAAAATATCCATTAATATAATTTATATCTTATTCATTATGTAAACATTCATTTTCTTAGAATTTACATTAAGGACTTTATACCACTATGAATGTCCTTAAGTTTTTAAGCAAATTTTGTTTTCAGAAAATGCGTCAAATATTTTTGCTTTTATTCTTATTATTCCTGGAAAATAAAATAAAAGGTGAAATATTTCAAAAATGTCAAAATAAAAAAAACATACTGTAAAGTATGTACTGTAGAATAAAAATAAACGACATTGTATTATAATAAGTATTGTCTAGAGGGCATACCCCCCNCCCCCCCCGTAAAATAGACCTTTATACCTTTATACATTAAAGGTATGGAGTGCAAATAAATGCATGTTTATGTTTGAAGACTAGCTTATTTCAGAATTTGTAGTTCAATTATTTTAGCCGTAAACAGACTTCCAACAGATTTTTTAACCCCTATACATCCAGTTGGGAATCATATTTGATATTTCAAATGTAGATTATTTGATCCAAAAATAATTAGATAATTTAAAATTGCAACGTTTTCAATGGCAGCTAAAGACAATATGTGCCGAAAACAATTTTTCCTTGCTCTAACTCAAATCCACCAAGGGGTTATGAAAATGGATAAAAAACGATAAATACCAATTTACCAGAGTCATTTGTCTTCGTAATACCTTTGAAATATTAATAAGCACTCCATTTCAGGCATCGAAGCAGGATTTCTGGATGACTTAGTAAGTAACCTTGGTAGCTTCATCAATACTTTTCAGAGCCAGGTCATCATCAACTCAACAACAATCGAAGATTCTATTTCATCAGTAATCAACAACTTTAATCAAACTTACACCACCAACAAAGCAACTAATTCTACAACTAAAACTACTGCTGATGGGAATATAACAACAACAACAATAAATAATACGACTGACGGGAATATAACAACGACACCAACAGCATATTCTGCTTCCGATGGGAACAAAACATCAACAACAACAACGGCAATTACTACGGCAGAAGGAAATATATCAACACCAACAACAACGGCTAACACTTCCTCCAATGGGAATATAACAACGACAACAACAAAAGAAAATACTACGGCTGGCGGGAATATAACAACGACAACAGCTAATTCTGCAGCCGATGGAAACATTATGACAACAACAACAACAACAACAACAGTTTATACTTCGACCAAAGGGAATATTACAACGACAACAACAGGTTATTCTGCCGCCGATGGGAACATAACAGCAACTACAACAAAAAATACGGCAGAAGGGAATATAACAACAACAACAACAGTAAACAATACGACTGAAGGGAAGATAACAACCATGTCAACAGCTTATTCTGCTGCCAATGGGAACAAAACATTAACAACAACAACAGCAAATACAACGGCATACGGGAAAATAACAACAACAACAACATATAACACTTCGTCTGATGGGAATATAACAACTACAACAACAACAACAACAAAAGAAAATACTGTGAATGGCGGGAATATAACAACGACAACAAAAGCTAATTCTGCAGCTGATGAAAACATAACGACAACAACAACAGCAACAGCTAATACTACGACCAAAGGGAATATTACAACAACAAAAACTACGGCAGAATGGAATATAATAACAACAACAACAACAACGACTAACACTAAGCCAGATGGGAATATAACCAAAACAACAACGGTAAATACTACGACTGAAGAGAATATAACAACTACGACAACAGCTAATTCTGCAGCTATTGGAAATATAACAAGGACATCAACAACAGCAGCTAATACAACAATCGAATGGAATATTTCAACAACAACAACAACAGCAATCGCTAATACTACAGCTAATGGCAATATAACAACGACAATGACAACTACGGCCGATGGGAAAATAACAGCAACGACAACAACGGTTAATTCTACAGCCAAAGGTAATATAACAACGACACCATCAGCTAATTCTACAGTCAATGGTAACATAACAACAACAACAGCTAATACTATAGCCGTTGGAAGCATAACAACAACAACAACAACAGCGTCATCCAATGCTTCATCATATGGTAACTTAACTACGATAACAACAGTTTATACAACAACTAATGGAAATTTTACACCAACAACATCAACTTCTATAGTTGTTGGAAATGTGACAACAACACCACCAACATTAACATCTTCTAATTCTACTGATGCTACTACAATTGGGAATGTAGGAACAACATCAACCACTAAAACCACAACTTCAAGTACAACAACAACAACTGCTAATCCTTCAAACAGTACAATGGTTACAAGTATATTCAATGGTACAGCCACAATCACTTTAACAACGACTAATGTAACGGTTCTAAACGTAACAACAGGTAACAGTACTACTTTAACAGATATACCATCCATCAATGGCAGTGCTAGTGTGAGCGTGAAAACAACTGATGAAGTGGCAAATTTTAATGTCACAACCGTAAATGGAAGCGTTAAGCTAAATGTATCATTTGAAAGAAGTGATATTGGTTTGATTTCAACAACAGTTAATGGAACAACGGTTTTAAATATGACATCAGTTGATGGAACAATAGCTTTGAATATGACAACTATTAATGGAACAACTGCTTTGAATATGGCAACAGTAAAGGGAACAACTGCTTTGAATATGGCAACAGTAAATGGAACAACAGCTTTGAATATCACAACTGTAATTGGAACAACTTCTTTGAATATGACAACAGTAAAGGGAACAACTGCTTTTAATGTGACAACAGTAAATGGAACAACTGATTTGAATTTGACAACAAACAATGGAACGTCAACTTTAGATATGACAACATTTAATGGAATATGTGTTTTAAATATCACAATAGTTAATGGAACAGCTTCTGTAAATATGACAACTGTTAATGGAACAATTGCATTAAATATTAAATCGGTGAATGGAAATGTAACATTACATGTGCTCTCTGTAAATGGAACAATATTAAGAAATATCACTATAGGCAAGGATACAGCTAATATACTTGTAAGATACGTTCACAATACAACTTTTGTAACAATTGTCAACGACACAATTGATATAACAACACCGGCCGTATGGAACACGACAACATTACCAACGTTAACAACAACAACAGTAAATTCAACTACCACAATTGGGAATTCAACAGCAAAGCCAGCAGTTAATGCAACAATTTCAACTAGCCCGCCTATTAATGCAACAACAACGACACATACATCAACAACAACAACGTCAGCAGTTAATGCAACAACTTCAGCTGGTCCGCCTATTAATGCAACAACAATGGCATCTACATCAACAACAACAACGTCAGCAGTCAATGCAACAACATCAGCCATCCTGCCTATAAATACAACAACAACGACATTTACATCAACAACAACAAAGTCAACAGGTAATGCAACAACATCAGCTAGCCCGTCTATTAATGTATCAACAACGACATATGCATCAACAACAACAATGTCAGCAGTTAATGCAACAACATCAGCTAGCCCGTCTATTAATGTATCAACAACGACATATACATCAACAACAACAAAGTCAACAGTTAATGCAACAACATCAGCTAGCCCGCCTATTAATGTAACAACAACGACATATACATCAACAACAACAACGTCAGCAGTCAATGCAACAACATCAGCCATCCCGCCTATAAATACAACAACAACGACATTTGCATCAACAACAACAAAGTCAACAGGTAATGCAACAACATCAGCTAGCCCACCTATTAATGTAACAACAAAGGTTCCCACAGCAAGCTCTACAACAGCTCAGCCCTCTGTGGTTGTCAGCAACAGTTTAGAAGAATTAAACAAGATCAGCTCTCAGCTTAACAATGTTCAAACATTCCTTCTAAACCTTTTAAAGTAAGTTCCAGACTATAAATACAAGGGGGTTAAAATTATAAATTAAATTAAAAAAATTAAATTATAAAAAACTAAGACTACACAAAATAGGTATAGACTGTATTTATTCTTTTAAAATATAAATGATCTTTCGCACGCAAAAACGCTTAGTAATATTATTTAGTTTGGTAAAAGTAAATATTGAAAATCAATCTAGTACAATTGTTTTATGTATACTCGAACGTAATAATAGACTGGAAATACCCGGTCTGAATTCTCTATATACGTACACATTAGCGCTCTAACGCTATAAAGAACGCAAATAATAAAGTCCATACAAAATATGCTCAATATTGAAAGGGACTGTATATTAAAAAAAAATGGCATGTCTGATTCACAACTATATCCTTTAATGCTCTGTCTGAGTTACAATGAGGCAAATGTGTTGTTTTTACGTCTAGTAAAGTTTAAAATAATTCTCACAATTATCTTCATTTTCCCACCAGCATAAATCCGTATCACTTTACTGAGAAATAATAATCGAAAGAACGCGGGTTTCAGTCAGAATCTCTGGTCCAGAAAAATTAGGATATCTCAGTGGAAACCAGAAGACGTAATTTCGTATCTTTATTCATAACCACACTACCTAGGTCCTTTTCTGAATCTCATGTGTTGTGAATTTCACTGTGTATAAATTCATAAAGTTCAGACAGTGTTCATACTTATTAATTTAATCTTTGTAATATATAGATTGTACGTATTATTCCGTTTAAGTAAAATTATTAAAAAATATATTCGAATTTTAATAAATCATGTACGTTTACATACATATTTCTCAGAAAACTCATCTACATACATTTTAAAACATAATTATTATACAAAATATCATTATACAATTATATTGGTAGACGCTTCAAATTACATGACATGTTATTTTTAAATTATTATATATAAAAACAACTTAATTATATCTTGTTTATCATAAGTGAAATCAAAAAAGTTTTTAACACAATTTCATCGAACCCTTTAAAGAATTGAATCTTTCCCACAAACCCTGTGTTTTCTAATTCCTATATCTTTAAAACCCAATGTTGTAGACCTTAGATATTTAAAACTTCGAATTCGGTTACAGTAAATAATCTATGTTTTAAGTATCAAAGGTTCCCACCATCAGGATTTAAAGATATAGGGCTTAGAAAAATTGAGTTTGTCGTAAAGACTCAATTCCTTTATAGGAGTAGTGCGACTGGTCGGAGAAGAAAGAGAAGACAAACCCAAACTTCAACCTGCTCTAATCTTATCACGAAAATAGAAACTCTAAACAGGTACTTTACCCGTTCCATCACGAGTACGATCCTAACAGCTCCAAGAAAGTTCCTTCGAGTTCCTTTCAGTCCACGTCCAGTTCCTTCTAAATCCTCATAGATCCACGACCAGTTACTTCTAAACCTACTAGTTGCATGACCAGTTCCTTCAAGTTAGTTCCAGTTCCTTCAAGTTAGTTCTAGTTCCTTGTAGTTTCTTTCAATTCCTCCCAACTTTCTTACAGTTCCCATAAATTACGAGACCAATTCCACGATCAGTTCCTTCTTAATCCTCCTAATTCCAGCTCTTAGAGTTAGTTCCAGTTCCTTGCAGTTTCTTTCAGTTCCTCCCAACTTTCTTTCAGTTCTCGTAAGTACAAGACCAGTTTTACGACTAGTTCTTTTTAGCTTAATTCATGTTTCAAGACCAGTTCATTTTAGTAACTATTCATAACCAGTTCGCTGTAATTCATTTACTTTTTCTTCCAGTTTCGAAACCAGTTCATTGTAAATTCTTTCAGTTCCTTCCAGTTTCAAAACCAGTTCACTGTAGTTCCTTCCTGCTTCTTCCAGTTTCAAAACCAGTTTATGTAGTTCCTTCCAGTTTCAAAACCTGTTCATTGTAAATTCTTTCAGTTCCTTCCAGTTTCAAAACCAGTTCATTCTAAATTCTTTCAGTTCCTTCCAGTTTCAAAACCAGTTCACTGTAGTTCCTTCCTGCTTCTTCCAGTTTCAAAACTAAATTCTTTCAGTTCCTTCCAGTTTCAAAACCAGTTCATTCTAAATTCTTTCAGTTCCTTCCAGTTTTTAAAACCAGTTTACTGTAGTTTATTCCTGCTTCTTCTAGTTTCAAACCAAGTTCATTGTAGTTCCTTCAAGTTCCAATACCATGCAGTTCTTTCTACTTTCTAGTTCCTTTCAACTACTTCCTATATGTTTAAAATCTCCCAGTTTTCCGACCAGTTATTCTAGTTCCTTCAATTCATCATATTTTTTCCCGTGGTTCCTTTGTGCTTTTCAAACTATACATCTAATTACCTTCTAGTAGCTTCTTGCTAGCTTTAAGCTATTATTTAGCCTGGTTGCTACCGGTAGCAGATCTGGTAGCTATGATGCTGCTACTATTACTACATTGAGCAGTTCTATTCTAGACCTCAGGTTAATATAATTATAAAACAAACCTTATCACAAGCCAGCAGATTGTTTATGGAACCAATAAAATAACAAAGAGAATTTAAGTCCGTAGAAAGAATTAAGATGTTTCAACGATTTAATGAGATTTTTATGAGAGCGAAGAAATGTTTTTGGCTCAAATGTCGAATATTTCGCCAGTCTTAAACCAGTGTTATGAATAATTATATTCAACTTTTCACGAATTTCAACAGGGATTCTGCCCCATGAAAATTATTTTACAATTAAATAATAAATCCTTGCGAAAATTATTCAAAAAATTATATTCCCAACAAAGATTTGATCTTAGCCCTACTATGGCGAAGATTTGGAGAAGAAGATCCATCGGATATTTTATAGCTACGCCATCGGATATTTTATAGCTACGCCGTCGAAGCTCCACCTTGTTTCTGTAGGACATTGATTTAGAATATTTTGTATCTACGGTGTCGGAGATTCAACTCCTATCAATTTTGTACATGACCATTTATTTTTCAGCAAATTTATTATTATTTATTTTTTTGTTATTTAGGGTTAGGTTAGGTTAAGATACCTTCTGGGCCGAGCGCTGCGGCTAGGATGGGCTAGGGGGCCGAGCGCTGCGGCCACGGGTTAGGTTATTATTATTTATTTTTTTGTTATTTAGGGTTAGGTTAGGTTAAGATACCTTCTGGGCCGAGCGCTGCGGCTAGGATGGGCTAGGGGGCCGAGCGCTGCGGCCACGGGTTAGGTTATTATTATTTATTTTTTTGTTATTTAGGGTTAGGTTAGGTTAAGATACCTTCTGGGCCGAGCGCTGCGGCTAGGATGGGCTAGGGGGCCGAGCGCTGCGGCCACGGGTTAGGTTAAGTTAAGACACTTCCTGTCAGACCCATGTACAAAATTGATAGGAGGGGGGGGGGGGCTGGGGGGGGTCCAAAAATCGTATACTAGGAAATTACCCAATAATGTCATCAAAATAATATCAGACATCGTGATATTGTGTCCATCGTCAACAAATATAAATGAACTTATTCAGTTTTGTTCATATGTATGATTAGAGAGTGTTTTTATTATAAAAAAACAATTCTTTTAATCAATACGCGGAAACACTTTCATAAAGAACTTTCTTACTGCATATCTGTAACTTATATTCTAGATTGTATTTAAATGTGGTAATTTAATTCCTATTATTATTGAACCACGTGAACCTCTCTTGCCCTCTTGATGTTCTCTGTTTCTTTAAAGGGAGTGTTCGCGAAAAATGAAATGGGGTATAGGCTTAGTGCGATAAAAAAACGCTTTTGATCGCTACTAATCTTACTTCTATCTGTTGCGTCTATAAGGAGAAAATTGTTAAAGACGTCTCATACCGAACAACTTAGCGGCCATACAAATTGAGAAAATTGCAACATACGACTTAGACCGTAAAAAATCAATTTAATTTCATAAATGATTTGTTTGAAATTAAATTGATTTTTTACAGTCTAAGTAGTATGTTGCAATTTTCTCAATTTGTATGGCCGCTAAGTTATTCGGTATGATACATCTTAAACAATTTTCTCCTTATAGACGCAACAGATAGAAGTTAGATTAGTGGCGATCAAAAGCGCTTTTTTATTGCATTAAGCCTATACCCCATTTCATTTTTCGTGAACACTCCCTTTAACCATATAGCCAAACAAATTTATATAAATCAAAATATCTTTTTTATTATAGTTCGAGTGGAGTAACTTGCAGCACTGAGGAGCAAACTCGTCTTCAATCCGCCTCACAACAGCTAGTAGATTCTACTAACCTGGTTCAAGCATCTATTCAATCTGCAGCAACAGCAACAATAACAACATCAACTACAATAACCGCCACTTCAACAACAACAACAACACCCAATTCACCAACAACAACAACCATTTCAACAACAAAAACAACAACAACTTCAACTACAACAACAACAACAACATCAACTACAACAACAACCACTTCAACAACAACAACATCAACTACAACAACACCCAATTCACCACCAACAACTACAACAACAACAACAACAAAAACAACAACAACCATTTCAACTACAACAACAACAACCACTTCAACTACAACAACAACCACTTCAACTACACCAACAACAACCACTTCAACTATAACAACAACTAAAATTACAACAACTACAAAAACTACAACAACAACAACATTAGCAACAGCATCAACAGCTGCTTCAATCCCAACAACAGTTTCGACAGCAATCGACTTGTATCCCAAGAAAAACACTGTATTTGTTAAAGGTAGGCATAACAAAAAAAACTTTTTAAAAACTTAAAATGATAATAAAGAAATATTAGTTGAAAAAAAGGTGTTTAGGTTTAACATGATAATAAAACAAGCAAAAAACCATGGTTCACCAATAAAAAAATACATATAATTTCTTCTTTGTTTAGGACTTCGGCAGGATCAACAAATTCTAATGTTTTTGGTTATTTTTGGACTTCTTATTCTCCCCCAGCAACTAGTCGTATATTCACTTTAAATGATTAGAATACTTTAACAAAATTATTATTTTCATACATCACAATTGTAACAATTAGGAAATATAATTATTTTTATTTTAACTTTATTTCTTTAACTTTGTATTTTTTCCTGCTCACCCCTAAAATATTTTGCTCATACCAAGGGGGGAGCAAGTTTCAGGTCACAATTAAACATGTTTTTGTGTCACTTTTTTCTAATATTTGTTGTAGTTGGACTTTGTGGAATTTCAGAATTTTCTCTCTATTTTCCAGAGCTCATTCCTTAAGCTTCAACCTCAGGGGTTAGATGCCGCTCCATGGCTCACCCCTGTATCCGCCCCTGAGCTTGGAAGAAATCAAAATTGAAAGAGAAAATCGTCTTCATTGTAATGAAATATATCCCCCCCCCTCTATGATTTTGCCCTAAGAGTTGAGATAGGGGAGTGTGAACCCCAATCATGATAGGGTTAAGTATAGTTGTTTTATAACTTCGTAGTAAAGGATAATAATGGAGCCTATAGAAACGGAAATTCTATCATTGATCGAATGTTTTTTAACGGTTGCATAGAAATGCATTGTGTGGTTACAGTGTTCAAATAGCGAAATATGGATTTATACAACAAAGCTTAATGAGTTCAGTAAGATATTGTGAAATTATAATTGTATAAACCAAAATAGTCTTGGAATAATTTTTTCTAAAAGTTATTTATTCTTTAACTCTTTTATCTTTGTTTTTCTGTTTTATACTAAAAAGATAATTTCTTTACCTCTTGAGTATAGAGAAAAGAATATATATTAGAGGGGAATTTAAAGAATCTCTCGGTATGATTTTTTTCAGTCCCTTTCAGCCTGAAAGGGAGTTTAAAGTGTACAAATCATGTAAATGTTCACAAATTATATGCAGTAGAGTACATTGATACAGTATGTTTCCTAGACTATTCATTTCAATTTCGAATTTTTTAAACTGTTAAATAAACTTTATGATGAATTAGGTGAATAAAAAACATCATTTGATTTATAGTTATAACGGAAAATCATCGTTTGTAAAGGGAAGGCATAGAGTCTATGTGAAATGATCATTGGTCAATTATGAAACCAGCCTATTTCATAATTTGGTTTTCTTTTAACAAGAATTTTAGATTTTCTATAATGATATTTCAGGGCCCAAAAGGTTATATAGCATAAATATGTGAAGTACACCTGCAGTATGGAAACAGTACAACAAAATGGCCGTTTTACACTTTTTTCTAGTAAATTCCACTCTAATATATATTCTATTCTCTATGTTCTTGAGCCAGCCCTTTTTCTACTTTTTAAATGTATTTCTTATTTTTTCTCTTTCATTTCTTTTACTTTTTAGCTTTTCTTGTTCGTTTTATTTACTTTTTACTTTTCTGCTTTCATTAATCATATCCGCCCCCCCCCCTCCCTCCCCTAGTAAAATTTTATTTTTGCTCTCTGTATATTTAAGACCGTACTGCACAATATGGAGTGCAGTACGATTATGTTTCTGGTTCCAAAATCAAAACAAACCACTTTACAATAAATTGGTGAGCATCTACTACAGTCAGTTGATTTCAATCTTCTCTTCTCTCATCATGCGATGCTTAGTAAGTTTCTATTTTAAATAATTTTGTCGTTCTTTCATTAGCTGCCTTTAAAGTGATTCTATGTCTTCTTTGGTCTTTTTTAAGGATTGTATTTATATTTTAGTGTTTTGTTTGTTTTCATCTCTACAGTAAGAAACATTTACTATTCGGGTAACTTTACTGCCTGTATAATTTTGTAGTTTTGGCTTTCCATGTTAACTGATAAAAAACAAATTATCATTAAATATAAATCCATAATTTTAAACTATATACTATTTAAAGTGACCATGCATTTTCGATTCTCATTGGTACACTTTAAAGGGAGTACACGGCAATGTATGGTGGTTGAATTGAGGTTGCAGTATTTTAGAGAAAGGAATTGAGTCTTTGGAACAATATCAAATATTTAAACCTCAATATCTTTAAAACCCGATGTTGTAAACCTTTGATATTTCAAACTCAGATTATTTGATCTAACAGAATTAATAGTTTGAAATATCTAAGGTCTGCAACATTTGTTTCCAAAGATATAGTGATTAGAAAATCAGAGTTTGTGGCAAAGACTCAATTCCTTTGTTAGGATTTTATAAAACGTTTTAATGATGTATAATTGCTGAGTTTAAGTTTAAGTTCAAAATCATGAATTTGGGTGGTTACAGAATCTGTTTTTTTTAGTTATTGAATAAATTGGACACAATTTTATAAAATTATATATTAAACTAATCGGATGTTCTATATTTCTTAAAAGAAATTTGTCAATAAATTCTGAAATTAATTCTATTGAATTTCTTATTTTCTACGAATTTGTTCGCAGATTTCTAAGATTCTTCAAATCTTTTCTTTTCAATAAAAATTCAGTATCTATAGAAAATAATTAAGAGATTCTATAAACAATTAATTGAATGAGATCACTTTTTTCAATGAGTTAATTTTTTTTCTCCTGTTCTTAAAAAACTTTTTAGTTTACTGTAAAAGATTGTTTTATTTTTTGTCCTTTGATAGTTTAAAAAGCCTATTCTCAAAAGAGTCAATTTCCTTTTGCTCCCTTGCTCCATTTTCTTGCTTTAAGGATCGAATTTTATGACATAACTGCTTACCCCGCCGGCTCAAATTTTAATCTAATTCAAATCCTTCCTGGTTGTCTTTGTAAAATTTGTTATATTTTTGGTTGCCGTTATTTAATAATTTAAAAAAACGTACCCACCCAAATGATGATTTTGAACATCAACTTTGCGCTCAAACTCGTTAATTAGATCTTTAAAGCTTTTATATGTCTCGAATGATTCCTTAAAAATTTCTTAACAATCTGTAATCTCGGTTCAACCACCATCCATTGCCTGTCACTCTTTCGAATTGCGTAATAATTTTTATTTTTATTTTTCTCTATTGGTCTCTAGTAAAATTAGAAAATATTGAATTAAAAGGAGAACTGATGGTTTATTTATCTCTGAGACAAATCTACTCCCTTTTTTTAATCGGACATGTCACTCCACAAATTGGAGGGAAATGGATGTTTTAGTTTTCTAAACTTTATCTCAACATATTATGGAATTTTATAAATGTTTTATTTGTTTTTGTAGAGTTTATTATTCCTGTGTGCTGGTTAAGTACAAAGAGAATAAAATATATGTTAGAGGGGAATTTACTAGAAAAAAGTGTAAAACGGCCATTTTGTTGTACTGTTTCCATACTGCAGGTGTACTTCATATATTTATTCTATATAACCTTTTGGGCCCTGGAATATCATTTTATAGAAAATCTAAAATTAATATTAAAAGAAACCCAAATTATGAAATAGGCTGGTTTCATAATTGACCAATGATCATTTCACATAGACTCTATGCCTTCCACTTTACAAACGAGGTTTTCCGTTATAACTGTAAATCAGATGATGTTTTTTATTCACTTAATTCATTATAAAGTTTACTGTATTAGTGTACTCTACTGCATATAATTTGTGAACATTTACATGATTTGTACACTTTAAACTCCCTTTCAGGCTGAAAGGGGCTGAAAAAATTCATACCAAGAGATTCTCTAATTGCCCCTCTAATATATATTCTATTCTCTTTGGTTAAGTATGGTTGTTCAAAAACTACGTAATAAATGATAATAATAATTAAATGGAGTCAATAGGAACGGAAATTCTATCATTGATCGAATGTTTATTAACGGGTTGCATAGAAATGCATTGTGTGCTTACAGTGTTCAAATAACGAAATATGGATTTATACAACAAAGCTTAAAAAAAGATATTGTTTCTACTTTTTAACGTATTTGAATTTCTTTTTGTATTCTATTTCATAACTTTTAATTTTTAATTTTTTGTTTTTCTTATTCCTTTCATTAACTTTTTATGAATCGTATCTCCCTCAATGTAAAATTTTATTTCTGCTCCCTATGTATTTATGATCGTACTGCACAGTATGGATTGCAGTACGATTCTATTTCTGGTTCCAAAATCAAAACAAACCACTTTACAATAAATTGGTAAGCATCTATAATTATCAGTTGATTTTAATCTTCTCTTCTCTTATCATGTGGTGTTTAGTAAGTCTTTATTACTTAATTTTGTTGTTTTTTAACTGTCGCTCCACAGTGTATATGACTTTTTGATTATCTTGTCCTTTAATTCAGGGGAAGAAATATCCATACTTGACATTGAGTGTAAGATTTTGGCCACCTGTTTTTTTCTGTCGTATATCTTTTTATTTAGGTCGAAATATAAAACTGTCTGCATTCTTTCTTTTAGAATAGGGAATGCTACATTTTTAAAACAAAATTTCAAATATCAAACCCCTACAAATAAATAATTTTCAGTATTTGAGTTTTGATTTCAGCTTGGAACATGTCACATTTCTGAAGCAAATTCAAATTTTTGTAATTACACGTTTTGGAACATGTTGCGATTTTGGGACATTTCATAGATTTGAATCGGATACTTTTACATTTACAGGATTTGTATACGGTAGAATTTTAATAATAAACCAAAAAAATGCAAAAAATATTTTCAGCTGATATTTCTAAATATAATAACTTGCTATTCATTGAAAGAGATTGAGTCTCTGTAACACACTGTGGTTTTCCAATACCTATATTTTTCCACCTGATGGTGACACCTTTGATATTTAAACTTAGATTCTTTCATCCAACAGACTTCATAATTAGAAATATCGAAGGTCTACGGCATTGAGTTGCAAAGATATAGATTTTTGAAAATCATAGTTTGTGACAAAGACTCTATTACTTTCTGAAATTAATATTTTTTGTCCTTCCAATCAAATTTAACAAATGCGGGAATTTTTTTTAAATGGAGGAAACTTTAAATCCTCAAATCTCAGTTTTTGAAACTTTAAATGTGGAAACAAATTTTAGAATAATTCAGAATTTTTTCGCTGATTCATGCCATTCTGTAAATTATGAATATTCTCAATTATGGATTGTTACAAAAGTTGATGTTCCAGAACGCGTCCAAAATTCGAATTNAATCTTGTGAACACTCCTGTTTGTAATGGTATCCACTGTGCTCAAGTGCCCTCCATGCAGTGCAATGATGTGCCCAAGGAGAAGTGTTGGGATGAACCCAGAGAGAAGTGTTGGGACGAACCTAGAGAGACCTGTAAACAGGTTCCCAAGTAAGTATCTGAACTTTGCTTTATAATAGACCTTAGTTTTTAACTTTTGTAAACCTTCTTTCTGAACCATAGCTTTGAATTTAACTAGCTTCATTTAATTTATTGTTGCAGGATTCCTTGCTCTTACCAAATTCTCTGCTTTGGTGTGATATGTTTTTTGCATTATTTCTGCTTGTAATCTGTTTAAATTTATATTTTGCTTACATAGATTTTTATTAATGGTTGATTTTTTGCAGAGCTTTGCTTTACAGTAATTCTGAGCTCTTCACATAGCTTCTATATTTTAAAACTCTATGCATTAATTATCATTCATAAGACCTTTGTATAGGGAGAAATGTTGGGATGAACCTCGCCAAGTGTGCCAGAATATTCCTAAGATGGTTTGCCAGGATGTTCCCAAGGAAATGTGTTGGGACGAGCCTAGACAAGAATGCCATGATGTGCCAAGAGAGGAGTGCCGTGAGGTTCCCAGGGAGTATACGGACTATATCTCTGTTCAAGAATGTAACTCTGTTAATGTTCCCGTATGTCGCCCTGTACCCCGTGAATCCTGCCGTGATGTTCCAGAACAGGTTTCAAAACTGGTTCCCAGACAAAAATGCTACAGCAAACCAAGAGAGGTAAATTAACTACATTAGTCCAATATCTGTTTTTTGCCTTATTTGCCTTTTGTTAATTCTAAATTTTATTTTAATACACCATATCAAATTGTGACTCTGAAAATAATGAAAATTTAAACTATCCAACCCCTTGTGCTTTATTTTGTCTAGGTCTGCCAACAGGTTCCTAATGAGGTCTGTAACAGTGTACCCAGGAAGCAATGTACCCAAGTACCCGTCAAAGAATGCAAACAGGTTCCAAGGTAAAAAATAGCTCTTATCCTTAAAGTTTGTTGTGCTTAATGATATTCACGATTTTATCTTCAGGGAAGAATGTACCAACGTTCCCCAGCAGAAGTGTAAGACTGTTATAAACCAGGAATGTACTACTGTACAACGTACTGTCACCAACAATGTACCAGAACAGAAGTGCCATGACGTACAGACCGATGTTTGTGTCAATGTACCCAGACCTTCCTGCACTACAGTTACTGACAAAGTTGAATCTAAGGTTATTCATTTGTTTTCCCCTTTAGAATTTTATAAAACTGGCTTTTACACCATTTTTATTAAGGTTGCACGTGAGGTTTGTGAGCAAGTTCCTCGTGAGGAATGTCGTCAAGTGCCCCGTCAGGTGACCAACTATAGGAATGAACAGGAGTGCAGAACAGTCACAGAACGGCAGTGCAGCAAGGTGTCTAGACAGGAGTGTACTGAAGGAGAATGGGTTCAACGTACACTTTAAATTTTCAATTTTATAATCTAGTGATACAAATTTTATATATAT